CTTTTTTAAGTGTTTTCCAACAATCTTCCTTCTTATAACCCCACCACCGTCCTCCATAGGTAGTGAACCGTCAGTACCAGCACTTGGCCTTGGGCAATACGGTCATTTGTTGGGGGTGTCAACCGATTCTGAATGTTGCCAATCGTCTCCAAAAAAAAAAAAAATTATTAATATTTTCAAACTTATGAGGGTTTTTTTTTGGGGGGGGGGGGGGGGGGGGGTTTACCTTCGGCGTCTCGTGAAAGAGGTTGGTTATCCACAACGGGATCCAACACCAAAAACGGCATAAACCGATTTCGTGACCACTTCAACTACAATATAAAACATGTCAATCCTCCCTCAACATTACTCAAAACATTTCGTCTCTTTTACCTCACTAATCCCTTCATGCTCCTTTTCCAACAACCAAACCCATTTCCCACCCGTTAATCTCGCTTCCTCTGATAATTCCTGTTGAGCGGTATCCAATATCCTAAAAAACAAACCCATTAAACATTTAAAACTTGCCAATTCAACTCTCTTTTTGGGGTTTTACGTACGTGGCATGTTTGGATTTATCATAACCCCCCGCAGCAAAACTATACATTCGTTCATGTGGCCCTTGTGCATATTCACATACCATTGTGGTCGTTTTCTAAACAAAACCCCCAAAATGAACATTACATTCTAAGTTGCCATTTGTCATGCAACTTACATTTATCGTATCAAAAGGAAACGTCACCGAAAAACACGGATTAGGAACATCATGTCCAACTACATCCCTACATCCACATCAATACCCAATCACGCCATCCACTACAGATCACTATTTTTACCATTCTATTATACGGTTATCGGGGTACCGCACTATGCGATTCCATATAGAAAGATACCGCGTGTACGATATCTCATCTTTTAAATGCTGGATCGTTGGTGAGGGCTGTGTAGACATGTGTCGGACCGTATTTGTTCGTAGAATGCGCAAAGTGGATGCGCAATGAATAAGAACCATCACAAACCATGCATCCTGGTGACGTGTTACGTTTTTGCCCCCACGCCTTTGCTATCGGTATTGGTCACGTGAGGATAGATTGGGAGTGTTCACGTATACTTTTGGGAAAGTGAACTAGACATGAATGGTCTTTTTGGGCAGGGGTAGTCACATTCATATATTCAACTACTATGATGGATAAGACGATGGTGCGTTGTTGACTAAAAGACCAGGAAATAGCGGTTTTTCACAAGTGAGGAAACGGGTATTGGCGAGTATCGACATCAGTAGCATAGTCGGAATCCAGAAAAACTATAATACCCATCCGCCAGTCGTGGGGTAGTGCAATCCAAGTCTTCTTGTGACTTTGAGGTAGCGTAGAAAGAGTATAGCATTGTCAGAATGTTTCTCAGTGGGGCAAGACACGTAAGCGAGCTAGGATAATGAATGCGATATCGGGTTTTGCAAACCATATGAAGCTTGCCGATAGGTTTGAAACCAAGCAGAAACGTTTAAGCGTCAAGTGTCAGCAAGTTCTGTTTTTTAAAGTATTGTGTCGAGATGTCCCATGATGCGCGACTTTTGAATCCCTCAAACGAGCGTTTTTTGCGAGATTGTCAATATCCAGTTTTGCTGGATGTAAAAAACAATGTTTTGTTGATGATTTCGAGGGCGATGTAGTAGTCAGCAATGCCATCATCAGTTATTTTGAGTTCTTGAAAAAAGCGTAGCTTTGATACGTCCGATGGCAACAGGCGGGGCGAGCAATGAAGATCATCTACAACTACGGCAATCATGATTTCAGTACTTTTTTTCTTCGATAGGCAAGTCGTCTGCCATGATTCCTCTCAAATTGTAATTTTGAATCTTTTTCTACCAAAGAGCGTTTTGTAAAGGTTGTTGTTCCAATACCGGGAGGCCGTAAAGAGCTTTTCTGCAGGAGCATCTCCCCCTTTTGCAGTTAGGGTTGAAAAAGGTTTTGCCATAGGCGTCTGGTACTGTAAACATTCTTTTCATTCAGCTCCAAGTCCAGAAATGGCGATCGTCAAGTAGATAAAACGTGAAAACCTCTGCTGACTGCATATGCAAAAAAAGGATTCATCACACTGGCACATTCCATCATAGTCAATGTCGTCTTTCTACAAAAGTCCACAAAAGACAACTCGGGCTTTGTGGCATTGAATCGAGTTGTCGGCAGCTCGTTTGACTTTATATACCATGCAGCAGGAGATGAGTTTTCTGCCTAGGAACTTTTCTTGATCGACTAGTTTTGCCGTCTTCCGCGAAACTCGGCGAGGGTGGACTTTTCTCCATTCCGCGGCATATACGTCACATTTGGCGGCAGAACCGAATTTTAGGTTTCTGTAAAGGTCAGAAGTTTTTAAAGCTGGTTGATGGATTAGCAGGGCTAGGATTGGCGGGGCATCAAAGTTTGATGTATTTCTCAAAGAAAGACTCATCAGTTTCATTGATGCGCAATTGTGCAGGCACTTCTTCGTAGGCGAGAAACTACTCTCAGTTGCATGCATCTTCCGTCCCTCCTCCGCGACAAATCTCCTCATCTGGCCCCAAAAAACGATCCAAAACCACAATTTCGCACAAATCACGGCAGATGACTGCACATATTACGAACGAAACCAATGGAATCTTGATTGCTGTTGTTTGTCAATGACCTCCGAACGCTGGACCATCTCCTGCCATCGGACCCGTCACAATCACCATACTCCAAGAATTTCAAAATGACTGATAATGGCCTTGCCGCCTACTCCATTGGCCTCAAAATCAACAAGAACGGTTTTCACATCCATTCTTAAAACGGACCCCAATGGACATCTCCATCCATCTCTCCAAAACTGACATACCACTTGACGGTAGCCACTCTGCTTGATTCAAATCTACCGTTGGAAGCTTTATGTGTACTCGCCGTCTGCACCAGGCCAGATATCGCTTTTGTCAAGACGTAGTTTCGTCTAGGCACCAATTGGATAGTAAAATTACTCTATATTGAACAGGAAACTGTAAGAGTGTCAATAGATGTGATTTCAAATGTCGCCCAAAGCACAAGTCCCACACATTTTCCTGCACGCACACACTTGCACACGACCCTGTATGTAGTATGCAGACAGGGAGCTTAACATAAGGTGGATGTTTCTTGAAGAAATACATACCATCTATTGATGTATGTACGATAACAATGTCCTTACAAATCTAACCCATCCACCAGAACCCATCACAAATTACACTTTCAATAAAAAAAAGAAAAGAATATACAATACAAAACCACCAAACACCCCATTCACATACCCGGCATACCCAATTTCGGTAACCTCCGAATCCTCTCAACATCCAACACCCGACTCTGTTCTCCTAACCCATACCGTCTCAAATACTCCAAACTCGCCATCGATAGATCCCCATAGGTGGATGTCGTGGATACGCTTGTGGTGTCTTCTGAGCGTAGTGGGATGAGAGAGGGGGCGTATTTAGCAAAGAGGGGTGCAAGTGCTCTCTGTGTTTTAACATTATTAGTATGAGTAAAGGGTATAGAGTTGTGATGTGGTGGTACCTCGACAATGGTATCGTCGTCAGCCATAAAGGATTCGTATTCGATTTTTGGGACTTGATATGTGTTGTTGGGGCGGTTTGGACTGAGGGGGGATTGGTATTCTTCAACGGTTGTGGTGCTGGCTGTCGAGTGCTGAGCGAGTCGTCTTCACGTTGGATTGACTCTCAGAATGAACGGTATTGGATGCCGGTGATAGGTACGTATCATTCGGTAAAAGATCCATATTGGGTATATCCAAACCCTCATCCCCCAATCCATCACGTCGACTCTCATCACTAAAACTCAACACCTGTTGAACCTTCAACAACAAACTCGCCTCAGCATCTTCTTGGCCTCCTAAAGCTTCCTCAACCCTCCTCATCAACACCTCCAAATCCTCCTCACAGTCACTCGTATCACTCCAGTGCATCGTACTGGGACAACTCGCGACACTCGTTACACTCTGTCGGAATGATCTAGTGGGTTCACTTTTTTCGGGGGAGAAGAATGGCGCGTATGTACCCTCCGGGGGAGCATCCACGCCCACCATGATATCTTCTGGGAGGATCGTGGATGGCATTGAGGCGTCCGAGATGTATGTTGGGTCAATTTGGAGTGATAGGAGGGGATGGGAATGCGAGTATGAGAGGGATGTATTGGATGGTGTTGTGTGGTGGGAGGTTGTGGAATGCCGGGTGTATTCTTTGTGGTGCATGTTTGTTGCGGAATATACTCTTACCCTCCCGATATACTTTCCGTCAAAAAAGGTTTTTGCTATCGGAATGTGTAAAAAAAAACAGATATCTCGCAAGCACCGCCAAACGCGCACGCAAACCCCCTCAACAAAAAGGTGTGAAATCCTCAACGAGTGACGCGACCAGACCAGATGATTTCAAAAGGGAAAAGCCTTGTCCGCCATCCCTTTTTATCTGGCACTGTTCAAGATTAATAAAGGTTTTAAGCAACTCTAGTCTTTCTACCCAAAAGAACGTCCATCAGCATGTCTGAATTCATACAGACGACACCCGTATCTACCCTATTGAAAGCTCTCCCCGCTCGGCCACTCATCAGCGTCAAAGACTCTACCACTGTAGAAGAGGTAAACCAAAACTATTGTTTTCATTTGTTTTTAATAATACAAAAATGTTTTCATTCAAGACCTTTGACGTCCTGTTGGCAAACGACATCCAAGCCGTCCCAGTATGGAGCGAGGATGAAAAACAGTTTATTTCGATTGTTGATGTGTACGTAACTCTTGTGCTCATATCTATTTGACATGCTTTTGACATATTCTTGTTTTTCCTTCTTTTTTTTTGGCAGATTGGATTTATTGACCTATACAGCCTTCCAAGTATATAACCCTCATGTCCAAGTCACAGACGACATGTGTAATGACACGGGTTTTCTTTTTGGCAGCCTGTGTTTGATCAAGAACTTGAGGACCCCAGCCTCATTCAACAGCGGGCAGACTTTTTGCAACACCCTGTCCGCGAGGCGATTGGCTTGACTCGTGAAAGTGAGCGAGTATGGACCATCGACGAAGATGAAACGATTTTAAGGCAAGTTGCAACAACTCCATATCTCAAAAAAAGAACCCAGTAACATCTTACACTTGTAAAAAAACCCAGTCTTCTTACTCTCATGTCAAACGGTATACACCGAGTCCTCATCCCACACACCCCTCACACCACATCCCGCCTCGTAACCCAAACCGACCTCCTCCGCTTTCTATTCGCAAACAACCACCATTTCGACACAATCCTCTGCATAGACGCCAACAAAATCATGAATAAACAACAATCGCAACATCCTGCCCACGAAAATGGAATTCACGGTTTATCCTGCACAACCATTTCCATGCACTCACGTACTATCCAAGGGTTTAAAAAGATGCGGAATGAAGGTGTGAGGAGTTTGGGTGTTGTTGATGAGGAAGGGATTTTGGTTGCTACTCTCTCTGCAAGTGATTTACGTGGGTTAAACCAATCACGCCTTGATCAAGGTAACTTGACCTTTTTTTAGTGGTTTTGATTAAACAAATACTCATACGCAAAAGTCTTGAACCCACCCCTCGTCTTCCTCCGACACGTCCACGGAACCCTCCCACCACCCCACACCTGTACACAACGCTTCACACTGGGCCAAGTCATCGCATACCTTTTATTCCAGAACCTTTTACGTGTATTCGTGATTGAGGGTACTGCTTTGGGGAATCCGAAACCGGTGGGTGTGATTAGTATGAGTGATGTGTGTTGTGTTTTTGAGGAGTTTGGAAAGGGGGCGTTGGAAGAGTGAGTAGGTTTTTTTTTGTAGATGCTTTAGGTGAAGGTGTTTTATATTGTAGAGCTTTTTGTTGTGGTAGAGTAGGATTAGGGTTAGTAGGATTGCGAGTTGTGTGGATGTGATGGTTTTATGCAATTTCCCTGCGTTTATTCTTGTGAATACAGTTTCCGTTTGTTGTTGATCTCACATCTTTAAATCTTCTGTTGTGAACCACACATCCAGTTGAGGACTGCTTACCCAATCACCGTTAATTGCAAACCCCATTACCAAATCAAGCACAAAGTGTCAACTGTCTCGGACTCCCTACATGCATCACACTAGATTTTCGTTTGACATTCTACACTAATGGAACGCATGGGTCGATAGTGAAGCGGTGAGGGTATGTTCCTACCATTACACACACGCCACGTTCACAAGTGCATGACCATCATCTACAGTAGCATCTCCTTCCATTTCAACCAACACCGAAAACACAACCGACAAAAGCAACACACACGACTCTCCCATGCCCAAAGATAAGCGCCTCAACTACGTCGAGAATGAGACGATACTATGTTATCATGGGCCATTATTGTATGAAGCCAAGGTAGTTTAAGAAGTTTCGTACATGGATGGGGTGCATAACGATTTGGGATTTTTTTTTTTTGACACGAATGTTTATAGGTGATGAAAGCAGAATATTGGGAACACGACGGAAAAAAGGAATCAGAACATGTAGGACCGCACTATTTTATTCATTACAAAGGGTGGAATGTAAAGTACGTTTTTCGTGATGTCCGTTTTCAATGGTTTTCCTTGTGTGAAGATTAATTCAGTATGTTTCCAGATGGGACGACTGGGTTCCTGAATCCCGTACTCTAAAATGGACACCCGAGAACCTCCGCAAACAAGCCGAACTCGAAGAAACGGTTTCACCCACAGGTCGACGGTCGTCAGTGCGTGTACCCGAGAGAGGCAAGCGGTCCAGTCTGGATATGCGGAAACGACGACGGGATTCTGTTTTAAAGGTTTATATTTTTCAATGTTTTTTACTCTTGTCCAAAGGATTGGGATTCTTATTTTGTGATGGGATAGTCACCGGATGAACCCGATATCCTTTCTGGATTGCCTAGCTTCAAACTCGCACTTTCCGATCACCTTAAAGACTATTTAGCCCAAGACTACCGATACATTGTCCATAACCAAGGGGTACGTACCCACCAAAAACCGACTTTTAGCTTGTCTAACCATTTAAAAAACAGCTGGTCCCCCTCCCCCGGACACCCTCCGTGAAAACCCTCTTAACCGACTACCTATCCCACATGTCCACATCCCCCCAATCCGAACAAGACGAAACCAAAACAGTCGTAGACGGTCTTACATTGTACTTTAATACTGGGTTAAAGAATATCTTACTCTACCGATCAGAGAGACCGCAGTTTGCTGGGTTAGTCAAGCGGCTCCCAAAAATGGAACCTTGTGATGTCTATGGAGCCGAGCATTTGTTGCGATTATTTGGTACGCTACAATGATACATTATTCTTTTTTCGGGGACACGCTCATGTGTTTTTTTGTAGTACGATTACCGGTCCTGGTGGCTCGTGTGGGTGCCGATGAGGAAACCCTCGATCTATTCAAAACGGCGATTTACAGAGATATTAACGTGAGTTAAAATGTGGTGTATTTTTTTTTTGGATGATTGCTTCATACATGTGTTTATAGGTTTATAGATGAGAGACGGGATACGTATTTGGTTGGAGAGTATGAGATGGGGAATGGGTAGAGTTTTTGACTTGGGACTCGATAGATGTATAAGATCAAGGGATTGGTAGAATAATGTGTGGTGTTCCCAGTACACATTAGAATTAAAAATGGAAAAAAGTTGACAAAAAAGGATGGATTTTTTGTATCCTCTTTTGTTTGGGAATTTAATTTTAAGCGAAATGTGGCTGATTCCGAATGTTTCTGGACAAGTGTCGTTTCCTTTAATTAGTGCCGTCGATGATCGTGGTCCTGCCCATCACAATGCTCCTTTGCCAGTGGCCTGCTCAGTGGTCTGTCCTGTGGCCTGCCCAGTGTGGGGACCCCTTTAACGGTTCCCCGCCACCCTCCCCGCCGCCGGAGGGATCATCGGCCGAAAGCGAGTTGGGTTCGCCGATCAGATCAGATGCAAACTGTTATTTTAGGATTATTTCGTTTTTCCCCAATTTTGGCTCATGCACCTTTTCCACTAAATGAATTTTTTCACACTTTCAACACTTGCTCACTCGGGAACGCGTCACGGGTGGCTGGGAGGCTCATTTAACACATCACACTCTTTTTAGCACAGCCCGTTCATACCAGCCAGCCAGCCAGCAACACACACAGCTTCGGGACAAGATCTCACTATCTGCTGATCGTAGTTGTCTTGTCATTTGGGAGGCACGCTATGAACGTGTGTGTTTTTCTTTTTCTCAACCAAAAAAGAAGAGGGTTTCTGGTACACAGTGGCCCCCCCACACACACACACATGGGAGGACCCATAAGGACCCATAAGGAAAAAAACACATAGAGTTGGGGGTGGTCCCGTTTCTGAACAAAAAACGACTTGGACCATACTGTTTAATGGGGTATTCCACTATCTAGGATTTAGTAATGGTGGCGATGATGGGGGTGACGGGGGGACGTGGGTGCAAAAAAGTTTGGCAGTGGTGGGTTATTTGATCTGTGGACTTTCTGGACTCGACTGACAGACGGCGCTTTTTAACCTTTTTGCAAGTATATGTGTGTGTGTGTGTGGATGTGGGTTAGCGATTTTTTGTGCGCTTGCCACCAGAGGCATGATAAAGATGGGGGGCAGCGAAACGCTCATATAAAAGAGTTGCAGTACGTTCGACCCTCTCTCTCTTTCGTACTCAAAATCTAGTTCATACCTCAACTCTCCAAACACACACATACACACAAGTTTTTGTTCGTTTAAAGCGCAGACCCCCCACTCTCTCGTTCACTCGCTCGCCGCCAAGTTACTCTTACAAGTTGTTTGTCACTTTTACATATTCTTTTTGATGGACCAATCTGTTTGCTTCCTCCCACCCATCCAAGTTTCCAAGAGCTACGACTGGCTAATGGACACCCAACCCAACACCCAACCCAACACACATCCCACTCACAAAATGAACGAACCGCTATCACCCCCCGATGACCAACCACCCTCGTATCGCCAAATAAAGAGTCCCACATTCATGGCACCCCCACGGACCTCCTCCATTAAATCCCAACCGCAACGAGGTCTTCATCCCGTCGTGATCCCTCAACCTTCCCCCCTGACGCGCATCATGATGCCCTCACCTCCCGTGTCCCCACGTACCCCAACCTTTTCACCAGGACAACGGACCTCGGCATCGTCATTTGGTTCTACGTCCACATCTACTTCGTCGGCCTCTACATTGTCTACCTCTACTTCGTCGTCTGGATCTTCCACATATAAACCTGATCGTCAGGTATTCATGAAACAGTGGATGCGGATACTGGATGATGCCGAAAGAATGGTGGTGAGAGGCGAGATGGAAAAGGATCGGGGCAGGAATCTGTAGATGGATTATGTTTTTTTTTTTTTGTATATACTGTAGATATACCTTTTGGATGGGGAAACTTGTTGTTTTCCTCTATTTCTCTTTGTAATATTTCTGGGATATTATGTTGCTTAATATCTGGGATAAATGAGATGTATTTTTCGATATAAACACGCCGTGAATATCGTTTTGAGATGTTTGTTTCTTTTGAAGATGCATGTCCATTACTTTATCGCTGAGCCTGCATTTCCCAAAGTTATAAAACGATTTGAAAAATCATACACATTAAAAACAACAACAACAAAAAAAAAATGATAAAACAATAAACGCAAAAAAAAACTGTTTTTGCCCTCCTCATCTATCCTCCCAGATCTAAAAGTGCTCGGGTATCGCTACAGCTATCGTCGTCAAGCACGCCCCTATCACGGTCGCCAATGCCAATGTTTCCAACTTGATTCGTGTCTGCATATCAAACACCATAGGTTCTTCCACAGTGTGTATGAGGAGTTTGCCTCTGGGATTATCGTCATCCCGTCCATCTTTTTCTAAATCTTGGTCAACGATAATCACTTCTTTTTTGCGGCCCATGTGGTTGAGAAGGCACATTCTTGTGTGGACAGTGTAGAGGAAGGACGCGGAGAGTTGGAAGAGGGGGAAGGTGCCCAATCGAGTCCAGCGGGACTTGTTGAACCAAATCTGCGTCGGTAAAAACAAAACGATTAAAAAACACGAGCTGAGGCGCCTTTGCGACAGTCACAACGAGACATACCAGTAAAAACGTCATGATAAACGCCAGGATGAAGCACACAATCCCCTTGACACCTCGATCAATCCGGGAATCCTTTTGAATATTCTGAGCCGCAAATCGCATAAAGGATGGTAAACTCGATGACTGCATGATATCAAAACAATGCTTCACGGCTGGCGCAAAGACGGCGGGATGTGTCGTCAAGGCCGCATTTGAGACAATTTCTTTTCGCATTGTTCCGGGGACATTCAATTCCATACTTCCTTCGGTAGTGAAAAAGAGTTTGATGGCTGCATTGACTTCGGAACGGAAGGGTTGGTCTTTTCTTCCGATATCCGCAACCAGTTTTTGATCCAGTTTAATGTCGGGCGTGTTTTGGGCATCAAAGCCCTGGAACAGGACTTGGAAAAACTCGAGGTCCTGGTTCGCTAGTGAGATGGTGGGTCCTTCCCCACCTGGCGAATCTGGCGTTGATGTCCTTGATGCATTGCTTCCTATCGAGAGGGCACCGAGCGTTCCTTGTTGGTCGGACGAGGCAGGTGGGGGAGAGCGTTCGCGTTCCGAGGTTGGGAGCGCATTGAATCGGGTTCGATAACTAATGAACCATTCGACGACAGCAAGGTTCTCTGCAGAGAATTCTCTCGTCTCTATAAGTTTACCAACCAGCCCCGCATGAATACATTAGAAAAAACTCGTCACGTTCGCAACAAAACTCTAATCACAACATACCCAAAAACTTTTTAAACTCGCCCAATGACAGCGGATAACACGTTTTACCCTGCAAGATTTTCAGCAACGTACTGTCCCGCACTGATAAGGACTTTTTGGGTTTTTTAGTCGACGTGCTCGACTTTACGCTCGTAGTGGAAGTTACTCCAGTCATGATCAACCTCAAAACAACTGCTCAAAGAGAACAAAAAACAAACAACAAAGAAAAACTAAACGACAATAGACCAGAATTCGAAAGCGAAAGGGTAGGCAAAAGGGGGGGAATCCGATGGGAGGTATAGATATTTTTGTAAAAAAAATAAAAAAGTTAAGACTTTCTGTTCTGGCTGGCTCTTTTTTTAATTTTTGTAAACCAAAGTACCAATGCCATGTCTCTTTTGTTGCAACAAGTGTTTACACTAATCGCGCACGGAATAGCTATAAATAGCCCTCCAAAATGGGATACAAGAACCGTTTTTGGTGTATTTTTGAATATTACGTTTGTGTACGTCCTCCGCGTGCACCCTCCGTGAATAGCTAAAGACGTTCCTTTCAGAGTGTGCTTTTTCTGTAAGGAAACCCTGTGGCTTATTTTTAACCTTTAACCCAAAATGCCTTTCTAGATGGAGGTGGGCGAAAGAGTGTAGGTTACGCCCTGATGGTCACCATCTTGTGATTTCTTTTGGCAAAGCACCACTGTAACTATCTAAAAGTGCATCTAGGGAAACATTTCCCGTCCTACATCCGCTCCATATCTGGAGCCTTCCTTGTCGTAAAAATGCCACAGCAGTGCTTTTTGGAACAGCTTGGCGCTAACGAAATCTGTAAAAGACACTGTCACAAATCACCTCCACGTGATTACAATCAGATCACGTTTCGCAACGTTTTGGAATAGGCTTTTCATTATTATACTACAGATGTACAAAAAAAAAGGAATAATCCCGAACCAGCAGGTTGCCCTCCTACTCCATCCAGAATACTGTAAATGAAATTTGCAGAAAAGTAGCGCTAAGCCTTTCTTTCAAGCTGTTGTTCCAAAAGCCGAACTCTTTCCCTTAGCTCATCCCGCTCATCTGTCACTGCCTTGAGTTCCTCTTCTAATGTTTCCATTTTGAGCATCTTGCGCAAACGGGACCGGCGGGCGGCTTCTGTGTTCTTTTGCCGCTTGGCGTGCTGCTCCGCGGCAATGAGAAGGGGATCTGTTGGTCGTGGCTTTCGCTTGCGGCCGACTCGACCTTTTATTGGTTGTGTCGATTCTGTTGACTGCATTAAATGTGTTGACGTGGCGGCCCAAGGGACGTTTACAGACGAGGAGGGTGCCGACGGTGTTGTAGTCTGGGGCTCTTGAGCACCATCCTTTTTCAGTACTACCTCTCGTAGCCGTTCTATGGTTGGCAATAGCTCAGGGAACAATGCGCGGACTTGCTGATGTTGAGCACCAGCCTTGAGCATGTCCAGTTTCTTGAGATCAATCGGTGGTTTCTTTTCGGTGGTTGCCGGAGGTACAGCGCCACAGGAAACATCCAAATCGTACATGGGTTGAAAGTTGACATCAAAGGAATCAAACGACGGTAGCGGAGATCCCGCTTCAGGTGACGTGTGAAAGTCTGATGGGGCTGGACTAAAGGCTGGTGAGAGGAGCCCATCTGTTTGAGGGGATCCGTCGGGACTCGTAGCAGTCATTGTCGTAGTAGCAGGACTTGCGTTATAGAATCCAGGATGGCTGGTGGCGACCGGCGGCGCTCCGTACCGAATGTCATTTGTAGACGTTGTAGGACTCACGCTGTCCAAAAGAAGCTGTTCAAACAGCTTGTCTCCGGTTTGCTGGCCCTTTGTGTCGTCAAACATTGGCATGGCGTTCATATCGTTGAAGAATGTGGCCAGCGGATCGGACACCTCGGGCGATATTGGGTAGCTCGGATATACACTGCCGGGGGATGACGTATCCGTCATGGTAGTGGTGTAGGGTGAATCTGAAGGACGAAAAGCATAATATGGATAAGACATGAGAGCCAAAAAAAAAAGAGTTTGTGAAAGAGGCAGGCCAACTGCGAACAGCAGGAAAGGCCAAGGAAAACCAAAAGGTTTTATAGAATAGTGGTCAAAAAGCCTGCCCGCCCTTCCATGGAACGCGACTGAGGCGCAGTCACAGTTCCCAGCAGCCTGCGAGAAAGCACACAGCAACAGCTGCCCTTTCGGCAGGCCTGACCTTTTGACGAGCGACAAACACAAAAAGGGCAAAGCAACACACAAACGTCAGGCATGAAAAGCAGACACCTACCCATATAGGAATCGAGATCGAAAAAGCAAAGCGCATCACTTGATGCCATGTTGACTTGTTTCAGCGTTTCTTGAAAAAGCGAGGAGAGAGCAACTCGATGCGAGGAACGTCAAAGATAATACAGTTGTTGACGGGTGTGTTGTTGTTATTCAATTGGTGGTTGTGGTAGATAAAACCATTCGCAAACAGGTTGGAAGAGGAAGCCATAATTGGCCGAGAGATTTTAAGAAAAATAAAAAGGATTACAAAACAGCTCCAAAGAGACAAGGGCCAAGGCTCCGTTTGATTTTGCTTTACGCGGACATAACGTATTAGTAAAGCAGTTGCGGAGGGAGAGTGGAAGAAATCAAGATGATGTCGAAATGATAATGTGTATGTGAGGGGTGACAAGTGGAGGAGCAGCCATTAAATAGTGCCAGATGGGAACGGAGCCCCCGACCAAAAAGAACATACACAGCAACCCAAATGCTTTTGCACACACACACGGCGGTGATTAGAAAAAAAAACCTTTGACCAAGCAACCCGCCTGTCTGCCGTTCGGAGATTTCGCCAATACGGAGGTTCCCCCCGTTGAACAAAAAGCCCAAACAACAACAAGGGAAATATCCGTCTATAAGATTCTGCCACGTTGATCGTCACACACATCAAAAGCATTGGAAAATAAAATTTCACGCTAAAAAGCGGGATTTGTCAACCGGACATTTGTGGAAAAACTATTTTCTTTAGTTATTTTACCCGCTTCCGATCTTGTCCGAAAATCCCCAATCCATTCCTGCCACGTATCAAGAGTTTTTAATAGAGAGATATGGGGAGGCTTTTCTTGGTGGGAAACGGGAAACAAAAATGCAGATATTAAGGGAATCCCGGAACCCATTTTGGGTTTTTGTCAGCAGGGACGTAGGAAGGGACATTAACATTTTTCAATGGTTGAGTGCATTGCTATTGTTGATCAAGCAGTCAGGAATTTCCATCAAGAAAAAGATCAGAAACTACAATTGCACCTGAAGCCTCAAACATGCAACCCAACCACCGGGTGTCCAAAAATTCCGACCTCCCAAAAAAAAACATGCGGAAAATGAATGAGGGCCCTTTCCATTAGGTAATTTGGGGCCGAACCAGTCGCATCCAAAGGGCAATGCAGGTGCGAAATGGTCAGTCCCTCTGTGGTACAATCATGACAAAGAGTTGGAGAAAAGATTGTTTGCCAGACAAGGGCACGGGACGAGTCATGACGTCGATAGGTCGGACCTTTTCACAAAAGGTCTTTTGCAATGCATGCACAACAAGGTCCGGCCGTAGATACCACTCGGTCGTTATCATGAATGAACAAGCGCTCATTGAATCTTTCTTTCAAACCACATCTGATCTCCAATTGGAGCCTCTTTTGGATCTATTAACAGATGATGTTACGGTTATATATCAGCTGGCTCGGATTGACGGAAAGGTAAAAACAAACAAAGAATTTTGGGCTTTTTCTTTTAATTTATGGACCATCATACATCTCTACTGCCAGACAAAGTACCGACTCCACCTGACCCACCTCTTTGCTCTCGTCTCTCGCCATCAATCTCTCCATGACCTGATCCCAGAATCAATTGCTCCCAAAACAACTTGGAAATACATTTATCACACAAGATGTTGTTGCGTCGGACCCCATTGCGTGCAAGGCCCAATAGAGTTTGAGTTTTGCAATGGACGGATTTCAAAGATTGTTTTTGGAAGGGTTGTCAAAACGAGTGTTTATCCTCGAGTGTTTGGTGGGACGGGGTTAGTTACGGGACGGTGGTGAAAAAAACGTTCCGGTCCGCCGCCTTATTTAAAGGGGGCAGTGCTGAACGAACGTCCAAGGTTGAGCAGAAACACGTGAAAGACGCGTGATGAGTATTACATCAGCAACTCCCTGCCACCTTAAAGTACCACGGACGAATCCGACACTGGTCCCTGCACTGATCCATTGGAGGTAGACTACAACTCGAATCGAATTATTTAGACAGGGCAGAAACATGGCAGTGGTTTGAATTTGATGTATTTAAATGACGAATATGTGGTATCCCACGCATTTGCTGCGTGCCCCTGACAAAATTCGAGTGTTACAAGTAGTTTCTTGCATTGTGGGTTGTTGTGGTTGCATTCTTTAACTCGCCATTTTATAGCTGTTGCTCTGGCGGGATTAAACCTGGTTAACGCCAACGCTGGTGTGGTTCTGGTGTGGTTCTGCTATGTTTCTGCTCTGTCTGACCGTTAAATACGTCGACTCGAGTTGTAGAAGGCTACCTGTGCGATGCCAACAGCTCTCTTGTATATAGTCCCTCCGAGTTCGAAATGCTGGGTTTTGCGTGACCATGGATCGCAGAAAAGTGGAAAGTTGAGTGAGTCGCGGGGCACAGATGATCATCTCTTGTAACGGGTGGTTCGGTATTGCCCTAAACTGTGCAATGATCTCACCTGCTGCCATTAGCTGTAATGTCAACCACGTCCCGAATCGTCGAATGAAAGAAATCTCTGACAATCCGATCAGCAATCGATCTCAAACTGGCAGAACTGTAAAAATGGTTGGTCAGGACGCTCGCTTTGTCCTATGGCAACTCTGTGGGACTGCCCTTTGTGGCCACCTGCATGTAGTTTCGTCAGGCACACAATCCACAGATCAAGGAGCTGCCTGAGGACTATTTTATTCAATCAAGGACATTTTCCTCAGGGACACTGTTTGACACGCTGGAGCGCCTTGCGGCTTCTGGATGGTACGATTTCCAACAGTCGATGGGACATTTGCCGCTTTGGGACAGCAGTGGCCAGTGTAAAACGGCTGAACGGCAGCATGTGGGGAAGGAGATCTTGTGTTTTGTTGACAACCTAGTTATCAACAAAAGCAAAGGGAGTTTAGTCCCAGAATAGCTGTAAGCTGATTATAGGGAATGCCGGACCCAAGAGACTCTTCTCGAAATTGGGGGTCCGATGGCTCAGCTCAGCTTCCGCCAATGTGGGACATACAATGCATTTGGAACATAACAAAAAACATTCTGGGTTCAAGGACACACTTGTGTGTTGACAAAAAGGGATTCGCATGTTCGCTTGCATCGTTGAATGAATGTAGTTGCGTGTAGATGTCAACAGTTTGATCATGAGATGTCCCCCAAAACGGGAATGTTATTAAAAGAGCAGAGGCCATTCATACTATGCAGTGAACTACTTCTTGAATGTACGTGGCACCATACTGACCCTTGGATGCTCATTTAAATGACATTATCCAAAAGAATGAAAACAAACATAAACTAATTAGAGAATCCCTTTCCAACCTCTACTTGATGGCCCGTCCAAATGATGAGGCTTTGAACGAGCAAGTCTCAAGTGCGACGACGGCGCGCGGTTTGGAAAAAAGGTGTGAAAGTGTTCATTTTTTTTTAAAACCCAAAATACTTTATGTGCGCTATATAAAACACATTTGGAGAGTAAGACTGTAAGAGCTGTCATACCAGCAAAAAGAAATTTCCCTTCCGTTGGGGCCAAGCTTTTTTGTCCTTCCTTTTGGGAGCACCTTGCGCAAATCGTTCGTTTGCCTTTTCTTGCTTTATTTTTTTATTGCAAGCGAGCGTATTTTGTAATCGCCTCAATGGACACAAGTAACTCGAACAACGGCGATTTAGGGACAAGTTAAGGTTGACCTTTCACGCTTTGTGACGAGGAAGACGGACGAATCGCTCGTTAAAAGTCTGTTGAGCTCTTCACACACCTCCCATACCGTCCCCATCTTTTTTTTCTCCTCCACCACCACTCCACGTACCCTGAACTCGGGCATATCTGGTTATGATATAAAATCGTTTTTTTTTTTTTTTTTTGGTCTACTATGAGCGAAACATATCCTCTACGACCTTGCCGGTACATACATGTTGCTGCTGCACTTCCAACGCCATATAACCAATTTTCGTCGCTTTATATAGATGGCACATATTCGTCCACGACTGCGAATCCTCATCCTTTTTTACTGCCGTAATGTGGGTCACGGCAGCAGTCGGATACCTCATTTTCTTCCTCGGTCTCTGTCTACTTTGCTGGCGATGGGGTATAAAGAAGAACCGAGTAATTGGACTATCAACGATTGATTCGTACATTGTTATAAATTCCATTGGATTTGGATTGGGTGAGTTCCCCTCATGCGTGTTTGGTCGCTGATGCTATAGTTGTATATTGAACAATTTTTTGGCGTGTAGGGAGAGCGCTGGATTCGACAGCTCTGGCGTTAGTGTGGTTCTCGAATGCAACGTGGGCCCAACTGTCCTCCGATATCCCATACGTATGCGGTTTGATTTCTGTATGGATCTACCTCTGCTCCCTGTAAGTTTACCACGAACGTTGCCCCACCCACATTATTCATCAGATATCTAACCACTCTTTTCTCAGAGTGCGGATGACGCCAGCCTATACAACCGATACAATTTGGCTTCCCAGTCCATCACTACTAAAAATCATCCGCCATGCCTACCTCCTAACGAGCGCAATCACCATCATCCCCGTCGGAATCTTTTCTGGTCGCGCACGAGATGCAGGAGACCTTGACCGTGAATCCCTCCTAACCTGCATCCTCTACCTCCTCTACTCGTTCTTTTGCGGTGTTTTGAGCGCTGGCTTTGCCTTTTTTGGACGGCAGATGGTCCGTGTTGCGGAGGCCTCTGCGGCGGACCTCAAAGCCAACAGCCGGAGTCGAATACAAACTTCGACGGCTGGGAGTATGGGATGCAAAGGGGGTGAAACGACGTCCGCGGGAACAACCAAAAGTGGGGATTCAAGGATGCGAAAAGCGATTGGCAAAGTGAGTAACGACAGTTGTGCGTTTACGCTGATCGTCTCCCCCTAACGTTTTATGGGTAGATGAAACTCTTCAACTGGACATTTACTTGCATATTCCTCTGGTTCGCTGCTGTCCTCATGGTCTTTTCCTTCCGGGCCGACACAGTAAGTTACCATCCCAGAACTACTAACATAGGGTGGTTCTCCTAATCACGTTCCACTTTTTTTTACCCAGCTTTTTGCCACAACTTGGTGGTCCCGCATTCAAAGCATAGGGACCAACGTCATGACTGTGATACTAGTCTTGATTGGATATGTACGTGCTCTGGCTTGTTTGTGGTGAATATCACGTACTCATGATTTGGTTTATAGGGTGGCCTCATATGGGGAGAATTCCACTCACCCGACGACGAAATAAATGAAAATCTATCGGGAGCGGGCAGTAAGACTGTACCTGTCTAAATGTGGGAGCGACAGTACTTTTAATGGGTTAGGACTTTTCTTTGTATTTTCTTTTGTTTATGTTTTCTGTTACGTTAGTGGGGGGCTGGTGGGAGTTTGTGACTGGAGGACAAACGTTTTTTTTGGTTAGCCTTGGCTCATTGTTGAACGATGAGACTCGAACCTTTTCATGTCTATTAATTATACCCGTAGTTTTTTTGGATATTTGTGTGTTGACCCATGCTTGCCAAATGCAAATCTTATCAATAATGTTTGCGAACGATGAGGATACTATTCTGTCCACTAATGTTTGCGAACGATGAGGATACAATTCTGTCCACCAAGAATTACATAACAAACTACGAGGTTCAACCCTCGAACGTTCCAGCGTCCCAAGGATGACAACGGGACAAATACTACGACTAACTATAGTTTCGACAAACGTACTCACAGCCCAACTGTTTGCATCAGACCCTTTAGTACCACAGCCCATCTCGGGACACCCACCCTCCGCCTTCCAGCAGACGTCTGTTTATTGTCCGTTTGCCCCTGCTTCTGCCCAACCGTACACGATTCCGCTTTCAAAACGTCTCCAAATTCCTTTAGGGTCCAAATAGCCACTCCATTCGTCCACCCAAACCCATCTTGAACCTCATACTCTCCACCTGAGCCAGCACCGCCCACCTTGGTAGCATCAAACTTTTCAAACATGTTTCCATCGTCCTTTGCTGTTGTGTTTGTTGGAGGGAGGTTCGCGAGTCTTCCACCCGTCTCGCGCCAGGAGCAGAATGCGGAGGTAATATACTGTTGGGCAGCGGATTGAAGAGTTGTCTTGAGACTGTTGACAGAGTTTGTTGTGCAGTTTTGACTGGGAAGGGCTGTAATGGTGCGTTGGAGGGCGCGCATGGTTATAAAAGCGAGCGGAGGCCCTAATAATGACCCATTGTTAAACACACAATTCGAAAACAAAAAAGGGACTCTTTGCTTACAAGAGTTGGGAAGATCCCATTGAAGCCCAGTGTTAAAAAACGTGGTTGGAATACCGCCTGGGAACCGTTTAAGAACGGAGTCAAGGTCCGAAAAAGGTCTCATGAGATCGGTACACCTGTCCGTGGGTTTTCCACGAGGATCTTCCAAGGCTACTCCTGACCTACAATCCAATACCCATACCAGAATGGTGAGACGTTCCGTACACTTTACATCAACGTTCTCCCCAAAACTAAATAGGAACGTACCACAGTGGCCAGTATCCAGCAGGAGTCTGAACAATACTTCTCTTCCCACTCGTCAAATTAAAATCCATAAAATTCCCTTCTCTATCATCCCAAAATACCTCCCACATTCCCAAGCGTCTTTTCGTAGACTCTCGCTTGTACAACATGGCTTGGTCACGGTTCCCTGCCATGGTATGCAGTTTCTGCAAGGATTGCTCATTAGCGTAAAGGAGACTGTTGAGATCAACTGGAATGATCTGGCGGGTGACGAGACGACGAAGGTTGCCTTGTGCATCGCTGTTGTTTGTCGGGTTGTTCTCCCTGCATTGAAATGCGTTATGAAACAGAACGCGTATAAATAAAGACGAAATCAACAATACCATCTAGACGAAAAGTCCCACCCCGACTCTGCAGCCGTAGCGAGGTCTGCGTACAGAGCTTTGGCGGCATCTCCAGTAATATTACCTCCCTCTACTGTAATCAAGTCTTCATTCCAAGATTCTGGGCGCGGCTGTTGGTTGGTAACATCAAAGCGATTCAAGAGGTAGTCTTTTCCATCCTGGCCTTTGACTGTGACAGTTCGGTTTTTCTGCCAAAACTGCATGTAGTGCACCATTAGCCGATCAGTACCACCCCAATGCAAATATGAAACGACTAGAACTTCATACTTGATATTCCTTATCAAGTAATGGTAACCACCGAGCCAGGGAAGAGGTATTTTTTGTTGCAGTAATGTACAAATCGACCATTTGAGTTAGCATGGGTGGTTGCGATCGGTTGAGGTAGTATATCCGCGCACCATTTGCTAAAGACAAAAAATATTCAGCATGTGCCAACCTCATACTGGCTATTCACACACACAAAAAAATTGTCACTCTACATACGAACAAATCCGTACTTGTCGATAAAGTCCATCTGGTTTTCAATAATATCTTGGCTTGTTTCAAACATTTCGCTGAGAATGAGGCCTTCCATTACAAAGTACGAATCCCTAGATTCAAACACACGATTTAATGACCTCGTGTTATTTTTTTTTTGGGCAAACTACCCCCCACATCTTTTTGAACCGAAATTTGGACTTTAAACTCACCAATAATAAAACTCTCTAAACCGGCCGCCGGGTACCACAAACGTATGCTTGGCCGGCAGCAGACTCGAAACACATTCTGTACAGTTTGCTGTCTCCGTCTTAAAATCTCTAGTCAAGTTTTTCCAAATGGAATGAACAATCTGCCCCCATTCACGTAGATTGCCATCCTTGATAGACGAAAGAAAGGCAGGCGAAGGCTTCCAGTCGCGCGGAACAACAGGTTCCGTTTCCGTTCCTTCAGGTCCAAAGTTTTGGTCGACAAAGGTTTTGATGGCTGCGGCGGACGGGTTAGGACCCAAGGCATTAAAAGCTGAGAGAACCTGCGAAAGCGGCTTGGTGGTGGGTTTATCGACAAACCTAAAAGGGAATCACGAAAAACCAACAATCAAAAAAAACACATTCCAGCACATTTTCATTACATGTTTTCAATCTACTTACGTTTTGGAATCCTTGTAGATTTTGGCCCGTTGAACAGCATCCAACAATGGTCCAGGACAGTAAATCGGTGAATCACATCCAAGATTCTGAGCCGATACCATGACCCACGCCGCCATCACCATCAACACCAGGCCGATACGCGACATGACGTGATGGCCCATGGCTGCCACAAATCAGATGGAAAAACCCGTTGTTGGATTGGGAAAGGAAGCCTTTTTGTCTCTCTATCTACCGTTGTGGGGAAGAAGAGATGCGCGGGGGGCAGCTCGCGTGTGTTGGAAATTCAACGAGTTCGGCGTGAAGGCGGAGCATTCAGGCTATGTTTTTTATACCATCAAGGATAGTTGTGACGAAACTTCCCTGAACTCTCCCAAAACGTTCATCTTTTTTCCTTTAGCCACAAATTGACCGTCCACGGCCGGATCAAATGGCCTATTTCACTATTTTCCATATTTCTTAATTTCCTTTTTTTTTGCTTACTGGACCAATTACTACCTTTTTAAACTTATCTACTTTGTGTAATTTTCCATATTCCCATCTTCTTGGGACAAGGGCGGGAAGTCCAAAAAGTCTACAACTTGTATCTCACACGACTTGGGCACGTGGTTAACAAGCATATCCATAAAAGGCAGCAATGGCGCGTCATGCAAGCCATCGGAGCTGACGTCACCCGTCGCAGTCACAGTGCCCTACCCTCCGCCGTAGCGGCCAGCTTTTTTCACGGCGCCCGACTTGCCTGTGGCCAACTGGTGTTCTTAACGAATCACAGGGTTATCATACTTTTGTGGTTTATCGCCCCAATCCACAACTTGTCACGCGACGTACACGTTTCTGTGGAAATAACCATGGCATTGATAACCCCCGTTCGGAGTTTGATCAAATATATACACAAAAGTTTAAAATAATCAATCCACCCATCAAGAGCTCCAAAATACGGGGTCATGATTCATCCACCCCTGCGGTCGACTTGGTAATGGTATCGGATCAAACCTCGCCGCAGGTGCCATTTCCCTTACGTATTCCTCCAAACTAAACTCCCTTTCCCGGCCGTCGTATACGGCAAATTGAGAATAATGCTTCTTGACCATTTCATAAAAGACCCATCCTTCCCATCGCGGGTGCCACAATGCCCCCGCGGAGAAGGATGCTAGGCCGCGGGGAACGGCAGCTTGAAGGAACATGAACCATCCCGCTACAGTGAGTTGCGCGGCTTCTGCCGCATAGAGAACACGCAGATTTTTGGCGTGGCGCTGGAGGGCCTCTAGAAGACGGTCCGTACAGAGGTCATTGTACGTTACATCTAGATGACGAAGTTTTGAGCAGTTTATGGCGATTTCCTAAAACCACAGGAGGTAAACATAATGCAGCGTTACCAAAGCGCCAAGTTCCATTGCTACCATGGAACACCAGCAATGCTTACCATTAAAGGAAGATCACTAATGATCAGATCGCCAATGTCCAAGTACTCCAAGTTGGGACAAGACTTTGCAACAGCAAACATTGCCGCGTCGCCTACCCACCCTACAGCTCCCAAACACAGTACTCGCAAGTTCTCGCCACAATTCGTTACCAGTCTTCGCACATGCTCCGTTCCCAACATCGATGCATCCACCAACGACAAACTTTCCAATTGAGTCAATCGTCCCGACGCGGTTATGTGCGACAACGCTTCAACTTCCATTTCTCCTAGACGGATATGATCAACATATAGACTCTTTAGCTTTGAGCAGGATCCAAGGGCTTCAAGATGACGGGCATATAGGTCTGTTAATTCGAGCTCTTCGAGAGTCGGTGCATGGTAGGTAAGTATTCGGAAGAGTTGACCCGCTGTTTCTGGGCAGTATCGGATGATGAGGCGTTGAAGGGGAGGAGTATATCTGAGGAGAACATAACCCTTGATTTCCGGTAGATGTTCGAGGTGGAGAGCGATGAGAGAAGGACATTGCTTTACGATGGATGAAACCGACGAGTCGCTCAGATACGGACGTCCATTTGGTGATGGTCTATCGTAAAAAGAACAGGACGAAATACCAAACGGCCCCAAAACTGTCAGATCCACGCTCCCGTCCGCGTGCAGAAACAAGAGCATCAAACTTACCCCAACGCCAACTCTTTCAATTTTGGATACTTTGGCCCGTCGTCACCTATAATCCCCCTCCCCAACTTTCTCGCCTCAACAGCCGAAAGTCCATAAACGTCCGCGCAAAACATTCCCAAGCTAACAATACTATTCGCATAGGTTTCCGCTCGGGGACTCGATGCAAGAACGTTACATAACCCCGCCAAAGCCTTTTGATTTGTAAAATGCATTGGAGACTTCCAAAGTATCGGAACACAGATCCCAAAACATGTTCGACATGTTCGTAACAGGGCGAGAAGGTTCTCGCGTGCTTGTCGGTCCACTAGGTTTGTCGTTGGATGCGAGGCGGGAAAAGTGTAGTTTGCTATCATGTGCAATATCTCGGTGGGAAGGGAGAGGAGGGACAGACCTGTGGGGCGGTACGAGACATTCTGCTCAAAGGGTCTGGGTGCATGGGTTCTCGCTGACCGCAGGGTCCGTGCACGTGGGGGAGGTGGGGGACGCAGTCGTGAAGCTTTTATTCGTTCAGACATGTTACAAAGAGGGTAACCTTTGGTCCAGCGTCCAGATTCCGTATATACTCTTAACCATGTGCTGGTCCACAGGAAAGAAAAACTCTAAAAGTAAGAAAAGGCAGAAGCAGTTGAACTAAGCGCGTAAGTCCTGCGAGTCACGTGTGCGAGAGACTCGCATAAGCGCGGCTTTTTTGAGTTCCAGTGCGCAGCTAGTGGAAAGTGTCAAAGTGTTCAAGCACAAAAGATGTCGATTCTAACCTATCGACTAGTCCGTGCTGCGCATCTTAAAACCTGCGCAAACACTCATTCTTGAGCATTGTATTATAGAGTAATCAGGGGCAAAGACAATAACGCCGGTGGGATGGATCTCCCATTCGAGAAACGCCAGCGGAAAATGTCTGGGTTGGTGGATATCAGAAACAGCATTCAAATCTGCACGATGATGTACCGCTTAAGTTTGAAGACAAAAAAAACTTAATGGCCCGTCCTATTGATGCTCACGCTCGGGGTTGAACCGAGGACCTTCTGCGTGTAAAGCAGACGTCATAACCACTAGACTACGCGAGCTATGGTATGCAAAAGGATGCTATATAATATATTCAAAGTTATTTTCTCCTCGCTTTTCGTCCCAATGACTGCAGTCTCGGGACACTGCACACTCTATAGAATCACCCACATCGGCGACGCCTCCTACTACCGTACACAGGCCATCTCTATGTCTGATCTTTGATTCAGATGATCATACCAGCAGCGGTTTGAACTTTTTTCTACATTTCAACATATACTGGCAATTGGTTACATATAAAGATGGCATCAACCGACCTCTGATCGTGCTTTTCAAACACATCCACAAATCTCAATACCAGCCGTCTAACCCTTAACGAGGGTTCGAGGCAGGGGGGACCTCAGCAGCGACAATGCCTTCCACGGGTCGTTCTTCCTTCCCGTTCCCCGCATCCTTGTTCTTTATGATCAAGACAGGGCACTTGACATGATGAACGCAGTAATCTGGTCAAGTCAATCATTAGAAGAATGTGGTAACAACGGATGTGTGTGAAAGAAGCTAACCAGAGATAGAACCCAAAATGACACGTTTAAGTGTGCCCAGCCCCCTTGACCCCAGAATAAATGCATCTGCATCCAGTTCTTCCACTTTGCGACAAAGCTCTTCACGGGGGTCACCACGCATTGCAATGGCTTTGACCGCAATCTAGGGACATCCGAACCTGAGCCTCTGAGAAACTTTGTAAGAGAGAAGGGGAAAGGAATACCTTGCGCTTTTTTACAAGCGAGGCGTATCGTTGGAGGAGGGCATGAGATTCCGTTCGGTACTATTATCATCACCCAGGAGGAGACCACATCAAACCCTTTTGCTCGCAACATCTGAAATCAAGACATGGAACAACTTACCCGCTCCTCAACTTGAACCACATAATCTAGATCATCATCATCATCCACCGATCGAGCAACAATATCCACACGGGAACGAAGCACGCAACAGCGTTTGTATCATCTGAGTTGCGAACCATTACAAGCTAAGCACTGACTGGAGAACCAACCAGTAAAATCCATGTACGCTGTTCCAAACGGCCCCGGCACGGCTGCAATGGGCCTTACATTGACCAAAACGCACAAATCCTTCTCAGGAGACAAAAAATTCTCTAGAGCCCAGTTAAAGGCATAATCACTGCTTTCTACATATTTTGATGAATGATGACTTTTTGAGCTGGGAGCGACAATTTATGAGCGAATAAGACATACTGGAACTATCCAATGCGATGACCACCACCCTCGTGATGGGTCGATCAGTGGCTTCTTCGGGGTGTTCATGGACAATAGTGTCCCGGCGCTCCAGAGGTTGGCCAGGCAAATCCTTATTGGATGTGTCGGGCATTCTGTTTCTGATACTTTGCGTATCCTTCAAAAGACTCGTAAATACGTTCGGCGGTGGAAAAGAGAAAAAGGCAAACGGCAACACAAGTTCCCTCCGTTTTCTAAGGAACTACTGTGCACCGATGCCCTGACGCGAACGCGGTCACATTGACAGATTGCATGCTAATGTAACTTTTTAAACTGCGGTGAGGCGCATGCCGAAGGTCTATAAAAGGGGGGCCTTTTGCTGTCTCTCCCCTCTTTCCTCTTTACCCATCCTCGACTCACAAGCATCTGCACAACGCTCATCAATCATGAGAACGCTGATGTGGTGGTGCCGAGGACCTCGCCCACCCGACAAAAACAACATAACGCCTTGCAAATGCTGCTACTACTATATTGCTACGATCGCAGGTATGCATTATCTTTGTATTTTCCCATGCATATTCCCAGTCTAATTCTGATCTACCTAGTATCTGAAACATCCTCCGACTAAGAATTTCGGAATCAAAGGGCGAGTAGGATTTCTCTCGTGTGGTGGGCAAATTATCCGGTTTAGAAGAGCCGTTACGTATTGCGTGTATAATTGCCTAGTAGTAGTTACAGGATTGATGTAGTCCTTTAGATTTCACGCTTCTTACTGTACTCACATCTGCGATCAGAAATGGTCAAAGATGACTACATTATTTGGAGCTTTTCAATACATCGGAGGAGCTGTTAATGAAGTCTTAATGGGGCTTGAACATAGTCAAATACGACCAGAGCATGCTCCTTGGAACTATCAGATAGGTTGCATCGGCAATTTGCATTGGGTAATTGATGTAGTATGTTGGTCTTCCGGCTTTGGCGATTTTCGTTAATCAAGCTATCAACACCGTGTATCAGTTCATAGATTTTTCTTTACTACTAAAGAATATCCTATGCAAACAAATCTCCACGTTTCGCATATTCAACGTTCAAGATGAATGTGGTTATGTTAGCCATAGTGAGCAAAAGGGCAACGGGCAGTTTTGTAAGCGATATAGTGCCACCCTTTTGAGCAAAAGTATGATGACACGAAATTCAGATCGGTGGAATCATAATGTCAATAAAAGATTCCCGCAAGCGTTGAAAAGCGGGCGGGAACAGCTACCTGCTGGAGATTGAAAAATTAAAAACCTATCCGTATTTGTTAGTAGGTGGCATTTATCAAATAGCAATATATTGAAAACCAAACATATATTCATGAAAAAAATCTAATCAATTCCGACAAAGCCCGAATATCTACATTACAGTTATCCTTCTATGCCTCCTCATCACCGTCACTACTCCCTTCCCCCATGCCAGCCTTCTGCTTTCCTTTTCCTGTACTTGCACTGGCTTTTACGCCGTTTAAAACATCCGTACTTCGTGCTTCTAATTCAGCCACTTTGCGTTTCACTTCGTCTCGTTCTGGTCCCTTGGGTATACTGGCAATAATTGCATCCATGACTGCGGCATACTGCCCGATCAAGGATGCAGCAATGTTCTCTGGCACATCCCCAACAAGCCCCCCTTTGCGGTCACCTTCGCGGCTTAGCCCAGAGGGGAGGACAGGAAGTGGTGAGTCTGGACTGGTACGGAAACGATGATTGACCTTGGTTCCACTTCGTTGTATTGGGACCGGGGCACCAACTCCTCGGGAACTCTTTCCTGGTCGTGCAAGCGTGATGCCCCAAGAGTCTGGTGGACTTCCAACAACGTCCGCCACAGGACCGTTTGTAGTAGATGCCGGATCGGACGTCCCTTCTCCATCTGACAGCAACGCATCCAGGTCGTTAGCAGTGACGCGAGGTACAGGAGTATCAGCTTCTGATAATATTTGTTTTATGCGGGAGTCCATGTCTGCCTGACTCGGTTTACCAGACACGGATCGCACGGAGCGCGGTCTTCCCGACGCAGATCCGCTTGCTTGTCCGTTTACCGTTAGCTCCATACCCGACCCGTTGGTGCCAATCTCCTCTTCAGGGTTCTCCCACTCGTCGTCGTTTTCCGCCTCTGCAACGCTCGCCTCAAGGTTTGCCACCTGTCTGCACATGGGACACAAAAACATGACGCCGGATCCCAAAAGAGGTGTGACACATTTGTAGTGGAAGCAATGAGAGCATGGAGCAAGGAACAAGGCCTGGAAGGGAGATATTGAGCACAGACAAATGCAACAATCGGTTGACGCTTCGGCATGTGTCGATGGATCTGACGAGTCAGCGTTCGGGTTCATTGCTATAACCAGGTTCTTGACTGCAAGGCGGAGTCTACAAGGATCATTTAATAAACAGGTCGGTACCGTCAAGCTAACATACGGTTCACCTTACCTGTGCGGATTCAGCTTGGGTTTGTACCCAACTTTGACAGTTATAAAGATTTTGATCATGACACATTTGTAAATCTCTTCTTGTCTTCCCTGATAATCAACTCCCAACTGGACCACATCGCCGTTTTTAAGGTTGTAAGGAATGCTTTCCTTCCCACTTGGAGATAACCGAAGACGATTTAGAAAGGTTCCGGAAGAACTTCCCACGTCCCTAAAAAAGACCTGTGGAGTGCGCAAGTAACGGCAGTCAGTTTACACTCGCCAGAAGCCGTCAGGATGCACAATATTCTCACCTGTCCATCCTTTCCGACCCAAAGCTCGGCATGTGTTCGGCTGACAACCTTGCTTCGGAATGCTATAAACTCTGCTCTTCTCTTTATCGTTTCCCCGGGTTCTTGTGATGAATTCTCGCTCGTCTCACGATCCACTTCCATTTCATCCATCAATTCCGCAACGGGCGGCGACCCTATCACAAATTCCATTTCCTCTTCGCCATCAGCAACATTGTTGCTCTTGTCTCCTCGGCGAGTCTTCTCCCGTCCAACATGATGCCTGTCCACCTTTCGACCAATACGAATAATTCCCCCCGGATACAAGTCTTTTTCAACCGGGGTGAATGAAAAGGCTGTGTAGTGGTGATGATGGCGGTCATGCTGATGCGAGTGGTGAGCTGGTCGGTCAGAGTGCGGAAAAAGCTGCAAGCGGACGGTTAGGGGAGGAACGAGTTGTTGCGGTTGTTCTTGGTGTTGTTCCGAAAATGACAATGTGTCGGGATGGAATCGTGACGGCGCTGACTTTGCAAGGTTCAAAGATGCGTTGCTGTTTGGCGTTAGCGGGAGAGGTTTAGACGGAGTGGGAATGGCGACTGCGTTCGATGATTGTTCCGACGCCATGTTGGTTACAAATCAAGATCAAGTCAGACAAGGAGTGGCGGTGAGGCGAGCCTGCCGCAATTATCGTTGTCCGTCCAACGACCAAGAGAAAGTGTAGGTGTCTTTAGTGTCCGCAGTGGTTTGTCTCAAACGGCTCCAGTAACAAGTGCGGAGGGCACAGCCGATGCCGAAAGGGATCCGTGAGCGCAAAGCAGGTGTATGAGTAAGAAGTTAGTCACGCCAACAACGGTCGTATGTGCGACTCTATGACAGTCACTGCTTGGGCAGTTGGCAATTCCTTTCCGCTTGCTGTCGTTTTCCCAACAGTCCAACGAATCGAGAGAATAAACAAGACGAAAATACAGTTTGAGAGATTTGGGTTATTTTGTCGCTTAAGTCAATCCCCCCAGCCCCCTCCTCCGGTTACGCGCCTTCCGCCCAAATACCCAATTTTGGGTTTCAGAAAAACGCGTTTTGAATTTCCGTTTGCAGAGCACACACACTTGTTTGCAGGACGTACGGCGAAAAGCAGCAAGGATTCACTGCACCATGTCATCCCCGCACCATCAAAACACACCCACACACACACACACACACATGTCATGCAACTCTGCATCGACAAGAGCCGCTTGTGGGTGTTATCGACCCTGAAGACAGTGACAACGCCATTCAAAGCCAGGGCAAAAGGGCTTAAACCGCAAGTGCGTGTGCGCTCAAAAACTTTTTGATGGGCAGACAGATAATTGATAAAGAAACTCAGCGCATTTTTCACACTTTTTGTTGTGATGTCACCCCATCCGATCCTCTCGGACACTTGCCTCCCATTTAAACCAATAAAGCCAATGATCGAGGGGCACAGTCATGCTATCTGTTCGCTATGGCAGTTGGATCCATCATGTTCTCCCCGCTCACCTTCCCCCCTGAACAATATCCTGGCGGCCCTTTTTCTTTCTTGTTTTTTTACTTGGCATTTGGGTAAAAGAAAATCGGATTTAAGGACGAAGGTGCCCAATTCTCATGTTCCGGAAAGCATGTCATTCCTCCGCACCATGAGGTTCCTACTAGAGTCACGCCTAGGTGATTTCATCCCAATACGTCGATCTATTTCAGATGAAGGGGTAAAGAACCGAAAAGGCGATAACAGAGTAGGCCCTCGGGCTCCTCAGGAGACAGAAAGTGGTAATGTCGGAAACGCCGCGACTACGGCCGCTGATGACGGCCCGAGGTCACCTCCTCCAGCAGCAACGCGCTCGGTAAGTGTCAAATCTTGCAAGTAATTCGCACGAAAGCAGCGATATATGCTCAACCGTCGGGCGAATTACTATGCTGTTGTCACTGCTCAAGTTGGATAGAGTCTAGCATATTGCTAACATTTGGATTGAAAATATCAGCCAGACCAGGCCCCAGCAAACGAACCACCCGCCCAAACGTCTCGATCGCCTCCTCCACAGTCCAACTCACCTGCATCCCCGTCCCAACCCACCTCCGAGCCTCGTCCATCAGCTCCTCTCCCCACGTCAACAGCGATTGTCCCTAAACCAACTAGCACGGTGCAGCCAGAATCTCCAAGGCCAGAGACCAGTCAACGCCCTTCTGCTTCTCCGGTAGGTAGCATATCATTTCCTGACGATATTTGTGGCCCAATCTGACGTTCGCTGGCCGGTCAGTCGGCAACGCAACCGCCGTCGCCACCCGAACCGTCATCGCGTCCGTCGTCAGCACCTATCCCGCAACCTCGGCCCCAACCTTTCGTTTCGACTGCGGCGGCTCCGGAGCCAGTCCCTCCTTCACCATCGCCTGACCCGCAGCCTCGACCCCAACCTGCTGTTTCGACCGCGCAGGCTCCGAGGCCGGTCCCTCCCTCACCATCGCCTGACCCGCAGCCACCACCCGCACCCGCCCCAGCAATTTCGCCCGCCCCTCCTCCTCCCGTCACATCGATCAGAGTAATCACATCCTTTATCGCTCTGCCTAATGAACGAACATCAAATGTCGTGATTACAAGCACGATTATAAATCGCGTTCCTGCTACAGTATGTTTAGATTTTTTGATTGATAGGATTAAAACTTCTATTCATCGCCATTGTCTTTCAGACTGGCGCATCAACAACATTTGTGACAGCCATTGATCCACCCTCAGGGGCTGATCCTACTGCTCGACCATCCAATAACCCCAGCGCATCTGGTGCCTTTCAATCGCGATCCAACAACTCAAACCCGGCTCTCATTATCGGTATCAGCCTTGCATCCATCATTTTTATCATCACTGTGGTCCTCGTCGTCTCTGCCGTTGCGAGGGAAGTCCGTAGGCGTCGCGCACGACGAAGGGGGATGAATCTTGACACTGATGCCGAAGGAGGGTGGACTGGGAATTTGCCTTGGGTGGGATCACAGAGGCGGCGGGATAGTGCCAGGCCTGTTCTTGCACGATCCACTGGCCCAACCTTTGTCCAAGAGCATGATCAAATTCATGTGGAACCAATGCAAAGGAGAAGTTCTGATGGCGGACTGTCGGATTATCACGGCGTCCTCGTTCCAGGTTTTACGGGCACGATCTCAAGTCGACCGTCGAGTTTTCATCATCGAGAACCTATACCTGCCAACTGGCGACATTTCGAACTATGGCCACATAGTTGGGCTAGTTCTGACCACAGTGAAGGGTTACGCCATGATGTTTTACATGTTGGCAAGCGTGATGGGTCAGAGATGCGATTGGTCTTGAAGGAGGATGGAGATGCTACATTGTAATGTGCTTGTTTGCACGTTTTCGCATGATGACAGCGGGTTTATCGCAATATGTATGCATTCTAGTGGAAAAAGTACGATTGTGATGTGTCTCGCGTGCGCCGTGCTGCAGGGTGTGCTCTCATGGGTGGAGTCTATCTGTCCTTTTCCACCAGTCATAAAATACTTCTCTTGCTATCCAAAGTTTATGATGAAACTAGGCCATGCCATTCTCAGATTCCACAGTAATTGCGCAAAATGAAAAATATGCCCCGCCGAATGTCGTCAGGTAGCTTTTGAGCGGTAATGTTCGGATTGTGTGCAGATCCAAATTGACCTGCTCCGGCGTCTCCAAAGTCAGTTAATTGGTTGTGGACAGTGATCAATGTCCCAGAAAGATTCCTTGAGTGTACTATCTGTCGCCGATTGTCATGACTGGAAAAGGACCACACAAGTGTTTAGTTGAGTCCCACATCCAGCATTGCTTGTTATGAGTATTGACAGTACATTCCGCTGTATCACGTCGTCATATCAGTCGTTTCTGGCATCTTTTTAAAAAGTTAAAAACTCGGGTCGTTATATCATCCTTTTGGAGCTCTCCCTCTCTCTCTTGCATAGTGACGCTCCAAATCCACTTGTTTTGGTTTTGAGGGCCAAACGTCCCACGAAGTCCACAAAATCACACTTTAGAAGCAAGGGGGGGTTGCATTTAATTGCACGCGTTGGACTCTGTACGAAAATTTCGGAACACTTTTCGGGAGTTCAAACCCGCACCCCACCTTCTGGTACGTCCAAAAGTAGACGGACAGAGAAGAGGGGACAAGCAGGAGGTGATGAACGGTGACCCTCGCAGCGCTCAAAAGGACTTTATATGTTCTGCAACTGACGGGAATTACCGGTCCCAAGGAGACCAACCAGTTCTTTGCAGGGTCAAGTTCTTCTCCTGTTCAAGTCTGGACTTGGTCTAAAGAAGCGGATGAGTCAGCTGATCGCCGACGACGATGCCTCGGCTGAGCCTCCGCGGCGAGACTCGGGGCTGAGGACCTTTAAAGAGCGGTAGATTTAGACGTGGACGTGGACACTATTCGACGGATGGACTTTAAGGAGAGTATCACATATTGGACTCCGATCTTGTTGGCATTAATAGGAACATGGGAAAAATAAGTGTAGTGTGATAAACAGACATTAGTTCAGCGATCGAAGGATCATAAATATCCTGCATGCGTTCTCTCCCGCTGTTTTTGTATTGCTTGATTCACTCGGCGGGCACAGCTCTCGACGTTGCACGTTGCCGTTGCTAGCCGTCTCTCCCGACGATAAAGGAAACAAAAGCCTGCCATCATGAGCACCACAACTCCCCCACCAGTTTCTCCGCCCCCCTTTGCATCCGCAGAGCTTCAATCAATTCAAGTCGCTGTCCGTGTAGCATCATGTCTGTCCATCCTGGGTTCGTGCTCCATTCTAGGCACCTACCTCCTTGCATCCCGCTTCAAGAGTATCACAAATCGGCTGGTGTTCTACATGTCGGTTGCGGATCTCGTTGCCAGTATAATGCTATCGCTGGGAAGGTAAGCTGTCTGAAGGAGCAAACTGATGAGCTTATCGCCTATCCATTCATCAACTTTATCATCACAGCTTCCCTATTGAACATGGATCGGAAGCATTCTGTTCAGCGCAGGGATTTATCATCCAGACATACATCCAGGCTTCCATGGTATACTTCAGCTACATCTCTGCTTCCAAGGTCTGTTTCGCTCACAGAGTTCATACATCTATTCTAGGTGTGGACTCTAGTCATGTCGATGAGTATTGTTTTTGCCGTGTGCAAGCACCGTCCCCTACGGGATTTTATGCGTTACGAAAAGTACTTTCACGCAGCTGCGTGGGGATTACCGTTGATTTCGTCAATCGTGCTACAATTGCTACGGGAAGATGATAAAGGACCAGTATTTGCCCCGAGTGTGTTTTGGTGCTGGATCGGTGGAAAGTATACATCGTATAGGTGAGTCTTGGAGTTTTTTGAGGCTGTTTGTGAGTGGTATCCTTCTAACTGTACGTAGAATGATTTTCTTTTATGGTCCATTGTGGACTGTATTCATTATCAATGTACTTGGGTATATGACGATTGGATGGATTGTATGGAGGGGTAACCGACGGTACGTTTGTACAGCAAAGCGATAATTGAAGCTTTCTGCTAAACATTTTCGTGCATTCTGCAGCCTAACAAGTTCGCTCGAAGTGCCGTTCAACAGGCGTGGCATTTCGATTCCCTCGCAGCGCACCTCTGCCGCGATAAAGAGATACATCCTGAAAACGTCCTTCTACCTGTTAGCCTTTTTTATCAACTGGCTTATACCAACCGTAAACCGCATTCAAAACATGGCGGATCCAACGTATCCAATCTATGGGCTTTTCATTCTCCATGCGGTACGCACCACCTTGGTCACTTCAAAACTTGTGACTGGATCTCACACCACATCCATCATAGGTTTCCGCACCGCTGCAAGGCTTTCTGAACTCGGTTGTGTACTTTTGGGCAACACCTCGATTCCTACGCTTCTGCAGGCGTTCTGGCCGCCTAAACAAACCGCGTCGCCAGGACCGTACTCCACGAAGCGTGAACGTCTTGACAATGGCGACAGCTCTGACTGGACAAATTTACGACCCCGCCCAGCCTGATAAAGTAAATCATACCGAAGCTTGGGTTAAATCCCTCCCTGTCGCAAAGACATTGACACAGGATAGTGAGAGTGCGAGCTCAACAGTTACCATGAAAACAGACGACTCCTCTACATCAAAACCAGGGAGCAAAATGAAGCCCCGCGATGAAAAGGTTCTGTTCAAGCATGCTCCTGCAACGCCGCCATTGCCATCGGCGCTTATGAACAAATATCGTCCACGATCAACTGAGCGTTCCCCATCGGTAAACCACAATCATGTCAGCCGGCGCGCTACGATTGCGTTGGAGAGCGAGACTGCGGATCGGCCGTCATCGGATTGGGCGGAGATTGTCGATGCCCTTTGTGAAGGGTTGGAAGGAACGCATGAAGAAGAATCCATCCATGAAGAGATCAAAGTATGACTATGCTAAAGTATTTGAATTTCGTGTAGATTATTATTGTTCCTTAGTCTATAGCTACATATAATTGTAATGTCAGTGCGTTATTGTAGGATAGTTTGTTTGTAGTCGGACGTTGTTATATTGTTTATCTTGCAATACAAATAGGGATTCCCCGTGTGATCTGAAAAACACATGACCTGCCTCACTGCTGAGCGAAGTGCTTGTATATAAGCATAGTTTACTGTAGTGAAAAAGGCTTTTACATAGTGTATATCCAAGTGCCTTCCTTAAGATAACACTCGCTACAGCTCAACATTTTTCCTCCATATGTTTAATGTGCGATCGCACACTCGTCATCAAAGTAATCAATATCGATCATGCACGTGACTGCATTAAAAATAGTTGAAATCCGCAGTTTGTCGGTGCCACAATTGAATCATTGCTTTTAACGTTTTTGGGCTTTGGGCTTTGTGTCGACTTTCTTTTTGGCTTTTCGATTTCTTACTTTTGATTACAGCTTGATCGACAGTGCATGGGCGACTTTCTCTGGACAGTTTTGCTAGGGATTGCTGCCTGAAAATCACATACACGTATCCTAGCTATTGGATTTCATTTTCCGCATTTTTTGGTGGGACAACCGAGGTTTCAAAGGCGGGAAAATCCGGAACATTGACGATCTGGCTGGCTTCTCTGCGTTGACGTTGTTAAAAGTGGACTTTTGAGTCGCTCAATCGGCGAAACATGGCAGCAGCTACCGCGAACGTTGATGAATTTCTGTCGGATTATTTAGAATGTACGCTTCCAGTTCTTGTCTATTCATCTGGGTGGGGATCAGGGTGATGGCGGATAATTCGACTGGGTATCATGTCAGGCCGCAGAGTGTGATCTTGGCAGGGTGTGACGGCCAGTGAATGAAAGCCTTTTAATCGATGGGGCAACCAACTAATTAATGGTCATCTTGTTTTGCCGTTTCATATATACAGCCATCTCCAATCTCCCTGCCGAAATTTCCTTCAACATGACCGTTCTCCGCGACCTCGACGAAAGATTCCATAATATTGTTGAATCAATGCGTCACAATTCGCGTTCGTATGCGGCTATTATGAAGCAGAGGCGGTCTTCTGCGACGAACGGTGGTCCTGTCGTCATTGGTGCTGACAAGGACGCGCGCGGGGCTTTGATTGGGTATAGGAGGGATTATCAAGCTGCGATGGAACAAGCGGAACGGAAGGTGGAAACTAGTCAGACGGTCTTAGATCAGGTATGTAACTTAGCAAGAAGCGACTGAATGATCTTGCAGCCGTTGGACGCTAATGCGACCATGATTTGTCACAGTTTAATGCACACTATGCACGACTAGAGAAGGCTCTGGAAAAGTGGGAAGACGAGGACAAGCCTGGATCACGCAAACGAAGGCGAACATATACCGATGATCAAACTCCTGCTAGACGGCGGACTCGGCAACGGACTGGTGCAGATGGCGGGACCAGCTTCAAGCGGAATGGTGGAGGATCTGACGACGAGGATCAAACACCATACTGCATTTGTCAGCAAGTTTCGTATGGGGAGATGGTCGCTTGTGACAATGAAAACGTGAGTTGATATACCTGTATTATAACGTTGAGCTTCCTATGCTAATGCACCACGAACATCAACAGTGTCCAATAGAGTGGTTCCACCTCGCCTGTGTGGGCCTCATCCAACCTCCAAAAGGCAAATGGTACTGTTCACAATGTCTTGGAGCGGGATATGGTCGGTCCTCGCCATTTGTTTCATCAAATCCTCGTAAATATGGCTCAACCCCATCGCTGGATACGTTTGATGATGAGTTTGTGGACATTGATGGGGAAGAAGATGATCCATACGCATTGAAAAAGGAGGGAGTGGGTGCTGCGAGGAGGAGAAGGAAGATGGAAGCCATTCAAAAAGTGGAAAATGAGTAACGTGTGAATGGGGTCGGTATGGGATGTTGGACTGGACATGAGGGCATTTTATTATTTTTTTCATTGTACAGTTTTGTAGATACATAAACATGATACATCTATTCCATCAATGTCGTTCAGCATTTTGAGGTTCTAGTCAAAGGACACTTTTCCGCATTCCCAGACAGAACTCTCCATTGAGTCGGTATCTGCTTCAGATCACCATTTACTCGCGTGGCTTGCCGATCTTCCCGTTCTAAATGTCTCCAGTCTCTCCAATCTACAAATATGTGGATACCTTTCATATACGCTGCCATGATTACCATGACCCACGTTTTGGGGAACATTTGGCGCTTACAAGCACGACTGAAATGCTACAGCAAACGGTACTTATAAACTTAACCTAATGGCGCGCCACACAGCAGAAGCACCAGCCTTTAGGAGCCACTGCGTTCTCTGTCGTAGATCAAGATCATGCAGAACCTACCTAACAGAGTCGGGCTTGCTCGTTCCGGGCGGTTGGTCATAAGCATGAATGCTTCAATTAGAGTTGGAAGATGCTTCCTCTCATTCCCATTCCCAATTTTATGTTTCTTGCTACTTGCATCTGCCAATTATGTTGCCCGGGTTGATGAATATGATGCACTCTGTTTTTAGTCCATTGAATTGAAACCAGCGGTCATTGCTTGATGAATTTAGTAACCTCTTCTCAACCATTGGGGACAGCTCATAGCCACATATAGTCTTGGATGAAGACTCAAAGCATGCGTGGCGATGATCATCTTAACACAACACAACAGCCTTTGCATCCACACTCTGACAACGCTGGTGGTATTTCGTGTTATTGACCAGAGAACATCTTAAATACAATCTTTACATTTCTGCATCCTCCAGGTATCGATACTCGAATCTGCACATGCAAACATTTACAAACTGAGGGTCTGTTCTGACCAATGGGAGGCTGAAACATACCGGAAATCTGCTTTCTTTCTTTGACACCAAGCTCCTTCGTAGTCAAAGTAAATATATGTCCCAAGCTCGTATTCGTCTGTTATCTGCTTTGGCTCTTCATGCCGTTGAAACCACGTTAGGTACTTTTTGTGAAATCTCCACGATTGCCGTTTCAATTCCCGTGCTGCTAGGTATCTGCCACAAACGCTGCTGAATTAACATATCTCCGCTCACAAGACGAAGCTGACCGAACACGTACTGCTGATATGTTCCCTGCTGGTAGTAGAAGATGAAAAACAGTACATCGGTGTCGAATTTCTCAAATACACTGGGATTCTCAAAAAGAGGGAGTGGTAATTGGGGGTAGTACGTGGGCACTGGGTAGGGGTTTTTAGGAATATAGTGCTTCGGTCTACGAGAGGTCAGCCTCTGTGAGCATGCTTTCCTCAAGAAGGATCAGTCAATCTGTTTACCTTTCAGAATCAAGCGGATCCGGTAAGAATTGGAAACTCGTCTGCAACATTTCTTGAAGGAAACTTGAGTCATCCTTCGCTCTTGTGGCTAATGACAATCCTCATTAGATAGATTCGACAAATAGCACGAGCATGGTGCTCTTACATCGGTCACGAGTCGCTTCAAATGACTGTACCAAGTCAGCAAGTGTTGGGGGTAATCGGTTGTCGATGGGCTCTGCCGCGGCATCGTCCTTGGCTGGATCTGTCGGTGCTGTCGGAGCTGCTTGCTATTATAAAAATACAACCAATGTGAGATGCTATCGCTCCATAGTTTGCCCAAGCAAATGACCCCTACTTTTACTATGCTACCGGAAGGAACAGCAGATGGAGAGGATTCCACGACTCCAGACGATGAAGCCGCAACAGGTAGAGGTGGATGTGTCCCTGACGGGGGTTGAGCCGGAGGAGTTGGTAGCGAAGAGGGTGAAGGGATCGCAGCAGGTTGTGATTCTTCGACGACGCGTGCTAAATTTGACGAAATAAATACTTGTAGGCACGGCCATCGAACTTCATACGATCCTGCATATCCCACCTTTTGGAACTGCTCGCTTATCTGCAGCAACGGGTTGCGATGCGCCAGCTCGAGTTGCGCTGTCCGGTGTTGAAGCAGCTGCTGCCGCCGAATATCGTTGCGTGATATTTGGCACAGGGGCTGGCTCCGGAGCCCGCGGAGTCGCAACAACGGGACGTGTTGTGATTGGCACAGCTTTCACAGGCGTTTTAACTGGAACAGGCGCTGGGACTGGCACCGGCACTGGTACCGGAGCTGGTGCTTTCGGAACTGCTGATAAATTGCCAGTGTTCAGCAAACAGAGGTTCAGAGGCATGCTTACAAGCATAGATTCTACCTGCTACTCTCGCGGCAGCCTTTACGATCGCTGTCTTGGTTGGGGTCGTAATCTACCAGTTCAGGTAGTAGTCAGCGTACATACTGCTTGTTAAATTCCGCCACAGCCGAGGCCGATCAGGACTTACATCCTCAAGGTCAGTTTTATCCTTTGATGACTTTCGCTTGGCCGAGTCGTCATGATGCTTCGCATCTCGGGCTGGAGTTGTGAGATTAAGTTCGGCAGTCTGAAAAATATAAAAGCTCAATGCGACAGATCCATTGTCAGGCAGAGGTACATAAGAGGTACATACATCCTTCTCCTTGGGCGGTGTTTGGGGTTCTGAATACAGTTGTAAGTATGAGCCGGGCCGTTACTCTGAGATATGATCTGAATCACGTACCATATCCTCCCTCCTCATGACCATCGTCCGGCTTGAGACCATATGCTTCCAGATTCTCAAGATCCAGATCCTCATAAAGGTATTCATTTTCATCGAAATCTGGATCCTGGTTGTTTTTGACGTAGTAATCTACATCTTCTTTTATGGCTTTAACCTAACACGGTATTGTGGCGTGGAATTAGTAAGTGTCTTTATCAAGTATTTTCCAAATCAAGTCTTCTCCTACCTGTTCGACCTTCAGCTCTTCGTTCGCAACCATTCGTTGAATGATTTCTAGTTGTGTCATGTGCCATTTATGTCGCTCGAGCTGATGGTCAATTGCTGCTAAACGCTCTGCCTTTGCCGCATCGCCCCCTTTGCGTCCTCTTCGTGCTTGCAATTGTAGACTTTCTTGCTCGGCCTCAAAAACTTCAACCTGTCGATTCAATTCTTTTACAGTGTCCGATATCCAGTCCTCCAGGTCTTCTCTTTCTTTCACTTCTGGATCATACTTTTGCGGCTGCAAGAGACCTTCTTTTGAGAATGCTTTCAGCTTGAGGGCCTTTTCTGCAGCTTTAAATCGCTCCATTTGCTACAGTAGACGAAGAGCATTAGCGATAAGGGCTCGTTTACAGCAACGGTTCCGTATGGCTAGGCGATCGCCATGCGTACCTCCTCAATGAGTCGCCGATTCTCTTCAAGATTTCTCTTGTCTTTAATGTCGCTTGATGAGAGCCATGTTCTTATCTGATCTCGCAACCGTTGTAGCTTCTTGATTTCCTTCTTGAGGTCTCCCTCATACTTCTCTTTTTGAGCTGGTGTTGTGGCAGCATCGAGTTTGTCAAATGTCTCCCTGAAGATCTCGACGCCTTCCGCAACCCTTTTGAGAACCTTATCAATCTCTCCTGTAAAAGAAACAATGTGAGCCAAGAGCTTTTCAAAAATACATGACAGCAAGCTCGCAATATGCCATCTCTCGCTTTCGTCCCACTGACTGTGCAAAAAAAGAGATTCTGCATACCTAACAGTTTCCTGTTTGCCATGGTCGGTCCTTCATGGAATAGCCCCGAAAAGTCGTTCGCCGCAGTCAGCTACCACACGTCGTGTTACCACCGTAAAGTACTCAGATCTCCTGTGGAGGAACAGTGAATGTCGATGGGGTTGCTTGGAATGCTGCTTGCACTCTGCCCAGTTTGATGTGCGACACGTGAACATTGTGATATCTGGGCCACCCAGCGACTGCATCATCAGCGGCGGTGTTTGAACTTGACGCTAGCTGTTTGCCCGTCATCTCAACCGATCTGAACACCATTTCCTCGCGCTTTTCTTACTAAAAAGCAACCAAAATCACCCAAAATGTCATGGCGTTCACCTACCGATGGCTTTGCGCCAAGCAAAGCGTCGCAGCAAGTGGTAGAGGACAATGTTCGGTATGAAAAACGATAAATTATTGCTTGAAGCCAGACTTGACATAGGTGGCCGTCTCCAACCCGTTATCTTCTTAGCGTTATGGATAAGACGTGGGAGAATATCCAAAAGAAAAGTAAGTTGTCTAACGCCCAGCGAAATATCGCATAAAGCCGTTATTGGACGTCCTCATTAATGGGATTTTACTGTATCTTTGCAGCTTTCACAAATTGGATAAACAATCAGCTGAAGCAAAAGGACGTTGCACCACTCGAGAACCTTGACACAGACTTGTGCACCGGCGAGAAACTCATTCAGCTCTTAGGTGTGCACTAATACTAACCGATTCGCACCGCGTTCGGTTTCCATACATATATGTGGACTCATCCTTATGCGCACACAGAAATCATTGGCGATGAATCGCTGGGAAGATACAACAAGAATCCGAAGCTCCGCATCCAGAAGGTTGAGAACATGAACAAGGCACTGGAGTTTATCCGGAGGCGTGGAGTCAATCTCACTAATATTGGAGCTGAGGTATCGTAGCTGGCTGATGCTTGAATTGGCACTGCCATCTAACCGGCTTACGCTATTCAATGTATTAGGACATTGTTGATGCCAACGTAAAGCTCATTCTCGGTCTTATTTGGACTATCATTCTTCGATTTACCATTTCGGAAATCAGTGAAGAGGGGCTTTCCGCGAAAGAAGGTATGAATTATTCCATATGCTTCGACGAACCGGAACCAAGCGAGCTAGTTATTCACTGGACTCGAACAAGGTCTTCTTTTATGGTGTCAACGAAGGACCGCACCCTATGCATCCGATTTCCATATCAAAGATTTCACCTTCAGGTACCTTGTGACTATACATGATATTTGTTAGATGGCTTTCATTGATTCAGGGTTCTTCATCAGCTGGCAGGACGGTCTTGCATTGTAAGCTTTGGATGCGATTTCGTGGCGAACCCAGCCAGTTTCACTAATCATCCAACCTTAGGTGCGGTTTGATCCACCGCCACCGTCCAGATCTGCTTGACTATTGGGCGCTTGACAAAGTATGCGCATGCGTATCTGTTGTGTAATAAGCAGTATACCTGACTTGAACATAACCATTGCAACCGCATGTAATAGAGCCGAAGGCACGAAAACACGCAATTGGCATTCGATGTCGCCGAACAGCAACTTGGCATTCCCAAGCTCTTCGAGGTCGAGGATATCGTAGATGTAGCCAAGGTACACCACTTTCTTCAACCTCCTGACCATGCATAATCTGATTTTCATCAAATATGTAGCCCGATGAGCGCTCTGTGATGACATATGTTGCTCAGTACTTCCACGCTTTTTCGGCTCAAGATAAAATGGGCGTTGCTGGCCGACGTGTTGGACAGATGGGAGTGGTAAGACGGCGCCCTGTCTTTTCAACTAATACTCTTGTATCTCATTGACATTGTGTCCCAGGTTATGCAACAAGCCTGGGAAATGCAAAACGAGTATGAACGTCGCGTCCGCGCTTTGATGGACGCCATCAACGGCATTCAATCCATTTGGGGAAGCACTGGCTTTGCTGGATACAGCGACGCAAGGCGACAGCTGCATGAGTTTGAAACGTACAAAAGTACTACCAAGAGAGGCTGGGTGGCGGAGAGGCGTGAATTGGACAGTGTAAGTATGATATGTCATTTGGATCCAATTGCAAGATTGATCTTGATGAAACGTGTGTGTAATTTCAGCTTCTCGGAAACATTCAAACTAAGTTGAAAACATATAACTTACGACCGTACTCGCCACCCCAAGGACACACCTTGCAGGTATGTATGCAAAGGGCTGCTCTGTGTTTTACATGATCTAGCTCATCATTTAGTCGCATATAGGATCTAGCTACCTGCTGGGACTCCCTCGTTGAGGTCGAAGCGGGGCGAAAGCGAGCGATCACTGTCTACATTCGAGAGTAAGAGCTGCTGCCCCTCAACCCGAAGTCCTGTAAAGTAATCATGTTTGCACCCAGCACAAAGGATGCCCTCAAAAAGAAGTTCGCCAATGCTGCCAACCAATTCCAAAACAATCTGAACAACATTTCCGGATCGCTGACGGATTTGGAGGGTGATCTCAGCGTAAGCATATTCCAAGGGCTCCAACAAGGATGTTCTCTAACGACGCGTGCCTGCGCCCCTGCAGAACCAATTGGACACTGTACATGAATTAATTCTCAGACTGGAGCCGTTGAAGAACGACCTGCAGGTTCGGACCCCAGCAGCACATTTGCGCAAGTGCTTTGCTAATCTCAGCATCCTGTAGGATCTTGAACGTTTGAACGCGGAATGCATGGAGGCGCACATTGAAGGTGAGTTATAGCCGCTTCTTATCCGGTCATGACGCTTACAAACTTATGCATACTTTGCCCATGCAGACAATGAGTGAGTTGCTACGAAAAATGACAAGAGTATATAACCGTTTTTTCGGTTGACAATCTTTTAATTCAGGTTCACGATCTACTCGGTTGAAGACCTGTCCTTTGATTTCGGCCTTCTCACTCAATCTGTGGTCAAAAAGTCTGCATTCATCGAAAACCAAATGGTCGCGAGAACCAAAACAAACATCACCCCTGAGCAGCTGGAAGAATTTACAGAGGTGGGGGTTCTTGACGCTGCTTTGATATTATAACTGTGACGAGTATATTGATGCTTTCATGTTGCAGACCTTCCGCTTGTGTGATGTGGATAACTCCAATTCCTTGAAACGTGAAGAATTCAAGTCTGCACTGCAAGCAGAGGGTACAGATTTCGACGTGAGTACCTCGAGTATGCCATGTGTATATCTTAGCCGTCCTTTCTATCATGGTAATCATTTCTACGTAAAACAGGACACGACGTTTGAGAATCTCTTCCAGACCGCCGTACGCGGTGGCGAGGAAGTTTCTTTTGAGCAGTTTATCGATTTCATGAAAGCTCAACAAGAAGATCGCGCCAATCCTGAGCAACTCAAGGTCTCGTTCCAGACCCTTGCGGGTGACAAGGTGAGAAACATGCCGACTGTCGATTGGAAATCCGACAAAGATCTAACTACACACGGTAATCTTTTCCTATAGCCGTACATTACCGAGGCCGATCTCTACCGTGGCGGTCTTGCGCCTGCCCTCGTCGAGTACCTCAAGCAAGCCATGCCAGCCCGCGGCGAAGGATATGATTACGCGCAGTTTGTGGATGGTGTTTTTGTCTAGTTGTACGCGCACGCACATGGCAGGTTGCGTACATTGCATGAGAAAGGGATATAGGTTGACCGTGTTACTAGGATCCAATTATATTGTTTTTCCAAAGTTCATCGTAATTTGTTGATGATAGTAAATAGGTTGGCGTTGTCTATTGGCCATCCACTTATTTGTGACCACCCCATTTCACGTTCATAGATACTCGGCCAAAGGCTCCAATAAGTCCATATCGGCATCTAACTTTCTCCCAACCCCCTCAATAATTACAGAACAAACAAAAAGCCCAACAAACTCTCCATCCAATCCAATCCGATGATCCCTCAACAATGTGGCAACCCGCGCAATGACCTTTGCGGTATGAATCCTGGACAGTGGGAGCCGGCCGCCCGCGTCCATTTTCAAGTCATCCATAATGACACGCAGTGTTTCCTTTGCTCCTTCAGGGTCCCGCACATTGTCAGGATCTTTACATCGCGTCAAGAGCAATTCTGCAATGCGAGCCCCATCGTATTCCAAACCAGCTCGAAATGATTCCTTAACATTATCCATGTTCTTTGGACTCAGGCTGGACACGATCCCCGCGTCCAGGAGCACAACCTGAGGCTCATATCCTTCATTCACCATCCGCTGGAGAATCGATTTCCACGCATCCGATGGTGCACGAGCAAGGTTGTCCAATGCGTCGCGCGCAAGAGTTTGAGGATGGAAGAGTGATTGGGTTTTGGCGTCTTTGGTGGGGTCTATTTTGGTTGTGAGCCATGCCCCGGCTTTTTGAGCCATGCTGGGTGAGGAGGGGGTGCGCGAAAAAGTGATGAGGATGTTGCCAGGGTGGAGGTCGCAGTGGTAAAAGTTGTCTTTGAGGATCATTTGCTAATAGTTGTTTGTTGTTATGGTCGGTTAGTAGGTCAACAGGAAAAGAAAGTGAATGTTTATCAAGCCTACCATGAATGCCGAAACTCCAATAAGAGCGAGTTGGGCATCGTACGGTGTCGGCCCATTATCCAACAAACTCCTCAGCAACAACCCATGATGAAATGTTTCGACCAAAACTCGTCGAGATGCCTTGAGTGGCTTTGGAAAAGTGACATTCGCCACTCCCCTTCTCCGCCCCTTCTCATCTTGCCCCTCAAAGTTCTCCCGAAAGATGTCCAGATTTCGAGCTTCAATGGTCATGTCCATTTGATCCCGCATCATGTGATCAAAGGTGGCGATTTCCTCTGGGATGGAGAGGTACTTGGCGGCAGGAAAGAGGTTCAGAAAGGCACCAAAGGCGGCGAGAAGGGCCAGGTCGATCGATACTTGTTCTTCTACGTTAGGGTGAAGGACTTTGATGGCGCATTCAATGGGTGGAGACGTATCTGTGGGGTTGAGAACCGCGCGGTGAACTTGGGCGACCGCACCAACACCAATAGGATCTACATCAAATTCAATAAAAATATCATCGAGCGGTACGTTGTTGTAGAGGGCTTGGACAGCCGATCGGGTTGCGGAAAACGGGTGGGGTGTCACACGGTTCTGGAGACGAGCAAAGACGGCGCAGATTTCGGGAGGAATCAGGTCGGTCCGGGAGCTAGTCCATTGTCCCAGCTAGCACAATGCCAAAGTCAAGGGTGAGTCTGATGAGTTCACACACTTCATCCAACACTGTCCTTCACATGAAATAAGTACAAACCTTTATAAAAAAGGGTCCACACCTCTCCAAAGCCCATGCGCATAATCTCACCCACCAAAGTCTCACCCCCCCATCCTCGCCCCTCCCCCCTCTCGCAATCCTCTGCCGGTTCATATACCACCAAACAGGAAACGTGATAACAACAGGGGCAAAAAAGAATGCGAGCACTACAATGCGCCAGCAGAGTCGGAGGAGTGTTAATGGTGATTTCCAAAGCGGTGTTGTTGTTACGGGTCGGGGAGCTTCTTCAATGACAGCGGGTATGGAGGAAGAGACATTATCCTGCTCTGCGGTGTATATTACAGGAAGAAAACAGAGGCACCCCACTCCACTGAGACCCCATATTGAGAGCCGATACCGATGGAATCCCTTTTTTAAAGTGGATATCGATACGGCGGAAGAACGTACCGTCGACACCATGCGACTCGAAAGTGTCGTGCGTGGGATGAAAGACGGCACAATGCGTGTCGAGAGAAAGCGTCCTGCAGTCCATGATACGGATGTTCGTACGCACAGCAATGTTGGGGAATAAAATAGGAGGGCTTGTCTGGATCTCAGGAGCATCATGTTCCGCTTCTCCTGCAGCCAACAGCCGGCATTTGATGGGGTTTAAAGTCGCTGGAAGTGACGCGTGCCTGTCCGGCCACCCGATCGTCCCAATACATGTAATCAAAAAGCCCCTTTCTCCCGTTGATCCTTTTCTTAAACGACAGTTTATCAACCTCAACGACGAGGGCAAGATGAACAACAACCAAAAGTCAAGGAGAAGAAACACAATCTGTAATCTGTGAACGAGAACATAATACTTTGATCTATCAGAACAGCGACTCATACGATTTATCCTTCCTAGTGCCAGCCATCTCTCTGCATCCACAGCCCCAACACCAAGAGTTGGTCCATTGCCAACATGATGGAAGTCTTGCTCTGGTGGAATTTCTTATAGAAAACAGACCCGCAAAACTTTATAGATTCTCCCCTTTATCTCTTTAATAACACAGATGACCTTTGCATACGTCAAACAAAATGATTTATTCTGACAAAATATTTAAATAAAACAAGAAAAAAAAAAACAAAATCAAAATATATCAACTAAAATCTAAAAGTCATCTTCGTCTGATTCGGAAAGGGGCTCTCCGTTCTTGATTTTGAGGGCACGACGCTTCTCCTTTGCCTTCAATTCCTTGCGGGTAAGCTTTCTCTTGGACTTCACCTTGCTCACGTTGCCAAAAGCGTCAGTAACAGTCTCGGCTTCCTTCAACTCAATCTTCTCAATGGGCATGTCACGCTTAGCACCAGTGATGGAAAGCTTTCCAGCATCAACGTTCCACACTTCGGGGCAAATCGCACCAGTGAACTCGCGGTTGTGAGAAATGATAACGACACCTCCGCCAAAGTCTTGAATGGCACCAGCAAGAGCACCAAGGGAATCACGGTCCAGATAGTTGGTAGGCTCATCAAGAACCAACATGTGGGGGTTGTTCCACATGGCCGCTCCAAGGACAACCTTGACCTTTTGTCCTCCAGACAAACCACGGATACGGCTGTGGGTAGCAAACTCGGGTTGCAAACCGACATCGTTGAGGTGCTGCTCGACTCCCTTTTGAGTCAAGGGACGGGCGTACATACCCTCCTTGGCTGCCTCCTTTTCATCAAACCATTGGACCATCTTTTCGAAACCCCAGTCCTCGAGACGGTCGCGAGAGTGCCATGTGTTGTCATCGTGGGAACGGTTCATCCACTTGACTTCGTACTCGTATGAGCGCTTGGCCTTACGACGACCCATGATTTCCTCAAAGAGACGCTTCTCGCCTTCAATGGTAATGGGCTTCTTGAGCGCAGCCTCCTCCTCGGGAGTCAACTGACGGGCAGCCTTGATGAGGGATTCCTTGTCCTCTCCGTACTGGTAACGCCAACGAATGTACTCGTTGGGAGTCTTGTCGAGATGCTGCTCAACGTGATGGAAGGCGTGCTGGGCCACGTAGGCGACACGAAGGTTGGGGTGCTTCCAGACGTCACCAGAGTCGGCGACGAGCTCACCAGTCAGGAGCTTGATCATGGTAGATTTACCAGCACCGTTGGGACCAATGACGGCAACACGAGAGTTGAGAGAGCATTGCAATGAGATGCCAGTAAGTGTAGGCTTGGAGCCACCGGGGTAGGTGAAGTTGACGCCAATCATCTTCAAGATCGCCTTGTCCTTGGACTTGATACCTTCAAGGAATCCAGGCTCGGGGAACTTGAACTTTACGGTAGCGGCAGAGAGTTCGTAGTAGGACTTTGCCTCGGGACGCTGCTCAACAAATTTGGACAAGTTACCACGGTAGGTCTTGAGTTTGCGGTTCTCATAATGGATAATGTTGGTGCAAACATTGTCCAAGAATTTGGAGTCGTGAGAGACAATCATCGAGGTCACGTTGGGGAGGTTGGTCAGGTAGTCCACCAACCACTGTACGTTGGTCACATCAAGATGGTTTGTAGGTTCGTCAAGAAGAAGAATATCGGCATTCTCCAACATGGCACGAGCAAGCTCGAGCTTCATCTTCCAACCACCAGAAAGGGAACCGACGGCCTGAGCGAGACGCTCGTCGTTAAAGCCGACGCTCTTCAAAGTGCTGACAACTTCGTCCTTCTTCTCCATCATCTTGGGGTCAGCAAGGACAAAGTCGAGCACGGACAAGTCAGCATCCTCAGCTTGGAGGGTGTGCTCGACAAAGACCGTCTTCAACTCATCGGCTGGAGGGAAACCTTCCAACTGGCCGTTTGCGATGGCACGCATAAGCGTGGACTTTCCGACACCGTTGGGACCGCAGAGACCGTAACGTTGACCACGGACCAATCGAAGCTTGGTGTTGTTGAGCAGAATCATACCACCGTACGCAAGAGAGAATTCGCAGTTGCAAAGTTCTTCGCCTTCCTCCAGATCTTCTTGCTTGGCATCCTTTTGACGAAGTTTGTCCAAGGCCTGGTAGTGAACAAGCAAGGGCTTGGCAAGAGCCTTGGCCTTTTCTTCACCGACGAAAGGGGCAATGAACGCGACAGTGGCACCGTGCCAGTCGGGGGTGTTGAAGATGCGTGTGTCATACATGGCCTCAATGTGGGCAGCCACGTACTCGAGCGTCTGAGTATCAACTTCACCACCAGTAACGTCCTTGATGGTCTTTTTCAAGGTGTCAAGGACCTCCTGGTGCGCGTCGGCCTTGCGTTTGGCTACAGTCTCTGGGTCCTCAGTCTCAACGTCGGCACCACCACCGACACGAATGAGGGTGGCCTTCGCACGGGCAGCCACAGCACGAAGTTCAGGATCGGCCTGCACGTCAATGATACGTTCGATACCGGGCAGAAGAGGAGGCAAGAACTGATGTGCCTCGGCGGGGTTCTCAACGAGCTTACACATGTTGTCAATAATGACACAAGTTTGACGGAGCACAGCGGGCTTGCGCTCGGAAAGACCACGAGTGAGAAGAGGACCCATGATGGCAAGGGTGGGAGCTTGAACTTCAGTCACGAAAGTGGTAGCAGCGAGCTTGAACACGCATTCTGGCACTTCGTCGGGGTCGGCGATACATCCAATCAATGAGGGCAAGAAAGGAATAATATCAATGTTGTCAATGGTTCCAGTAACCTGTGTCATGGCCTCCTTGGCGGCAACCTGGACTTCAGGCTTTGTGTCCCACATGCATGTTGAGACGACGGGAAGGATCTCAGGCAAGCAAGCGCATACTTGGCTTGCCGAGTGCTCAGACATCCGGCCGAGGTATTTTAGGGCAGCGACCTTTGTTTGCCACTTTTTCTCGTTTGTGAGCTGGGAGAGGAGGAGAGGAACCAGGAGACGGACAGAGAACCGTCCAGGAAGCTTGAAGAGCGCATCACCAGCTTCTTCGGCAGCGGCACGGACATCCTTGTCCTTGTCACCAAATAGCTCAATGACGAGGGGAAGTTGGGAAACGAGGTAAGGTTCCGCAGTGTGACCGAGGGCCTCTACAAAGGCGGTAATTGCGAGCACCGAGCCTTCACGTGCTCCAGCGCTTTTCTTGTGCTCGGATGCGGTTTTCAAAGCGTCCAAGATACCGTACTGGGTGAGACCGACGCGCGCGCCGGCCGTCTTGACGATACCAGCCAAGTCTTTGGCAGCGGTCCGTCGCTCATCCGAGGTCGCAGCGGTGGTGAGGGTGTTGAGGAGGTCGCCGACAAGAGTCGCGGTCTTTGGGTCAGCCTTTGCAGCCATTTGTGGTATGATAATAAGAATAAAACGAAGAAAACAAGGACTCTTCTATAAATGTTCTAAGTCTAAAATAACAAACAGGAACAAGAGGAAAAAGTGAGTGAAAGGAAACTCTTTATATACCTGTAGCAGACTGCAAAAAAAAAACTGCGCCAAAACGGTGGGGACACCGCCATTGACTGCAGTTCTTCGTCGTCGTCGCTCGTTGACTACTTACCGAACAGATACCCAAAATTCCTCGATAAAAATAAGACCGGACAGCAGACGGGGGTGTGGGGACAATGGGACGGAAGGAAGGGAAACCCGCTGGCTAACGCAAAAAAAGAAGAAAAAAAAAGCGGGGGGGCGACTCGTCCACTCCCTTTTTATATCCGCGACGGGGACGAGACGAAAAAAACCAGGAGAAAAAAAAAAGCGAGAGTTGAGTGGAATGCAATCCAATCACACTCCAAGGATAAAAATGTTGCTATCCATTCAGACGAACACGTGAAGGAGATAATAACACGTGACTTGCACACGGACTCTTTGAATGTTGCGCATGCAAACGCCAGAATATACAGTTCAGAAAAGGGCGTGAACGTTTTGAGCAAGTAGGAGGTAGCAATGAAAGTTTACAATCTCCATCTACTTGTTTGGGATCGGTACAAGAGACTGCATCTCCGCTTGCTACAGCACCCTAGCATACCCAGCGATGTCTTTCTGCCATTAGTGGAATGTCAATGAAATCTGTGAGGCTATACGCAGTGACAAGGCGACAAGACTATTCAAGGACGTTGCTCTCCGTGGGCGACATCTTCCTTTCTGTACGATGCGTGCTGGGGAGGATGGGCGTTAGTGGAGATAGTGGATGAATCCAGTGCATTCCATCCAGTGATTACAACTGCTCATGCAACTGCGCAGCGTCGCCTTTTTGAATCTTCCAGGTCGACAAGGAGGGAGTTGGAAAGATGAAGGCTTTTTGATACGTTGAATTAGAGGAGATGACCATGTTACTTATCGCTGCTTTTGCGCCGGCAAAAGCTCAATCAGTCTTAAAGCAATCATTTCCAAAGTTGACCATCTCCCATAAACAGTCATGTGGTAGCATCTTCTAGTCCTATGCAATTAGACATTATATCCCTCCACATCTCTCTCCTTTGCAGGAATGTATGTGCTCTGGTTCCTCCTCCAACTGGACAAGAGTCTGCATACGAATGAAAAGTAGGTGAACACTGCATGATAAAGAGTGTTTTGGAAAACAAAAAAAGAAACGTTGGGAGACGGGCGCGCGCAATGAAAACACAACACACACACACACACACACACGCCCATTCATTTCCCCATTGAATTTTTGGCGCTCCCTCCCAACTCTCTCGTCCAGAACGCATTTCATACCCATTTTTCTTTTTGCACACATACTCTCCATCCAAGAGTTTTTGGGTCCTTTGGCCATTCCCAGCTGCTTCTGGCAATTGCTTGTCTCTGCATACTACACTAGCTCTTTTTCTAGTTGGACGTTTGCTACCCTGGCGCCTCTCATTCCACTCCGCTCTTCCATGGCTTCTTTGCCTCCGCCGCCTCCGCCGTCACTGATTTCCTCTCCACTTACGTTCGATGGTCCTCATGTTCCCATTGAGACTCTAAACCTCTCTCAATCCACATTACTGGATGCAGATGACTTGGAAACAGTGTACAGGGTATTAACGACGGTGACTGCAATTCACTCCCGCGGTTCATGATTTGACACATTCCCATTACAGGTGGTGGAGGAGTTCGTCCGCGGGAATATTGACGGTCTGGGAATGGACTTTCAAGTCTGGGAATGGTCAAAGCCAGGTATGTCGGAGCCATTCCGTTAAAGGGCATCGCGACACAGGGTCTAACTTTTTTGTCTGAAGAACTCTATGGACTTATTTTGGGCATGTTTGTCAAGCATGGCTTGGTACCAGACTCACAGACTTTTGCAAGCTTATTGGACTTTGTCGTGGACGTTGCAAATGGCTACCAGGACAATCCGTACCACTCCTTCCTCCACGCTGCGGATGTAACATACATGGTGTATTGGATTTTGGCCGACCTGGCGTTGGCGGAGGAGTTGGGATTTACGTCGGTAGAGTTTGTTGCGCTGCTCATTGCCGCTTTGACGCATGATGTGTTGCATCCCGGTTTGAACAACTTGTACCATGTGCGTATTCCGTTAAAGACTGGTATCGTGACAATCACACTCACTTCATTCTTGGGCCCCGCAGATAAACGCGCGAACCGAGCTTGCTCAGCGATTCAACTTCAAATCTGTCCTCGAGATGCAATCATGCGACCACGTACAATACCTCTTGCAAAAGCACACCTTTCTGCGCACGCTTTCCTACGGCGAATTTGGAGAAAATATCAAGGATCCTGCTGCGCTTGTTCAAAAGATCACCTTGGAGGCAATATTAAACACGGACATGTGCCATCATTTCGGGCTTTTGGACAAGTTGAGCTGCACGACCGAGGCCGTTATTGGCTCGCCATCACCAAGCGAGGAAGACTTATATAGCGATGACGAGGACCGTGGGGTGGTTCTAACAAAACCAGAACAGAGGGAGAGCACAGGGGACAATGGGGCAAGAACGCCATCGCATATAAATGCGTCGGCAGAGAGCGTGAATACCATTCCACGGATATCGTCGGTATCGAGCGATAGTGTCGGTAGTCAACGTCCGAGTGTCGCGAGAAGGACAAGTCTACTTTTGAGCAAAGATCAGAGACAGCAGATGATCAATGTCCTACTCCATGCTGCAGGTGTGTATGTGCAATGCACTTCAACTTGTCATTTTTGTACTCATTCTCTTTGCACGTCGTCAGACATTAGCAATGCCGCAAGACCTTACGCAATATGCAAGCGCTGGTCCGACATGGTCGTCGAAGAGTTTTTCCTCCAAGGAGAACAAGAAAAGAAGATGAACCTCCCCGTCTCCCCCAATATGGACCGCGAAACCACGAATCCGGTTCAGATAGGCTTTGACTTCAATGAATACGTTGCCAGACCCTATTTCGAAGTTCTTGGCGAATTGCTGCCGTCCATGCGACCCTTTGTCGAAAACCTCATTGGGAATCGAGCAAAATGGGAAAGCATGGGTGCCTCTGTTCGACCGGCCCAACCCCCTCCCAACAAATCCGACGAAATAGCGGTGTCCAGAGGGCGGAGATTGAGTCTTGCTGCAGGAACTATTGAAATCCCGCAGGCCTTTGACAATTATATTGCGGCACGAAGGGGTATCAAACACCGTTACAAGACTAGCCGAAGCCTCTCTAGCGGCCGCTCACGCGGAATCCTTCCGCTTACCGGCAGCGGCAGCCACCACAGCTCAGTCTGGAGCGTCGAAGGCGAAGTCCCCGCGTCATCTGAAAGCGATTCCAATGTTGCAGAAGAACTCGCCCGAGATCATCTGAGCACACTCGGGCTGTTTGGAAGTAAGAAATGGTTCCCGCAACGACGCTGCATGTCTATGGATGCCCAAGCGACTGATACCGGCGTGTTTCAGAGATGGAACTCGACGTTTAGGCACCAGCATGCTCGGGAGGAGGATATCACTGGGACACCACCCAAGGAGACAAAGATACCATAATACTCGGCTCCTACCATTTTTGTATCATATTTTTTTTGGACTTTTTGGGCATTTTCAATCTATATATGTGTATTTTGTAAGGCACGTACAAAAAAGGGCGGGTATGATACTATCCTTTGCTGTCTACTTCCGCGCTTTGGCGGAGCTTCTTGAGTTTATTGACTGCCTTCAACTGCGGATGTAGCGAGCATGAGCGAACATATCGCAAAGTGTAAACAGCAGCGGCAAACTCACCACCGTAAAGAGTGGAATGATGCCCTTGACAGCTGTTTTGATATCCTCTTCAGTAATATCAGAGACGGGTACACAGTTTTCGGATCTGCTTCGTAACGGAGCTGTGCCATTTTTTGTCACCCACGGATGAACCTACAATGTCAACAAGACATGAGTGTTAGGTCAACGCACCATAATAAACCATCTTACGTGCCCGCAGTTCGTCCATCGAGATACGCTGTGTGGGGTTCTTTTCTAATCTAAGTCCAGAAGCATCAGCACACTGTCGTGTCTACCACGACCCATCATGAACCGAATCACAAAAAAAGAAAAACCTACAATCGCTCCAAAACATTTCTCTGGAGCGCACTCGCGCTGTCGGGATAAGGAGTCCTGAAAAAGTAATCCGTAAACGTTAAATCATGCTCTCCAACCGGCACAAGACCGCCGCCAAAGCAATAACTTACGGTGCAGACCGAATGCTTTCATACAGATCTATAATAGATGTTCCATTGAACGGTAATGAACCAAATAGCATGCAATAGAGCGTCACGCCCATTGCCCAAATATCGCACGCGCGAGCCGAGAAATCACCATGGTGTGCTAAAAAGACACTTGTCATTAGGATCTCAAAATGTCCAAAGACAAAGCACCTTTCCATTACCAACGCAGACCTCCGGTGCGGAAAAGGCCGGTGACCCCGCCGAAGTTTTGAGACGGTCGCTAGCAGGACTGAATATCTCAGAGACGCCAAAGTCGACAATCTTGAGTGTTCCGTCCGCTGCGACAAGCATATTGTCCGGCTGAGGGAGGGGTTAGAGATACAGCTTCTATTGCAACGCAAGACAGCCAAAGAGAGCAATACCTTGATATCACGATGTGCAATATCGTGTTCATGGACTGAATAGCTGGAAATGAGTAAATGGACAGGGTGTGCAAAACTAACGTAAATACACACGGTATTCTATTCCTAGAATCATTTGTCGAAAGTAGTCCCGGGCTAGGTCTTCTGGGAGGGGAGCAGTGGGCTTATCGAGGGAGATGTCCATGATGGGTCCTTTGCTGCAGAGTTCAAAGACCATGTAAAGGGAGTCCTGGTGAGTGAAAGCTGGTATTAGAAAGGAGGACTCAGGATCATGCCTTGAAAAAGAGAGGTTTCTCCCAACCTGCTGTGGATCATCCAACACCTCATACAATCGCACAACATTTTCATGGTCTAGTTTTTTCAAAATGGCTATTTCCCCTCTAACCAGATCAATAGGGTTATCCGATTTGGCCAGCATATTCGCATGAGACAATGCACTAGGTGCGACACCGGCCCCTCGTCCGCGTCCTCGAAGCCCTCTTGCACCAAACGGACCACCTTCCCGCTGGAGTTTTTGCCTGCGGAGCTTGGATTTACTGAATTCCTTTATGGCGACACCTTCATTTTGGCCTTCTGCCGAGGTGTCAACGCCGTAGTAAACAGTTCCGTAGGCGCCTTTGCCGAGGACGTCTTTGATAATATATTGGTTGAGTGTCCGCTGGCCGTCACTTTCTTCTCGAAAGACGGCGTTGAGGGTCTCTTTGATGCCGGCTGTTTGTTGGTTATTAGGGTTGTGCGGTTTTATGGGGGACTCTGGTGGGTTTTTTTTGACAATGCCCGGGTTAGGAAATTCATAGCTCACCATCTGCGGAGGCTCGTCGGGAAGCTCGACTAGGAGAGCGGGGGGGTCCTAATGTGCTCAATGTGTCTTCAGGAACATTGAGAGAGGACATGACAGTATGTAATGGAATGTTGGAATGGAACCAGCTGGACAGGTCGTCGCCCAACAGCGGACGTGGGACGCGTCCTCAACCTGCGGTTAAGAACATGGGCTCTGCGGCTATGCTCGGCGTTTTTTTTGGTTCGTTTACTGCCCTCACCCTTGGCTCGGGCTTGGCTTCCGTGTGACGAGGCTGATGTGGTTGAGGGGGTGCTTGTTGCTTTTCATTCGAGACAATGGTCGACCTGGCTGGATGTGAACGGTTAATGGCTGATAGAATCAGTACTGGCAGGTGGCATGAACAGAGGTGCTTTGCTCCCATTACCCTAAGGATTGGATGCTGGTGCGTACACATATATATGCACTTTGCAGGGAAGATGTACTAGTCAGAAGGTCCTCAAAGGAAAGTTGATGGAGCACTTGACATTGGTGATAGAGCGGCGGATCTATGAGCTTTGTGAGCTCCGAACTCATTCGTCCTCGGACAAAAACACATTTCCCAATCTATCTTCACATCTAGCCCAGGATCGCCCCTACTTACATCCCGTATTAGGTCCATGGTCTCGGTTGCTCATGGACATCACACACCCCCAAGATATTACAAAGAGCCCTGTCCTTCATAACCATGGTTGTACTACTACCATCACATAGATAGCGTGGTCAATTTGTCGCATGATGCATGCCCTTTGCGGATTATCAATCGTTAAACCTGACTCGCATCTATCAGCTTGTTGCTCGAACTGCTATCCCTGACTGTTGAGTCTGTAGCTTCATTCGATTAGCGACCCATGTGGAATATCCAGTCAATATAACCACACAAGCTGCATGCAATTGGCCTTTTTGCAGCCAATGCCAACGTCCTGTAACGTCGATGGAAGGACCCCGCTTTTGAAACTCTCTAATCGCAAGCGGTATCCATTAAGAAAAAGTCGGTCAACTGCCGTCAACTTAGTTGCTCCTGGCCTCAAAGCCTGATGACAGTGCACTACAATCACACTCCAATGTGAATTCATCACGTGAGAAGCACCCAACCAAGCCGGCCAGCACTCGTTCGAGTGAGCAACTTGCTACTCCCTCGGTTCCCTAGATCGCAGGCCTAGATCGCACACTTTGTAGGACCACTCTACAACATCCTGCATGACGTTTCACTAATTACAACTAGTACTCGTCACGCAGTTACTGCCATAGGTTCGTTTGCTGCCTGTGTTGGGTTGCAACCTCCGCCCGAGTAGGGGTGGGTGCCAACATGTCACAAGTAAGTGTTCTTCGGAGTTGGGGCTGCAAGGTGAACTTATAGCTTGATACTCATTACGAACTTATGACAGCCACTGAACACTCAGCAGCAGTTGAGCCTCGTGAACTGCGATTGTACGTTTTACTCTGTCGTGCCAAGTGATGGGTCGGACATTTCTCGCGAGGGCAGACGATCCCTAACATCTAATTTCTTTCTTCTTAGCGTATGCTGAGCGCTTGTCAGACACATCTTTAGGTTGGTTTCTGCGCGTTTGTTCAATGCAGTGCGAGGATATCGATGGATTGTTCCCTGCAGATAATCAATCACGTCTCCGCCTCGTCAACGACCTCCGTGAATCGATCGAATCATTTCAAGACGATGATCAGCAGCGGCTCATTACCACTCTTGCCCCTAGATTCTTTGCTATCCTCACTGAGGAGCAACCTGCTTTCATCAGCAATTCTCCAATCCAAGTATGCTGTGGCGCCGTTTACACTAGCTTTTGCAGTTCATTGACACATGTATACCACAGAAACTGCGAAACACTGTTCTGGAGATAATACAACGATTGCCACAGAATGACACACTGAAAGGGTTGATGCCGGACCTTATGAAGGCACTCATGCATGTCCTGCGGGAAGATAACGAAGACAATGGATGTTTGGCCCTCAAGATTATGGTGGATCTACATAAGGCTTATAAGGCAGCCTTGGAAGATTGGGTTCAGCCGTTTTTTGATATCGTACAGGAGATGTACCGGAACATGGAGCAGGCTGTGAAGGACGTCTTTGATGAGTCGGCTGCCAGCACTGTATGTTGCATCATGTCAATGTTGCGTTTTTGACGATGGGACTGACAAATTGGCGCTTGTTTTCAGCCTGTAATGCCGCAACCTACCCTCCCACCGCCAGGGTCGCCGGCGCAAAGCGATAGTGGAGAGCCTTCTACTCGAGTCTTGCAGAAAAGTCTGTACAGTTTCAAAGTACTGACAGAGTGTCCGATAATTATTGCTCTTCTTTTTCAACTCTATCGAAAATACGTTAATGCAAATGTACCGGTGTTTGTTCCCCTGATCATTCACGTAAGACCCGGATTCACTGACATTTTACGTCCTCATTACTGAACGCTTTGAACCGTATTTCAGTGTTTGACTCTACTCCCTGCCCAGCAACGACAGGAGCTGGCTGACGCTGACGCGGCTGGTGTTGTATACGTTGGAATAAGCGCAAACGTGAGAAATCGGGCCGCGCTCACAGATTTTATCATGCTGCAAGTGAAGGTGAGTTTGTGTCGTTCGCGCGAGTCTTTCATCCAGTACCTTACCGTCACAATCTTACAGACTGTCTCATTCATTGCGTACATTTTGAGGAGTTTTGTACCAATTTTGAAGCCGTATCAGCAGCAAATTGCAGATGCTGTCGTGGTCTTGATGAGATCGTGCCCGCCTGATGCCGCTGCTACCCGCAAGGTTTGCTCTGTGTTATGCCTTATCAGATATTTGTGACATGAGGAAAGCTGATGTGACGAGTTGCCATATATCAGGAGCTGTTGGTAGCTACACGGCATATTTGGTACACGGACTTCCGCCATGCGTTTGTCAAACACGTCGATATTCTTTTAAATGAGGATGTGTTGGTAGGGAGTGGAGTGACCGCCAAGGAGACCCTGCGGTAAGTTATCATTTCTATTTCTGATTGCCGGGAGGAGAGCCTTACCTTATGCCTTGTTTGCAGACCCATTGCACACAGTGTCCTTGTGGACTTGATACATCACGTCCGTGCCGATCTTTCAATTGCACAACTTTCCCGTGCCATTCATATGTACTCGCGAAATCTGCATGATCCGAACTTTGCCCCAAATATCCAGACAATGTGCGCAAAGTTGCTGTTAAACATTGTCGACTGCCTTGCTGGATTGGACGACAAGCGCGAAGCACGTGGCTTGCTATTGAGAATACTACGCACATTTGCATCAAAGTTTACTTCCCTACGCATGGCATTTCCGGTTGTCCTCGAGCATCATCGACGGAAAAAGACTCAGCCACCCCAATCCCAAAAAGCGTCCGAAGGAACGCCGTTGCTGTCTGATACGGATGGTTACCTCGACCTTGGATATGCGCAACCAATTCGAACATACATTCGAGCATTTGAGGGGTCACCTGATGTCGTTAAAGGTGCGTAAGTCGGTGATTGCTGATACATCTACCAGACTGCTTCACTGACTTTGGCACAGATATCCGATTCCTATTCAAAAACATGGTCCAGGGGCTTAAAGCCATACTGAATGCGTTGCGCCTTTGTAATCCCCCTCCCCCTCAAGGAAAAAGCCCAGAAGCCTGGAACACCGTAGCTCGTGGCTTTTCACGAGAGGATGTTGATGTTTTAATATGTACACTCAGAGACGGTCTGGGATGCTTCGACTACTGGATCATAGACTCGATGAATCAAGAAGGGGGAACGACGAATGTAAATGAAAAGATTTCGCCGAACATCATTGGCTCGAAAGAAGAAAAGGAAGTTTTTGAGGCCTTTGCATCCACTTTTACCTTGATTGAGCCGCCAGTCTTCCAAGATGTATTCTCGTCACAAATTGATTTCATTTTCGAACAGATTTTGAAGAACATTTCTGTCCTCGCTCTACCGCAGTACTTTCTCGCTAGCACGATTGTATCACCAACATTTGCGGGATTGATGCTTCGCTTTCTGGTGGATCGGCTCGAAAAATTAGGCGATTCAGATCCGCTTTATGCATCCGTCATGCTGCGGCTGTTCAAGCTACTGTTCATGTCAGTGACACTTTTCCCGGAGAAGAATGAAGCCGTCCTTCGACCTCAGATCGGAAACATAATTATGACTTCAATGAAATTGTCGACTAAAGCAAAGGAATCCTTGAACTATTTTCTTCTCCTCCGTGCACTGTTTAGAAGTATTGGAGGCGGCCGGTTCGAAATGCTCTATCAGGAAGTGTTACCCCTCCTTCAAGTGCTTCTGGAGGGGCTGAATGGTTTGCTAGCAACTGCTCACCAACCGCATCTACGAGAGTTATTTGTCGAACTTTGCCTAACGGTGCCAGTCCGGCTCAGTGTGCTTCTACCGTATCTGTCATACTTGATGAAGCCTCTGGTGCTTGCTTTGGAGGCTGGGCCAGAGCTTGTCAGCCAGGGCTTGCGTACACTGGAACTCTGCGTTGATAACCTGACACAAGACTTTCTCGAACCCATTATGCGTCCGGTGTTGAAAGATTTGATGGCTGCTCTCCGCAAACATCTGAAGCCGCTACCGTACAACCAGACTCATAGCCATGCAGCGGTGCGAATCCTTGGAAAACTGGGTGGTCGCAACAGGCGGTATGTCAAGGATCCGGTAGACCTCCTTCACATTATTAACAGGGAGAAGCAACTGGAGGTTTCACTACCTTTTCATGGGGCTGAACCGAGTACGATAGCACTGGACAACATCCTGGACTTGTCAGGTCGCATATTGGACGACTCTGGAAGCTCGCTGCATTTTAAGGAGCAAGCATTCATCTTTGCCAAAGCATGTCTGCCATTGCTGCTTGATGTTGATGACGGTACGGATGATTACGCTCAGCGGCTCCACGGGCTTGCTCAACAATTTTTGGGGAGGGTCAAGCAGGAGGAGAAGCCTGGATCCGTCGATATGGAAGGTGTGAAACAGAGCGAAGTGGAGAAAGCAGAAGCCGCCAATGAAGATGTGCACCCTTTCATCGATCCCCCTCTGATCACAGGTGATAAGAGAGAATCGCATGAGAAGGCGGTGACGCGAGCCATCGCCGCCATTTTCATAGCCTCAACAGAGGGCGCGCTACGCGAACAGGCGTGGCCACTAGTTGAACACCTATGCCGTCACTTTGCCATGTTAAGCATAGCGGAGACGGTTGAAGCACAGAAGGCTACAAAGCCTGACAATGCGAAAGGTCTGCTGGCTACAGGCAGGTCGTCCTCCGTGAACGGTTTTCTTGAAGCGGTGGTCGAGGTCATCACATCGGAAAGCCAAGACCGACGACATCTGGCCGAAAAGGCCATTCAACTCTTCTACGATACCTGCGTGGTAGTTCTTGGCGGCAAAGAAGCAGCAGATGAGCTGCCTGTCATGCATACCATTGCCTCTCGCTTCTGTTCCTGCTGTTATCAACAGGAGTGGTTCCATAGGACAGGAGGCTGTCTCGGTATTGCCATTTTCAGTTCGCAATTACATATGGGAACCAAGTGGATGCTCAGTCATCAATTAGAGTTTGTCAAGGCGCTTTTGTACGTTCTCAAGGACAGGTCACCCGATATGGCAATGGGTAGTGTGGAAGATGCAACCCAGACTCTATCACATGTACTTAAAGTCTGTAATCGACCAGAAGGAGAAGAAGGCACATCCCTACGTCAGGCAAAGTTTCACAGCCTAATTTCTTTGCTGATCTCAGAGTTGTCGGATTCCAGCGGTGCGGTTCGGGAAACGATTCAATCGGCATTACAGTTGTTGGCTGATTTAACTGGTAGTGAGGTTACTGAGCTGCTATCGCCTGTGAAGCAAACACTGCTGCAACGGATTTTTGCCAAGCCGCTCCGAGCGTTGCCGTTTGCTATGCAGATTGGCCACATTGACGCCATCACCTATTGTTTGTCATTACGACCGCCGCTCCTTGTGTTTGGAGACGAATTGATGCGATTGATCCAGGAGGCGTTGGCTTTGGCGGACGCTGAGGATCAAGCATTAGTGAGCAAGACCTCTCACGTCAAGAATGCCAACTCATTGATCAGCCTTCGTGTGGTTTGCCTTAAGCTTTTGTCCGCAGCCATGGCGTGTGCGGATTTTCAGGCTCCCAGACAAGCAAATACGAGGTCTCGTATTGTCTCAGTGTTCTTCAAATCTCTATATTCGAAATCTCCCGAGGTCGTGGATACCGCATTTAAAGGTGGGTGAAGTTATCACATCGAGGATGCCGGTTAATGCTCACAAAATCAATCACACTTTAGGTTTGCAACAGATTCTTAATCAGCAAGGGAAGCTTCCGAAGGAGCAACTTCAGGCCGGCCTGCGCCCAATCTTGGTTAATCTGTCAGATCACAAACGGCTGAACGTAGCTGGATTGGAAGGGTTGGCTCGGCTATTAGAGCTACTGACAAATTACTTCAAGGTCGAGATTGGTAAGAAGCTTTTGGACCACCTCCGCCAGTGGGGAACTCCAACCATGTTAGCCGAGGTGTCAGGGAAACCCCTGACCGAGATCGAGGACATCAAGGTGATGGTGGCCATCTTGGATATCTTCCCTTTGTTGCCCGCAACTGCGAATGTGTTCATGGACGATATGATCAAAGAGATTCTGTCATTGGAGGGTCATCTGCGACGTACGATATCAAGTCCTTTCCGCCCTCCTCTGATCAAGTTTTTGAATAGATATCCCGCGGAAGCCGTAACTCTCTTCTTTGACAACTTACATCAAGCACCATATGGAGAACTTCTGATTGATCTACTGGCCTCGACAGAAGCATCCGTCTTTCGTTTGGAGGTCATGAAGAGCGTGGATGCACTGGTGGCAAAGTCGATTGGATACCCGGAAGAGGGAACGGATGCTACTGCTCGGCACGTTCGGGGTGTTTTGATTGTCGGTGAATTATGTCGCTGGCAGCCAGACTGGTTGGCTCAGAATAAAGTGATTTTGGAGAATGTTGCGCAGTTGTGGAAGGTACACCGGGCACAGCCGATCAACTGGAGCGATACGACGCACCCCCCGGGACAGTTCACTCAATATATTGTAGAAATTTACATATCTTACCTCAAGGCGGAGCCCGATGACATTGGCGCATTGTTCGAGATCATGGAGGTGTTTGAGCAAGAGGACGTCATCGACACGGGGCTCATTAGACAGTATCTATTCGATGATGTTATAATGCGCTACGGTCCGCAACATAAACGGTCCATCCTTGAGAGATATCTCGAAATATTTGACGATGTCTCGAAAAGTCAGAGCCGCAAAGCCCGTATTTTGCGGCTGTTGGTGACACCGATGTTAAGAGCCTCCCTCGAGAAGGGCGAAGCGGCAGAGGTACTGGACACCAATATCATTAACACGATTCACAAAAAGATTTGGCTTCCTTTACATTCGGAAACTGGGATAGCTCTGAATCTCCACGACAGCTTCAAGGTAGAATTGCTACAGTTCACATCTCTTCTCGTCCAATATGTCCCTCGCGAAACGCGAAAGGACGTGATCAAATTTGCGTGGAATAATATCAAGCTTGAAGACGTCATTTGCAAGCAAGCTGCATATGTTTTACTGGCGCGGTGGATTGAAGAGTACGAAACTCCGGCGAGAATTGTCGTTCAGATATATATTGCGCTCCTGCGAGCTCATCAATCGGATACACCCCAAGGGCGCGTGCTCGTCCGTCAAGCGCTTGATATCCTATTCCCAGTGCTTCCGAAGCGGATAGGTATCAATGTGTCGGGAGAGGCGCAATCATCCTTGCCTTTGTATGTGCGATGGGCGCGAAAGATTATTATCGAGGACGGTCATAGCTTCCCGCAGTTGGTAACGATTTACCAGCTGTTAGCCCGATACCCGGATCTCTTTTACGATTGGAAACACCTTTTCGTGCCAGGAGTCGTCAAATCGCTGATGAAATTGGCTTTTTCTACACATGCCACCCCAGAATCACGACTTTTAACGGTCGATCTTTGTGATCTGTTGTTGCAGTGGGATAGACGTCATTTGGGCATGGAAACGGGGGAAGATCCAATGGACTGGGAGCCGTACGGGGACGGTAATGGTAAGAATGACATCTCCCGTCTCCTGTAGAAAAGGATCTATCATCTAACCATTATACTCAATATCGTGCCTTGAAATGCACTAGTTGGGGAGAAGCGTAAATCAGTCGCAAGTAGCGGTCCGGTGACTCCCAAGAGACACGCGAGCGCCGAACCCGACGCCATGGATGTAGACAAACCCGTTGTTTCCGCTCCTGTCAAAGAAGAAGCTGAACCGAAAGAAAGCATCATTAGCAGCGAAGATCATGCTACTGTACTCTCCTATTTGATCCGCATTGCCAGCAGCTTGACGGATTCTATCCAGAAGAAGGGAACGTCCTTCCGTGTCGTGAGCCTCGTACGCGAGTGCTTGAAGGTGTGGCCTGACGTCGAGGTCAACCTGGTAAACTTTGAAAGGGCTGTAACGCTGGAGGTTGCTGAAAATCACATGAATCAAATCTCGAACGCCGTCCAGATCCTGGCTATCGTCACGGAGTTTAAGTCGGAAGAGTGGATCATATCGAACATTGCCTATATTCATAAATGCGTGGATAGATGGGTCAAGACAGACAATGTTCGCATTTCAAAGATGCTCACGCCAGTGATCAGTCGCCTATTCGACGCAATCGACGTAATGAGAGACGAGGAACCGTCGGAAGCCTTGTCGACCTTCACCAAAATGATTGAATCCAAAATCCAGACAGGGCTGAAAGAAGTTACTTCGGCTTCGGCCGCAGCAAGCAACCCCCCAACTGCGAACAATTCTCCGTCTCACATTTATTGTGTGCTATCCTTAATCAGCAGTGTACAAGCGAGATCTGAGCATGTCTATCTGACTGATTTGATGAAATTGCTAGCGAAATTGGTCAAAGATCATCAAGACCAACCACTAGGACAAGCGACACCGCCTCCGGATTCACCCTCGCGCCTCCTGGTCATGCTTCTTGGTTTGTTGAATCCTCGCGTGTCGCAGATGGGTGAACACAGAAGAATATTCCTGCAATCGTTAGTACAGCTGATGGACTTTTCAGCAGACACTGAGTTGCTACGTACTATATTGAACATGGTGCGTCACTGGGTTCTCGGGAGTGCCGAATCCTTCCCGACGATTAAAGAAAAATCCAATCTTCTGGTCAAAATGATGATGTCGTTTGACATTCGCGGTGATCAAAAACTGTTGGAGGAGTATCTAGATCTGGTGGCTATCATCTACAGCACCTCGTCTTTTGCTCGGTCAGAGCTTACCGTTCGTCTGGAACAAGCATTTTTGATGGGAACCAAGAACGAGAATCCGTCGATACGACGAAGATTTGCCGATATATTCCACCAGAGCATCGGCAAATCGGTGTATATCCGTCTCAACTATATTCTGGGCGTGCAAAACTGGGATCACCTCGCATCATACTTCTGGCTCCGGCAAGCGCTCGATCTACTACTTGGAAGTGTATTGACCACAGACCACCTGCATACGTGCGCGCCGGGTTACCGAACTGCCTCTATAACTGCGCTGGATGCCTCGGAAGATAATATGGCAATCGAAAGCACAACAACAAGTGACGAACGCTTTCCGGCTGTCATGGAACATCACCGCGAGTTTTTGCGTGATCTCCAGTCGCTCACATTGGAAACCCTTGTGGATTCACTTCGTCAGCTGTTGTACTCTGACGATAACGTCACCTACGCAATGTGGGTTGATATATTCCCGCTCTGTTGGGGTTTGCTCAACCCTCGAGAGCGGCATGACGTACATAAGGTTATAATACCTCTGCTGGCGAAGGACTACCATATCAAACAGGTTGATATGCGACCCAACGTCATTCAAGCGTTACTTGAGGGCATTTGCCAGTGCGAGGCAGCAATCCAACCTCGGTTACCCCCTCAGCTAGTACGATATTTAGGGAAGACATACGACGCCTGGTACATTGCAGTGGAGTTGCTACAACAGTCCATTGTGGACACGCGGTTCGCCGGAGTATTGGCAGCGAAAGAGGATGAGAAAATTAGAGAGAGCACGATTGATGCCCTCTGTGAGATTTTCTGGAGCCTCTCTGAAGCTGATTACTTCTACGGACTGTGGCGACGACGCAGCCTTTTTGCTGAGACGAATGCGGCGATATCCTATGAGCAAGGGGGTATGTGGGCTCAAGCTCAACGGCTGTATGAAGCCGCCCAAGCGAAGGCGCGAACAGGCGTTTTGCCATTTACTGAATCCGAATACCGACTTTGGGAGGATCATTGGGTCTATTCAGCAGAGCGGTTACAGCAGTGGGATCTCTTGACCGACTTGTCGAAACAGGAGGCCAATGCAGAATTATTTTTGGAATGCGCGTGGCGACTCTCTGACTGGACCAGTGAACGCGAGTCGCTGCAGACTGCGTTAGAATCGATGCAAGATAGCCCTCGACGGAAGGTCTTTCAGTCGTTCAGTTTACTGTTAAGATACCAAGAAGGACCCGAACGCCAAGCGGAATTCCATAAGCTTTGCGACGAAGGGGTGCAAAGCAGCTTAAAGCGCTGGTTCATCCTACCAAAACAAGGACTCAATGCCCATATACCTCTGTTGCATACCTTCCAGCAGTTTGTGGAATTACATGAGGGAGCTCAGATACAACAGATCCTCAATACGACTACAGTGGTGAACATACAAGATAAGCAACAGGAACTAAAAGGAATCTTCACCACTTGGCGAGATCGACTTCCGAACATGTGGGATGACATTACCTTGTGGAGTGATATTGTTGCTTGGCGTCAGCACGTGTTTCAGATAGTGAACAAGGCATACCTTCCACTGATTCCTCAGCTTAATGTGCAACACAATGGGAACGGTGTGAGAGATAATCCGAGCTCTGTGGCGTTTCGCGGATACCATGAAACGGCATGGACCATCAACCGATTCGCTCACGTCGCGCGGAAACATCAGTTGATCGATGTCTGCAACGACTCGCTGAGCAAAATTTACACACTGCCAAACATTGAGATTCATGAGGCGTTCTTCAAATTGCGCGAGCAAGCTAAAAGCTATTTCGTGAATGCCACTGATTACGCTACCGGTCTTGATGTGATCAACAATACGAATCTGCTCTACTTCAATCCCCAGCAAAAGGCAGAATTCTTTGCCTTAAAGGGCATCTTCTTTGCAAAATTGAACCTTCATGACGATGCAGAAAAAGCGTTCTCTTCCTCTATTCAACTTGAGACGACATTAGCGAAAGGTTGGGCAGCTTTTGCCCAGTATAACGATCGTATGTTCAAAGAACGACCTACGGAGATCAAATATGGTGCTGGGGCTATGAACTGCTACTTGCAGGCTGCCGGTATCTATCAGAATGCCCGCTCACGAAAGTTCTTGGCACGGATATTATGGCTATTGAGCTTGGATGATAATGAGAATACAATTGCCAACGCGTTCGACGAGTACAAGGGTGATGTTCCGATCTGGTATTGGATTACATTTATACCACAACTTCTGGCTGCCCTGTCGAACAAAGAAGCTTCCCAAGCAAAGGAGATACTCAAGAAGATTGCGAAGCAGTACCCGCAGGTATGATATCCTATGCTCAAGGCATAAAATCTACTGAATATTGTAATGTGCTCACTTGCTCTCATTTCTGTAGGCTCTCTATTTCCAGTTGCGGACGGCACGCGATGATTACTTGATATCAAAAAAGCAGGCAGCATCCACCACATCTGCTGGTGCACCCCGCCAACCGGATCAGCCTCCTCAGACTCCAACCAATACTGAACCCCAGGGGCCACAACAAGGTGATGCGGCATCCGCGCAGGCCACTAATGGAACTTCCGCCGTAACCCAGCGAAGGTACACGCCCTGGGAGCATCTCGAGGAAGTCAATGCCGTTGTCAAGACTGCATTCCCACTTCTTGCCCTGTCTATGGAAACGATGTTGGACCAGATAATGCAAAGATTAAAACCGACCACTGACGAGGACATTTATCGGTTAATAGTAGCCCTGCTCAATGACGGTGTTCAGATGTTTTTGCAGCAACTTTCTCGCGATGCAGGAGATCAAGGGGGAGCTTTGTCTCCCGCTACGGAGGTGAATCTGTTGCGATTTGCTGAAAGCATGTACCCGAATCACATCAAATACAAGGCGGCATTTGAACAAGATTTCATTAAGAGTAAGCCGAACCTTGCACAGCTTGTAGAGCGGTTTAGAGAGTGGCGGGACAAGTTGGAAATCTTGCTTGACAGCCGCCCACGGCGACAACATCTCGAGCACTTCAGTCACTGGCTTGTAGAATTCGAATATCAGAAATTTGAGGACATTGAAGTACCTGGACAGTACTTCTTGATGAAGGACAATAACAAAGACTTTGTGCGCATCGACCGTTTTGAACCGGAGGTCGATTTGATACGTGGCTACCTTGCCTGTCACCGCCGCTTTACGATTCGGGGTCACGATGGAACTTTCCATCCGTTCAGCGTCCAGCATCCGGCTGCAAGACATTGCCGTCGGGAGGAACGGATCATCCAGCTCTTCCGCATTCTCAACAGCGTCATGGAACGACGGAGAGAAAGTCGACGACGAAATCTCTCCTTCCACCTTCCCATTATCGTACCGCTTGCACCTACTGTCCGACTGGTGCAGGATGATCCTAGTTACATCACGTTGCAAGAAATTTGGGAAGATTATTGTGCCCAGAAAGGACAGCACAAGGATGACCCGATTATGTTTTACATCAATCGCATGCGTGACGTATATGCTTCTGAGGAGTTTGCTAAGCGCGGGGTGAGTATTTCGCCGTGTTCAGGTCACCGGACATAGTAGCTAATCTTGGCTGTATCAAGAAACTGGATAAAGTTGAGATGCTAAATTTGAAAGCTGAACTTTTGGAGGACATTGCATCGAAGTTCATGCCGGACAATATCTTGACAAAGGTGATATCATTCTCATGTGCACCCTCTGACATTGCCTCATTAAAACCCCTCTGTGTACTAGTTCATCACGAAGAGCCTGGCATCATATGGAGAGTTGTGGACCATGCGAAAGCACTTTACCCAGTCATTGGCAGCGGTGACGTTCATGACGCATGTGATGAGCGTTGGACAGAGAACACCTCACAAGTTCCACATCTCTCGTCGTTCTGGCAGCATATGGGCATCGGACCTGTTACCAAGTGAGTCATCGGTTTCACTTTTCGCTGCGTGGTGACAAAGCGTCCTAACGTGGTTTTGTAAGGTTTGTCTACTACCACATATTTGTTTTCAAATGGGGAGCCGGTACCGTTCCGGTTTACACCCAACATACAAACGTTCCTAACGCCCATTGGCGTGGAAGGCGTCTTTGCATCTTCCCTTCAAGCTATCGGACGTGCATTGACAGAACCAGATGTATGTATCGCAGCGTGGAAGACAGAGGAAATGCATGAGGAACTCACCAAACGATTATATGTAGTATGAACTAGAAGACTATCTCAGTATCTTTGTCCGTGACGAATTAGTAACGTGGCAAAACATTGCTCGCAAGCCACCATTACAGGAGGCGCAACTCAGGGAATTTGTTACGCAAAATGTAGACCTTGTTCTGAAGCGGACTCACGGCATCGCGTGCAGAGCAGAAAGAGAGCGGGTAGGGCAAAAACGTTAGCTCCTTGTTATTCCCATATGCTGATTAATATCCCATCTTTCAGGGCATCGAGCGGTGTGAGCCGGCAAATCAAACCATTCTAGACTTGATATCCAATGCCGTTAATCCGCATAAGCTTTGCCAGATGGATGTCTCTTATATGGCGCGACTTTGATGCACTAATTGTATAATGTGTAAATACGCTATATGTATATTTTTTTACCTGTAGAATGGATGGAGATGCTTCTAAAGATATTGATTTGTTTTACTACGCTACAAATACGCCCTATGCTAAGAGAATGTATTTATGTAAATGTTGGGGAATTGCATCTAACAAGCCCTTGCTCTCCAACCACGCCTTGCTGAACAATCGTGATTGATACCTGGCGGCGCCGTCGCAGATCATAGTGGCGATTCGTTTACCAGGTCCTAGTTGCTGGGCCATCTTTGTCGCTGCCACAACGTTCAATGCCGAGCTAGCACCAATGAAGATGCCTTCCTCGTCCAATAGACGATACACCATCTCGATCGTCTCCGCGTCTGGGATATGCACAGCATCATCAATCAGTTTCCAGTCAGGAGCCAGATTGTCCGTAAGACGACCTTGGCCGATTCCCTCCGTAATGGAAGAGTCGCCCGTGCGCGTCAGCTGGCCCTCTTTTTTATATGCGTACAATACGGAGCCTGGCGGGTCAGCAATAAACACCTTCACCTGGCCATCTGACTTTTCTTTCAGATATCTTGCTGTACCAGCTAATGTGCCACCGGTTCCTGTGGCACATACGAAACCATCCAGCTTGCCGCCAGTTTGACGCCAAATCTCGGGTCCAGTGGTCTCGATGTGCGCTTGCCGATTCGCGACCTATATATTAAAATTCATTCTTAGTCATTTGCAAGGATCAATGCGACAAGACTTCATGTTTCGTACATTATCAAATTGATTTGTCCACACAGCATTGGGAAGGGACTCTGCAAATGCTTTGGCTTGGTGATTGTAGTTGGCAGGGTCGGTAAAAGGTACAGCAGGAACTGGCCGAACATCGGCACCAAGCATCCGTAGAAGATCAATCTTTTCCTGACTTTGTGTGTTGGGCATGTATCTGGAATTTAGGCTAGGTGTTAGCAAAGGAGCATACGAGTAATGAAAACTTTTCACTCACATTACGAGATTATATCCCTTTGACCGGCAAACGTGTGCCAACCCAATTCCTGTATTTCCTGCGGTCCCTTCTACCACAGTTCCTCCTGGTTTCAGTTGCCCCAGTTCTTCGGCGTTCTTTACAACGTACAAAGCTGCACGATCCTTGACAGATCCCCCTGCAGACATTCGCCTGAGTTTAGCACTAGTAGACGGGCAAATCATCGTTTTGGCTGAGGTTCACCAACCAGGGTTCATCCATTCAGCTTTTCCCAGTATGTCGCAACCCGTCTGTTCACTAAGTTTATTGAGGCGGATTAACGGCGTGTTCCCAATCGCGCCCACGAGGCCACGAACCACCGTCGCATCGGTGCCCACAACAGAATAGTTCCGACTAAACGGGCGCAGGCGTTGTGCCGCCAATATATGTCTTAAAGCTCTGTGCATGGCCGGGACTGTTCTCGATTGTTGCCGGTATGTCCCAAAGAATTACTGGACCGTCGGGAACCTAGGGACAAATCTGGAGGATGGGTCTGCGCCACAACTCGCGTCATCTTCCGACGCCACAAGCGCCACACGCTCACGTAAGACATCGACGACAGCGCTTTGGAAGACGGGCTCAGGCGCTTTTCGCAGGTTCCTCAAACGGCGGGCGCACCAAAGATCACATCAAACTCATCATCTCATCTTTTACTTTCCACTGTTGTCCAAGTTCCATAAATCATTATTGTGTTGGTTATGTACACATCGCTCCGCTTTACGATCGTATATTATCATTGCCGTTGCCACGCCCAGTCGTTGCGGGGCTAGGTCCCCCCTGTAACTTTGGTAAGTAACCGTTCCGCTTGCAGTACTCCTTCACATAAATCTTGATTTTACTCTTCTTATGCTCCGAAAGCTCACTATTGTCGTTCAAGCTATGCGTTCTTCGCTCTTTGTCGACTAATGCCTTTGTTACCTAAGAAATAGTCAAGGTTCAGCAAAATAGGCGCGTGCTGCAAGTAGCATCATGACCCCTACAGCTCGTGCCAAATCCTTGAATTTTTCGGACGGAATTTTGTATTTTGACATCTGCTTGACGACAAAATTACCGATCTGAAAGTAGTACTGTGAACTTCAGTCTATGAATGTAATTGTGCGCGGCACTCAAGACTTACCTCTACTTTGAGCTTCTTCGGAAAATCTGACGTACTTGATGTTGGGTGGCTAACCCGTTTCTCCTTGTGAGGTGACGGCTTTTCTGGTGACGACTGCACCGCGTTGGCTTCTTCCACAACCGCCCTGATTGCGGATTCCGATACCCCAGGTAACATCGAGGGTAACGTCGCGCGCTCATCATTAGCGGGTTCACCGGACTCGGAAGGAAACTCCCACTGCGCTTCCCGTGTATTAACATTATAATAGTAAACGGCACCATCCTCCGTACGTGTCGCTTTCCATCCTAGCGGTAGCGGGCGATCTGCTTGCGACGGACGCCTGGGGGTGTGCTCATGCTCGCTGGAGTATGTGGTCCTGTGATCCGGATATGGCGCGTGTCCATATCGAGGGCTGCCAGATACCGACGAATTATGGGAAGGAACAGCTGAGCGAGGGTACGGTCGCTGACCAGAGTAATCGCTATCATTATTTCCTGATCCACGACGCGACCACGGTGACCGTGTTTCATAGTCGGCGTATTCCGGTGGGTACGCCCGAGATGCAAAATAGGAAGGTCGGTACATATCATGCCGATTCCGACTATCGGAACTAGAATATCGACGCTCTCCCTCGCGGTCATCACTTCTGGAGCGCTTTGACCGCGGCGAATACGATTCAACTCTATCCCCATCAGGTTCATCGTAGGAGCGTTTAGATCCACCATTTTGAGATGGAGAGTCTTGACCGGTGGCCTCCTTTGGTGCATCGCTGTCTGGGGGCTGTCCAAAGCATTTTTTACTATAAGGAACAATATGGCAAAGCTTGTTTTTCACTTACCGGAGGAATTCGTTTTGGGATTTTGTAGACACTTTGCAATGTGGACCAACTCTCAACAAGCTGCGAAAAGATTTAGTATTCGCGTGGCACTTCAGAAACACGACAGCTGACGATCACTTTACCTCTTTGGCAATCGTAGATATCTCCAAATCGGGTAGCTCTGCTAGCTTGACTACACAATCCTCGACTTTCTCAGCGGTATTCTTAGATGCGATAGGAAGCATGCGCAATATACGTAACACCTGGTCCAAAGAAAAGCCTATTAGTAATGTTGCAAACAATAGCTGTACACTGTGTCCCCGATCTAACCTGTAAACAAATTGCGGCATTTTTCCCTGTGTATTCGCGAAGACACATTTTGAGAACGGAGAGCCCATGTCCCCAGATAAAGCGCCGCTGCAAAGGAAGCGCGTTCGTGTTCTATCCAATTGGGAAGTTATTATCTTTTCAATATACGAATACCACAGGCAGTGCTAACCAACACACCTCGATTTTGCTAAGAAGCCGCATAATTCTCTTTGGTTTGGCCGCATGGCGAAACAAGGATCGTGTGACAACCTGAACATCTTCTGCATTATGTAGACATTCTGCCTCCTGCAAAGCACAATGTTTATGCTCTCGTACAGTGTCAGCATGCTCCTTCTTCATTACCAACCTGCCTAACCGCCTCCCCTTCATAGTCGCTGTCCTCGCCACCTCGTTTACGTCGACGAGTAGCACGTGGCTTGTCTGTTTCTGAGTTTTCCATATCACTATCTCCTTCTGCATCGCAAGCAAAAGTACCGCTGAGTAACTAGAAGGCTCTGAACATTGGACGATGCAACAACCCTACCGTCATCGGAATTCATGACAATCTCTGCTTGCTTTCCCCCGATGTAGCCTTTGCAATTGGCGGAGCCACAAAAGCATTCCTGCGCCTTTGCACTGCAATCCAAAAGCGCATTAGGTAAAAAGAAGCCAACTTTGTATGGCCCAATTGCCTTACCCATAACGTTCGAACTTATAGTCAAATGACAATTCTTCACCCACGTCAAGGTCACGTAGAGCGAAGATTCCTATTCTCCAGTTTGATCCCACCACCCATTTATGTAACGCACAATTTGGGGAGCAGCTATGATTCATGAAACGAGACATATTGCCTTTCTTTGAGGCATCGATAAACTGCGGACCAAGCGTCAGATGACGTGATCTATTATATCTGATCTTTGTGAATGCACCGACGTACCTCATTTGCCTTCAGGCTCATGAAATAAAAATGCTTTCGCCCCTGTTTATCATATTCTTGGATCCTTTTCTTAAACATTGCACCAGTGATGACTTCTCCGCAGTACTCTATTATGAAGGAGCCTCTACAAAACAGTGATTTAGTCAAAGATGACCTGCGGTATTACCTTATCGATGCTGCTTGCACATACCCGCGAATAGGCGCCGTAGCCCGAAGGCCGAAGCCCTTCTTCTCAGTTTCAAAGATTTCGATGGGCGCGTAATGTCGGTTTTGGAATCTGAAAATACCGCTAAGGCGTCGTACTATCCGTAGAATTCGACTTTCCGTACCAACCTTCGGTTCTGACAATATTGCCCGGCGGGGCATGTTTCTCCCATACACTCTATAAAAAGCTCCTTGTTTATACAGTTCGACTCTTCCCCGCAGGCCTGATGTCGCATATTTTGGCCTGGCATTATTGAGCACATTAATGTCTGGACATACGACCCAAAGCCAAACGACACAGATACTGATGCATAGCTTGCACGTACCTGGTACATATCGACAATCGCAGATCATATATTCATCACTGGGAGTCTTCCCGTTCGCCCCTCCCTTGAACTCATTGGAAAGGATATGCGTGTACGTTTTGCTAACCTTCTCTGCAACTTCCGGCGTGGAGCAGGTTGGCTTATCACAGGATATGGGTGCGGGAGGGTCTTTCACGTCACCATCCGCAAGCGTGGGCGGGGTCGGCACAGGCTCTGCCTCAATAACCACCGATCTGTGCTCTTCTGGAGACCCCGTCAGGTGCCAAGATAATCGCTCTTCCTTCACTACATGCTCTTTTTTGACCATCGACCAAGACTCTATTACGGTTTCCGTTTTATGTTGCATGGGGTCCACCACCATTATTAGAAAATCCCCATGCGCAGATAAACGTTCACTTGAGACTTTCAGGTCAATCACTACGGCAATGTTGCAACAGGAAATTATTGGAAGCTCAATTTCAAGAACCGGATATCCAACCAAAGTTATAAAGCATACGTGTAAGATAGCAAAGTGATCCTGTTCCGCGACCAAATGCCCTTTTCGTGACAGGGCAGATCTCTGGACACCTTTCCACGAGCGCAGCAGATAAGGAAGGACAGATATCAACAGCCTCTAACGCCGGTTTAGAATATATGTACAAGCGGCGGATAGTGGGAACTTTGGCAAAGTGGGCGGTGGGTAGATTCGCTCACGAAGTCTCCGACGACAGACTCGATACGTTGACCGAGAGACACCAGCCACAACTTCGTGGCTTGGTATTGGAGCGTAAGCAGCTACCAGCGTCTAGAAGTCAACAGTGGGGGCATTTGGGCAATCGCCGACATCCTGAGGTTTTGGAACGCACGAATATTGTTAGCACGAACTTCTGGCTTTCTATTACTCAATTCTCCTTGTTTGATTGAATTCTGATTACTTGCATACCTTTTCATACGTGTACGAGCTTAATTTGAGGGCTTACGATTTGCTTTACGTGCCAACTTCCCCACACATACAAGTGCAATGAGCTTCTTTGGACTAAAAGGGGTAGGCTTCTGAGCCTGGTGATTGGCAGAGGGCTTTCTCGTATGCAGTTTTGAGGCACTTGTCCAGGAGAACGTGTTTTCACGATATTTCTTCCAATCAGAACAAAACGTTTAAACCCAAGCGGAACATACCCGAAGGCACAAAACAATATCAATTGAAGAAGTATGCAGAGGCGACGCTTGGCTCCGGAAATCTTCGACTCGCCGTTGCTCTTCCAGAGGGTGAAGACTTGAACGAGTGGCTTGCAGTCAACACGGTTGACTTCTTCAACCAAATTAACATGCTATACGGGACAATCACGGAGTTCTGTACGCCATCCGAATGCCCCGTTATGTCTGCTGGTCCAAAGTACGAATATCACTGGTGCGACGGCGTGCAGTTCAAAAAGCCAGTTAAAGTCTCTGCTCCCGAATATGTTGATTACCTGATGACATGGGTGCAAGCCCAACTGGACGATGAAGCCATATTCCCTTCGAAAATTGGTGTACCGTTTCCGAAAAGTTTCCCGTCAATTGTCAAAAACATCTTTAAACGACTGTTCCGAGTATATGCGCACATATATCATGCACACTTTCCGAAGATTGTGGCTTTGGGAGAAGAAGCGCATCTGAATACCAGCTTCAAGCATTTTGTGTTTTTTGTGCAGGAGTTTGCTTTAATTGATAAGAAGGAGTTGGCGCCGCTGGAAGAGTTGATTAAAACGCTGACGAATGAAAATAGGGCAGCACCTCCAACAGGCGCGGGAATCTTGGCTCAGTAGACCTGTCTTACCCTAGTATTTTGGTATAAGAGTATAATGACAACGAATAAGGACAATAATGGAAAGTGTCTGTATGGTCAAAAGGAATACTAGTTCTGCGGTGGTATTGGGACTTCGCCTCTCACAGTTTCGTTCTTTGGACGAGGATGAACAGCCAACAGTGGTATGGTCAAATGTCAATTTCAGCAGGTCCAGGAGTTCATTCCTTCTGGAAGCGGATTTTCGTGTATTATCACCAATCACACACAATTTCTACTTATTCCTGCTTTTTCAATGCGGCTGCAAACGAACGAATACTTTAGTACAGCCAATCGTCCTTCTCGCCAATCGAACCCCTATATCTTACCAAGGCTGCCCTTCTTTGCAAACCGCTGGTTGCGAAGGAACTTGGGGTCAACTCCTCGGAGGGAAGGGTGACGGTTGGCCTTTGGCTTCTTGATACCGTTGCGGTGAGCCTTACGGTTCTGGTTGTGGTTGGTGTGGTTCTGTAGGCGAACAGAACATTAGCAGATCGTCCTTCGATTCCATTTCCTGGGCTGGCATAGCCTTCTCCATCCTTTCGAATCTATGAGGCATAACACCCGATCTCTCAACAGAGCATCTATCCCCGCCTAAATCGCCCTGGCCCACCAACCGAACTGTTACGAACCTTTGACTTGGCCTAACATAAAGAACTGGGTGAGCATGAAAGATCAACCAACGGCAAGCATTGTTTTTGGAACCTACCATTGCTCCCGATAATCAGGCTTTACCCTAGTAATCGCAAATGGGTCATAATTTAGTTCATCATTCGTGCATGCCCATGGTCATTTCATGTCATCCATCCATCGAATACCATCCTCGTAAAGGACCCAGGGAAAACCAGAACCATCACACAATCCTCCTTTCCGCAATCTGTATGGATGGATGGATGGAGAAACATTTGAAAGTACCTTTTTAGAAACACGGGAATGAATGAACGATATTGTTGAGGACGGTCATCGCTCATCGCTGGGTCTTCTCGAGCATCGTGGTGCTCAATTGCCACGTGATGCTACTAAGCTTCTGAAGCTGACATCTGCCTTGCACCCACCGTTGGACCCACTGTAGGATCTTAGGTAGCGATAGAGCATCATGGCTGGAATCTCATCTTTTGAGGAAAATTACAAAAGAGAATTCACAATCACAATAGTTCTATGTGGATACGAGTGTCGATAGGCCCATAATTGTAAGCCCAGTAGTCAAAGTACGGTAAACCTGTGAAGGCTAAAGAACACGGTACCCATCTTATCTTTTGATCCTACGGTCCACCCGGGACGTTCACGGCTCCATAAGTTGCTGGCATTGCCATATTTCTATTCAAAGAATCTACCCTCACATCTTCTTGTCATTGGTGTGATATATATCATGATCGAGCCTGTAGTCAACCCAATTGAATCCCACACGCAGGGCACGAACCCATGTGATGCAGTTCCAAATAGGTCTCCTACGTCCTTTTGCAGCTGGTTCACTAATTCAACCTTTTCCAAAGGAGGATGTTTCCAAATTTCAATGTGTATATCGTATCTTTCCAATGCGATACTGCGACGATCAGAGATATACTTGGGGTTGAAGCACCGTGAAGGCGCCTTGAGTGGTAGAGCTTTGAGGCGTGGATTTTGAGGACGAATGGGGTGTGAAGGTGGGAACCTCGTCTGAAAAAAGGTCCTGGCAGATCGTTGTCGTGGCGTCTTCGACAACAATCGCTGCAAAATGCCAACTTCGCAGATGCGCGTCGTCCAAGTCGTAGCAGTCTATTCGATAAGTATCAGGCTACTGAGCTTTGTAGCTTGCTTAATGAACATCACCGGTAGATCCTTGCTCAGCTAGATAACCTGAGACTTCACATCCAGCTCCTCTGGTTCATCCGCATGCAGCATACCAGACTTTGAAGGGGTTATATCCGTTTCTTTGAATTTTTCTGGAGCACGTCGAACCACCCAGACTCCCTCCTCTTGCGTCCAGCCCCAGCATCTTACGGGCATGCACTCTCTTCAGATCCATATGCATAACATATATAATACGGTCCTCCGTGTTCACTCAGGCCACCGGGGCACTGGTACACGTAGTCGAGCATCCTGTTCCTTCTCGTAGGGAGGCGTTTTCATCAACGATATGTGATTGTAGCACAAGAGACCTTTTTTCGGTTTTCAAATTGGTATACTCGTATTTCACCTCTACTACACGCGGGAGCTGCCGATTTCTGGAAGCAAAAAACGTTGTACAGGATATCGGCGGTGATAACAGACCAGCGTGTTTAGAAGCGGATACTGGTTCCATTGAGATCTCGTTGATGATAAAGAGTTTCATCGTAGACCAGCGCCTTGAGCAACCCACTACTTTGTATATATTTGCGACCATGTTAGTGTTGGCGAAGGCAGCAATCCGAAAGATAGGTTTGAATGATATTCTTCATGGTACTCGAATCGAGTGCAATTTAGGTACTTTGTCCCTCTGTTGCAGATACATTGTCATCGTATCGTCCGTTGTCTGAAATACGAACTCGTCCTTGGAGTAGACCATCATCGGACAGGCATGCTCCTCTTGTTGTCCGTATAGAGCACCAGGTTGAAAGTGAGGATCAAAGTGACACAGTCTGGGGTTGAAGTAAGTGAAGTCCTTTACATAGGACCTGGTCCAACACATCCAGCAATACCGCCTGCTTCCATTTGCTCTTCTTTTTAAAGTAGCTTACCCTGCGAATTTCAGGATATCCTCGACGCCGATGTTTGAAGCCGCCTACGAAGACCAGTGAATAATTGAAGAGGCACATATTTAAGACCGTAACTGGTCAATGGTCGCCGCTCGGACCGAATCCCTCTTTTTCACGAGCATTGTGCGGATGTAGGATAAACGACTCGACAGAGAGCTACGGATCCGTTCTAGGCCCAATACCAAAAGTTGATTCTTCGATATGCTTGTTTCTGAAAACAGTCTCTCAAGAAATCTTGCATTCTTCGTTAAAGATACTATCATCTGAAGTGTATTCTTCTCTTGTGAAATTCTAACAGAGACCCAGAAGAATAAATGGAATTGGTGGAGGTAACAGTGGTCAGACACCTCATAGGATATAGCAGCCGCGTCGCTTTAGCCAGTCCCGTTAAGGAGGAATAACCACCTTGAGCTCCAATTTGAACAACTCAACCTGACCAAATTGTGTTTAACATGGATCGTGCTCTCAATTGGCATGTCGTTGAATAAAATGGAGTTTGTCATATCATTATATGAATCTTGGTAGTTTCCAATAATGTTTGCTTCTGGCTCGTTTACATCTGCATCGCTTTCAAGAATTGTACCCCACGATCGTGGATTATGTAACGGACCCGCCCAAGGCGACCGCGTCCAGCATTCGCGTAATTCAACAAGTGTGCTTTCTGGACGTCATGGCAGAACTGCATATTATCGGCTCCCTTGTAGGTGCATCCAACTTTCCGCGCCCAGAGCTGTGTTGCAAATGGAGGGTCATAGCCGGTGATGGGTGGAAAATCCTCGAAGGAGCAACCGAGGGGTTGACGCAGGTGGATGTACCAGAGGTTTGCATCAAGTGCCGTAGCGCATGTAAGGTTTCGCTGCTTTAATAATGGATTTTGCTTAAATTTGAAACTTTTAGGATGATAGATTTACAGTCTGGAGCCATCCAATAGGTAGCCTGGAGGTTCAATTGGTGTAGGTAATGGTTTGAATCTAACAGAAGGATGGGGTCCGTTTGAAGACATCCACTACGCGACGAAAAGCGTGACGGGATGGCCAAAGCTCCAAGTTCAAGTTTTTCGGCGAGATTCTTTTGGACGGAACGAACTATGTATATTTCGGATTTCAGTTTCTTTACTACATGAGGCGCCAATTGACAGTTTTGTCATGTTAGATGGGTACGGGTTCGTACATATCCCAACCACACCTGGCGAGCACGCTCTAGATATTGTGACATGGCGGCCTGTTACATCTTTCTGGGACGAAGTATGGTGTAAGTATTGCCTAGTTTACCTGTACCAGAATGAGGCGCTACACGATTGCTGACACGACCCAACCTGCAGCATATTTTCTCAATTCCTCACCGGCACTCAAAAATCCCGACATGGTACATACTCCGTCGGATCGATTCAGGCTAACGACATGCTCAATGGGAAAGGTGCATGTGGAAGTGGGCATCATACTGAGAAATTTTGAAGGGTATGGTGTCGCCATGTGACTAGCGATTGGTCGTTGTGTCATGAAGAGAACGGCGGTGTAAAATATCAGACAGTTTGTGTTCGTTGTTCAGGCTAGTATGTACAATTAAGCCACCAGATTGGGGTATCTGGCCGATTAAAGCGAGCTCCTACAGTTTCGAAATATAAAGGTAGTCGAGAGTTTCACCAGAGCTCAAAGCTCCGCTGTTGTCCCAGCTTCCAAAGCATCCAACTCCTGAAGAACGGAAATATGAGCATGCTTTGAAACGACTTGTTTTGCGCGTGCTTGAGGAACAAACCTGCAGTGACTTGGCATGCTTTATCACATCAATAGCTTTACTTAGCTTCTTAGACTTCTCTTGAAACTCTTTGATCTCGTCTGCATTCGACCGAGCAAGTTTACCCATCTCCTCACCGACTTCAACCTACTCCAGTTGGATGAGACCATCGCTTGAAACGACGGCAGAGGACCTCCACTTCCTCACCTGCTGGCGCTTTAGACCTTCTAGACGGTCGGCACTCGTGTCCGATATTATTTGGGGAGGGATTATGGATGCTATGCGCAATTAAGTTGTTAGGAACACAAACTATGTTAATAGAGAGAGGGAGACCATTCACCAATGGGGTACGGTGAAAATATCATGTCAATGAACTCGTGGTTCCGCTTGTATCTTTCCAATGCCACCGCACGGCTTACTGATCCATCTAACTCGTCTGTTATTATGGACACAGCATTAGCTATAGCGATAGATGGGACATCAGAGGTACTGCACTATCAGATGTGTACCCCCAGACGGATCGTGATCGTCTTCTAGAAAAGCGCGAGGTTGCATTGACGTCTTTATCTATTATCAATAATTAAGTGCGAAAACCCAACGGTCATCAACATGGTGACTTACCCGACCACGTTTGCGATGACCAAGATGTTTATAATGTGCGGGATCCGCACCAGCCATCCCTCTCTGTGCCATTCCATACGGTGGTACCATTTGTGGAGGCGGTGGGCCACGAGCAGTGAGATTAGGTAAAGTCGCGGGATCGCGGGGAGGGGCCTTGATGAGCTGCGGATGGACTGGCACATGTCGGGCGGGATCAGGCATTTGGAGATAATGCATTAGCTGAAGGTCAGAGTGGACCAAGCGGTAGCGTCTTCGTGTCCTATAATATTATAGAACAAATAATTAACATTATGCCACATATTATCAGTGTCAGGGTAACATACATGTGGGCGACTTTATCCCCGTAGCCGAAGCCTTGGCTTCGGGATATAATTTCCATTTCCTGCAGGAAGAAGTAGTTCATCACAGGTTCCATTAATTGTAAAGACATAACACCATACCTTGTCGACGACAATAGTGCGAAACGCGGCTTCATCGTCCATCCACCCTGTATTGAGGTACTGTTTGCATGCCGTGCCATGACGTAACTATATTGACCTCAAGCTCACCATATCCATCCTCAGGGAGGGGTTCTGAAGGATGAAGTTGAAACACAAAGATGGAACCGTCTGCTTGCGTACGCATTATTTAGAACCCTTTTTCTAAGTAATTAATGATCTATCCCCAGAACATTACCAACGGGCTTGTCTACAATAATCCATTCGAAAGACGTTTGGTCTACTAGTGAGGCTGCTTTGTGCAGTATCTCTGCTGCTCGATCCGGACTTAGCGGCGCTCCCCGTTGAGGAGCAAAATTGGTAGTGAGTTTCTTGAACATTACCGTTGAGGTTGATCTCGCGGTTGCGTTGCAATGCCGCGTTAAACACCTTTGCTCACGTGATACCACAAAGAATTGCGGGGGGCAAACGAACCAGAGGAGAGCGAGGACCTCTCCATTTTCAGGTCTTGCATTTCCAAGTCTTGTCAAAACATGCTGCGAATTCTGTCGCGACGGCTGGTCCCCTTGGCAAGACCTCGCTCACTGGCGGCGCAATCAGTGCGAACCATCTCTAATACTTCGGTGGCGAGATCGGATGCACTCTTCGTGGTTTGTAGTGGAAATGAAGAATGGGAGGAACTCGGTTGCATCTCATCTATTTTATTGCACACAGCACCGTGACAGTACAGATAACAACGCGACCATACCCTTCGAGTTCACCCCTGAGAATCTTAAACGGGCAAAGGAAATCATAAAGAAGTATCCTCCGCAATATAAGAAGGCCGCCACCATCCCGCTTCTTGACTTGGCTCAACGGCAGAATGGATGGACTAGTATCTCGACAATGAACTATGTGGCGAATCTCCTTGAAGTCCCTCCAATGCGAGTATACGAGGTCGCCACTTTCTACACGATGTTTAACAGGTTCGTGGACAGCGTCAACCGCCGATGGCAGAAAACTAATTCAACTGGTCGCGCACAGGCAACCCGTTGGGAAGTATTTCTTGCAGCTGTGCACCACAACTCCGTGTCAGCTCTGTGGCTCCGACAGTATTTTGGAAACCATTCAAAATCACTTGGGAATCAAGCCTGGGCAAACGACCGACGATAAACTGTTTACTTTGGTGGAGGTGGAGTGTGCTGGTGCATGTGTCAACGCCCCAGTGCTTGCGGTCAACGACGATTACTATGTAGGTCTTCTTCCTGTTGTGCTAGAATGCATTCGTGAACAGAACTCAAATCTTATCTTCTGCAGGAGGACTTGACTTCCGAGACGACCATTAAAATTCTCGACGAATTGAAGAAGGGCAATGTGCCAAAGGCGGGCCCTCAGTCTGGACGTCAAAACTGTGAGCCCCATGGGGAGTTGACAACTTTGAGGGGGGAGCCGACCGGTCCAGGATTCCGTGTCCGTGCGGATTTGTAGAGAGCCCCTCATTAGAATCAGGATACTCTCATTGGGCTCAATATTACTTTGCATAAACCTCCTCCATAATACCGTGAAGAAACATATACGCAGATATCATGGACCTTATATTCATAGTTACAATTCCAGGCAGCGAAACTTTGATTCAGCTCATTTGAGATAACCACATCTAGGATCCCAGTCCCAGGTGTTATTCCAGTATCCAGCCGCCAACACCCCACCAGCGCCCTTTGTACCCGCACCGCCAAATGGGGCGCCATCGCGCGCTGTCCATCCTGTCTGCAACGATGGTCAGTATCGCCCCTAACCATGCCACTCAGGCAAACAAACATACATGCGGATCGCCGTACTCATCTCCTACAACGAGATAATCTGGTATCTGTAATCCAGTTCGGAAGGGAAGTGACCACGCAGCGCGTAAAATGCCATCCTTGTCGGTCCCCGCAATGAAGACGGCCACCCGTGTTCGAATTGGACTTGGTGCGAGGAAGATAATGCCTTTATGGGCGTCAATTCATCTTTAGGTCAGATCTTACTTAAGCTGGTACAACCACACATCTTGGAGATACCTGTTCCAGGAGATTCGTACTTGCGTTTATCTATCTGAAATCCCCCCGCCGGTCGAAATTTCACTATGCTTGAGCGTTAATGGTGCGGCTGGCAATCGCTAGCTGGAGTGTCATTACCCATATTAGCGCCACCCTCATTCTCCCTCCTTCGCGTATAAGCGTTGTCTGCAGGTCCGCCGAGAACAATCAAATTGTACCGCGCCGCAATCCCGTCTAGCACGTCTATATCCCGAACGATCTGAGTCACGCCCCGCGAATATATGTACCATGAGAGCGCAATGTGTTGTGCGGCCTCTCTATAGAGATCCTCGTTTTGTGCCGGGTTTGAAGGTACGACAATGATGAATGGATGGTTCAGTGCCTGAAAGTAAAACTCTTAGTCTATGATGATACAAATGTCACAGGAAACTGTGATATCGCGCACACTGGAGATGGGGCCGTACGTGCTGGGATGCCTCTCTTGGCTGATCCACAGAAGATCGTTTTCCTCCTGTACATGTCCAACGTCAGTGATCTTCACGTCCTACCCGCAATCAGCCAGCGACAAACCTTCCAAGAACTGTCCGGATCCAATCTTGCGTACGATGGTCCGGATACGGACGGCGGCTTATTGAAGTCTGTGCCATCAACGGACCAGCTCTCTATACCTTCCTGTCTGGGGTCACGCACAAACCCGAATCGCCTAATATTACTAGTGTTGAGATGCCACTGATTTTGAACGCGATGGACTCGGATGGTACCAAGGCTATAAAACATTATGAGGACTACAGTTCTGGCTCCGCATGAGCATATGCCACTCTACCGAAATGGCACTTCTAGTTGAAGTATCCGGATTCCTCCCTTGGATCCCGTTGACGCAGGGTTGAGTGTATTGAGTGAGAATGCCTCCGGTAGCGGGGGAGGACTCAATTCAGGATCCGCCGTGATATTCAAATGCTTGTCGATGAACTCTTGCATGGTGTTATCGTTTGCAACTCCTTCAAACCAGTGTCCCTGAGCGGGAATCTCCGATAAACTATATCAGAGAATGCAAAGAATTGAGTTATGATAGCCACGCCAGAAGTACGTATTTTACATACTCCCACGATATCGGGTTTCGATTCCACTCATTCCCAAGGCGTATCAAACGTCGAGAATGCAATGGAGGAACATTGTCATCGAGAGCTCCATGACGTGCTAACACTGGTAGCCCTCCCTTTAAGCAGCATGAGCGCTAAACGGCGAGTTTAAAAAGTGCACGTCACAGACTCCAATTACCATGTTTGCTGCATATAAGTCTATGTCATGCTCAGCAATGCTGGCATCTAATATGCCACGAAGTAGAGGATCCGCATATGAATCGCCTACACGCATAAAATATGGAGCATAAAATTGGATTTTCATATATCCCGAAGCAGGAACCGCTATGTTCGGAACGTTCAGTGTGAATCTTGAGATACACAGTGTTTGTATGGGGTCATACCCGCCAGCGCTTTGTCGGGAAAATGACTTGCGAGCCACCACGCTCCTTGTGCTCCATTACTGTGGCCAGCGTATATAAGCTTATTTCGATTGATGGCAAGGCTTTTTTGTTTTTCGGCGGGAACTCCAGGCAGTAGGTGCAACGCATCTAATGCATACTCTATATTGCGAAAAGATGGGCCATGCCAATCGAACCCCCATGGAGTTCTGCCGGTGGGGTATAAGACCTAATGGCCGTGAGAATTGGTTTAACGCCTTGGTGTCTGAAGCCTCTGCTCTCCCTACCCAGGCATTTTCCTGTTGTCGGTATGCATTGGTCCAGAATTCCGATGATGCCTCTACTCCCGCACTGTAAGGGTAGAAAAGATTCAAGACCATAAAGATTTGAATGAGAACCAAGACAGACCCAGTACGACATACCCATGGAGCGCCAAGACTATCGGACATTTCGTCTGTCTATCTGCGCAGGCCTTCTTAGGTGGACGTGCCATCGCATAATGAACAGAAAAGTCATAGTCCAGAAAGGTTATCTTGTAGACATCGCTCCATTGTCGTCTGTGAAAAGTGAAGGGGCCCAATAGCAGCGAGAAGCGCTCGTTGTCATCTAGCCTAATGCAGTCCAGCTCGATTCTCATAGAAGGTGCGAGGTCTGGAGGAATAGCGCCTATACTCAAATTCAAGGGAACTGCCATGATTTGCCCAGGGGCTATCTTGATGCTAAAATGCACCGGAAGAGTTGCATTGACCTATCAAGAAGGAAAGAAAGATCAGACGGCATGGCATCATTTTTTTTTATCGATGAACAGTCGATCACCCACTTCTGTGCCATCAGATAATGTTGCGTGTACGCTGGTCACTTGCACCCACCCGGTCATATCACGACTTTGCTGCCGAGTCAAGGGTCTTTCCGCGGGTGTAGTGATATTGGCGTTCATGATAGCAACTGATGCAAAAGGCGATATAAGTTCCGTCCCCATTACTTCAGGGATCACTGCATCGTTCTCAAAATGGATAAGGCCATGGTTCTCTTGGTTTATTTCCGCTTTTTTAAGACTTCCACGAAAACGAAGCTCCGGCGGTATCGTACTATGCGCAGAATACAAGTAAGTCCTGTACCAGATCGAGCACGTCCAAAACCTGAGCACAGATGCCTACCCGCCTGATATACGAACATCAATGACAGCGTACACATATAAGATATGCTCGCCTTTGGACAAATATACAATAGAATGGGACGCATGCGTGTATCCATATACATTGCCAGTAAATGCACGGTTATCTATCTTGAAAGATACCACCCCTGAAAATTCGACCAAATAAATCCCTTCTTCATGCACGTTGAATTTGCCCCGGAAATATGAGGCATGCTGCAACGCAGCCCAACCTGTCCTTACATATCAGCAAGTTGCACATAAAAGCTGCAATCTTCTTACAAAGCTACTCATACCAAATGGCCTTTGGTTAAACTCCCACCGTATCTGCGGATATGACAGCCGTACAGTTTGATCTGGCCCTGTCTCCACATGACGCCATCGCACGAAGCCTCCATCGGCAAGCTCCGAGGGATATCTATCCGTGGAAGAAAAACTCAAGTTCTCAAATCCACCGTAAGCGCTAAGAGGATCATTTCCGAGCTCTCTAGAACCATGTGGGAAAGGACCCAAGCTCTTCGGTCATATTTATTACTGCGTGGCTTACTTCAGGACGGTGACTTTGAAATTGGGCTGCACATACCTCCCATACGTCAGGAAAAGCCACAGCATGCAATGTAGATTTTCGCAAAATACCGCTATTGAGCTCTTCGAGGCCAGCGGGGTCGTTCAAGACTAGTGAAGATGCCTACAGTCGCAATATAGGGTTCAGGATCAAGTCCCTCCGATCACTGGTAACATTTCCAATATTCGCCCCACCTGGGATGCTTGTATAGAAGCGATCAGGATGAGCAGTCCCAACCACTGTAGGCCTCCATTGGTTGGCTTCATTGTCAACGAGATGATGTGCGCCTGATGCTGGAAGACATTAAGGCGAGGAGTGCGCGCTACTTAGCACCTCATATCATACTGAAACCAAGCGTTTGCAATGTCACCCGTAGTTCTTTTGAGGGTTCTGGTATGGTGGCTTCCTCTTTGGCGGTCACTCTTGGAAGCCCAATTCCGAATCTTGAAATGTGGATTCACAGGATTCATGTGGATTCAGAATCTGTGAATCCGCAATTCCCAAATGCTGTCGGTGGAGTGGGCACTAGTACACAGATTCCAACCAATTTAATCATAATTTTACTCGATTTAGACTCATGAACTATGGTTTGATCCAAAAAATCCTATATAAGTTATCATGCCCATTTTCCCAGGCTTTCATCTTTTTCCATAGATATCATCAATGCCACCAAAAAAGAAGCAAAAACTCAAAAAACTCGACAAACCCACCTTACATACCTGCAACAAGACTTCCTTTGCAAAAGCCCTGCCAAACAAGATCTACCACCAATGGCTTCTAGATTACATTGCCATCATCCATCAACTCGCCGACCACGCTTCCCATGCTCTCAAATTCTACATCCTATCTGCACCATCCTTTCCCACAGTAGATCAAGATACAATCAAAGTGATTCTCTATCTTCTCAACAAGGGGGAGGCTTGGCAACCAAGAATGGATGCAAAGAAGGTGCTACATGGATGCTTGTTGCTGTACATTCCTCTACTTTTCAACATATCATAAACTAACTTAACATGCTTTAAAAATGCAGAAAAACAGGCGGTGTATTTTCTATGCATTGGATAATATTTTCTGTATATATACTTTGTCACATACCCGGCAATATTTGTGAAAATAGTCTAAAGTAAATCGGTCTAAGTGTCGGCCGTGTCCAATTGAGATTTTGGGGGTTATACTTGATTTATCGACGCGGCTGATCATGTGAGATCACGACGGTACGTTATATTAGGGAGTACCATCCCCAATGACAGGTTGGTTGTTAAAAGAAAGGCCAACGATTCTCCTGGTCTTTATTGCAGTTGATATATTTCCCGTCGATGGTATTGATGGGGGATTCATAAACTCCATCTGTTAAAGGGCGATCAGTACACCTGGACATCATACTGTCCCAGCCGATCTTGACGAGAACTCGAGCGCATTCAAGTAACCCAAACACTGTAAAGAGCCCAAAGAATATCCACCGCAAAAGTAATCTTGGAGGACGGGAACTCTTTGGACGTTTGTTTCCTTCCCCAAATCCATCCTTGACAACCAACGGGATGACACATATGTTCACGTGACCGGAGCGACGGCAATTTCCGGAAATTGAAAAATCGGATGGGAATCAACCGACTGCCTTCTTTCCTCTTTGTTGCTTGTCGTCTCCCATCACCGACTCTCCCATCATTCACAAAACAATGGCTTCCCTTCGTGTTTTGCCAAAGGTGTCAGCGGCCTCGTCGGTATGTCCCTAACGGTGTGATCCCCGCGATGCGGGACAGCGAATCGTGCCTATCAGTGCTTACTTATCACATCTTACATGTTAGCTTCTTTCCCGGCAGTTCGCTGTCCGTGCCTATTCCACTGCCAAGACTCAGGTATGGCTTTGGCATGAAAATATATCAAGAAGATGTCTTCAGATAAACTAAAGGTCGTTGATCCGTGGACTACAGAGCTTGAAGGAGCGTCTGAAGGAGCTGATCCCCGAAAAGCAGGCGGAAGTAAAGGAAGTGCGTGCCAAGTATGGCAACAAGGTTATGGGTGAGACCACCGTTGACATGGTAAGTTTTATTGAGTCACGTTCAGAGACCTTACGAATGCTGATTCTCGTCAATACCAGATGTACGGTGGTATGCGTGGTATCAAGGGTCTTGTTTGGGAAGGCTCCGTTCTCGATGCCGAGGAGGTTAGTTGAACGCGCTTTTGGCGGTACGTTCTTGTCTAAACTTACCTGGCGTGTTGTCCATAAAAGGGTATCCGTTTCCGTGGTTACACTATTCCTGAGTGCCAGAAGCTCCTCCCTGCAGCGGAGGGCGGTGAGGAGCCTCTTCCGGAGTCTCTTTTCTGGCTCTTGGTGACCGGTGAGATCCCCACTGCTGAACAAGTCAAGGCCCTCTCTGCCGACTGGGCTGCCCGGTCTGCTATCCCCTCGTACGTGGAAGACCTTCTTGATCGTTGCCCCAACACCCTCCACCCGATGAGCCAGTTCAGCTTGGCTGTCACTGCTTTGCAGCACGAGAGCAGTTTTGCGAAAGCCTACCAGAGTGGTGTTCCTAAGACTCAATACTGGGACTACACTTTCGAGGACGCGAACGACTTGATTGCTAAGCTCCCCAACATTGCAGCTCGCATCTACCGTAACGTTTTCAAGGATGGCAAGGTTCCTGAGATTGACCGCAACCTTGACTGGGGTGCCAACTTCGCCCACCTTCTTGGTTACCAGGACCCCAAGTTCGTCGAACTCATGCGTCTCTACCTCACTATTCACTCTGACCACGAAGGAGGTAACGTCAGGTAACTTGTCACCTTCAATAACTTTCGTCTGGCATTGGATATTAGGTGTCTAATAACCGTTCGATGTGTAGTGCTCACGCCACTCACTTGGTTGGAAGTGCTCTCTCCGACCCGTACCTTTCTTTCGCCGCTGGTATGAACGGGTTGGCCGGTCCTCTTCACGGTTTGGCGAACCAGGAGGTTCTTCGTTGGACTTTGAAATTGAGGGAGCAAGTCGGTCCCAATGCTACCGATGAGGAGATCAAGGAGTTTTTGTGGAAAACCTTGAAGAGTGGTCAGGTTGTTCCCGGATACGGACATGCTGTGCTCCGTAAGACCGACCCCCGTTACACTTGCCAGCGCGAGTTCGCTCTCAAACACCTTCCAACCGATCCAATGTTCAAGCTTGTTAGCCAATTGTACAACATTGTTCCCGGAGTTCTGACCGAGCACGGAAAGACCAAGAACCCATGGCCCAACGTTGACGCCCATAGTGGTGTTCTTCTCCAGCACTTCGGCTTTGTGGAGCAAGATTTCTACACTGTCTTGTTTGGAGTGTCGCGCGCCTTGGGTGTCATGAATGGGCTCATCTGGGACCGTGCCCTGGGTCTCCCTATTGAGCGGTAAGCGTAACTTGTTCCCATCGACAGGGTGGTCAATGTGCTAATGTTGATTTGTCTATAGGCCAAAGTCCTTCAGTACGGCTCATCTTAAGAAGATGTTCGAGGGCAAATAATTGGTAATGACTACATATTTTTATGTCATGTCCTCATAAAATGATTCCCGGATGAGGTTGGATTGGGTGTCGGATGTGGTGTTCTTTTTCGTTTTTGCATTATTTTGACTTGAATATACAACTTGTTATTTAATTATCATCAAGTACACTCTCAACTAGTCGCGCGTATTGCTATCGCTTCCCCTCATTCATCCATTTATCCCGCAGTCGTATGGTATCTTGGGCCGATCCTGTTTTCATCTCACACAAGCAGCTGTACTTGTAAAGTGCTGCCTCATTTAGCCACCGCAGCTTGCGGCAGAATTCGTATACGGCAAAGCTCTGTGGGGTCTCTGGTAAATTATATGGATTTTGCTGGTAGACACTGAACCGAGAGATGCTCTTGTGGAGCGTTCGCAACTTTCCAAAATTAATGAGTCCATTGTCGAATCGCTTTGGGTTTCCATCATTGATAAATAATAAATCCTTCATGAAAAGACTCAGAATTGGGATGAAGGGGGGAGGATTTCGATCCTTCTCCATTTGGTCAAGTATCTGCCGATATGAACGATAATTGCCTTGCGGTGCTAGAAGAAGTTCCAGCTCCTGCAATTGTTTCAAGCGCTTTGGATCGACCGCCTGAAAAGTTTTGGACAATTAAATACGATGCAATGAACTGAGCCATGTGAAAAACCACGGGTCGCACTTCTCACCTCCCAAGTGGATTTAAGTCGGCTCACTGCAGAAAGATTCAAGCCCGATATTATTGCCAGCAAAGTATTGTAGTTGTTCAACGCCCGGCAGTGGTATGCCACTTTGATACATTTCTCAACTACTTTCACCCGATTCTTGAGTTCTGGTTGAGTGCAAATCTCTGTCGCGATCCAATAGGACACCTAAAATGAGATGCGGGGAGTAAGATCCCTGATATTCTGTATTCCGCGTACTTGATTATACCTGATTGAAACCGTTCACCATGTCCGTAATGGAAGCAACTTCCCTAGCAATTACCGGATCATCTTTCTTATCTTCCCACAAATGTAACAGGAAAGCCAGGGGACTTATGGCGGCAAAGCGCTCATGTTCCAAGATGGTCAGTTGATGGGCAAGGTCTTTTGGGTCCATTTCAAGGAACTGGGTTTTAGCAGCAACTGTAGATGCTTTCGAGAAAACCGTTGGTGCATTCGCAAGTCGCCATTTAGCGATGCGGTGCTAGCGTTCGGAAAGCAATAAGATATCTTACTGGCTGAGAATGAAGATATCAAAACAAATCCCAACCTTGACAGTCATTAACCCTTTGAGGAGTACCGCCAGGCTCTGAAAGTCTTCTGTATACTTGACCGCCGGGGTTTCTACCTCCTCTGTTTTTGCTTCGAATGGCTGCTGCATGATGTCCAGAAATCTGTTCAGGGCTCGTTGTGCTGCTGGATTGACAAAGTCTGGGGACCAGTGATTGAAAATCCAGTGTTTTACCACGGACACCGTGCTAGTAAAGGCACACACATGAGACATGACACCAAAGTCTACCAAATGGCAAAATTAGATGAGATTACCGTAGTCTAATTACCGGCCGCCATTTTTCGACTGCCCGAACTTGATCTACTGATGCATTTTGCGGGGGTTCTACATTGAGCCGTCCAATCAGTCTCTCCAGCACTTCTTCGGCGGTTGAAAAATGGCGGTACGTCAGCAAAAAGGCTTGAATATATTCCTGATCTATGTTCAATATTCAGTTGAAAGCAACTGATCTAAGTTGATTTTCATCTTGTACTTACCGGGATCGTGCTCATCAGCAAGACGTTCGATCAGTTTGTCGAGGGTACCCCCTGCAATGGAGTGCTTGTTCACCGACCCGTCTATGATGAGAGCATGTAACGAAAACGGAAAGCATGGGAATTAAGTAATCTTCCCGCGCGCGGACTAGATGTGTCGGGGAAGCGGGATTCGCATATTGTGCGCAAAGTCATGACGTGATGGCCTACCTTGATCTATTTCGTATCGGACCACAATCTTTCCATCAAAATTGTCACTCATTTGCTTCATGAGTACCCACGGTGGTCTTACGGGCGCCTTGGGAGCCTCCGGTACGCTCTCTGCTACTGTCTTTGCCTCATACTGACTTGTTTCCTCAGCAGTCATGACTCTTTGCTCTTCCTCCGCGCCCAAAATATTGCTAGACGTACGCAAGAAAGGCGCGGGAGGTGCCGGAGTAGGATCACCCTCAGGCACCGGCGACTCGTCGTCTGTCTCTGAGTGTCCTGGATCCTGCCCGGTAACCTCCCTCATATTGGCTGCCAGTTCTGCCAATAAATTGTGAAATTCGCGCGTATACGCATCACCTTTTGCACCTGCTCGAGAAATAACGGATTAGCCGTTCTGTACAATTGGACGAACGTGTGATATGTGCTCGAAACTACGTCTACCTGTATTTGCCAACGTTCCTTTCAGGGTTCCACTAAGGCTCTGCGCTACAGAGATATTGGAACTAGCAGTATTAATAGTGCTGGTCCATGCTGACATCTCATCTTGAGATGCTGCCCAACAATGCAGTACGCCATTCCGATGTATGATGTTGAAAGCGCCTTGCGTCGCCTGCTGCGGATCCGGCAATGCTAAACAGTTTTCTGTCGGGATGTCTATGATCATCTTAGGCATCTCCCCATTGTTTGGAGCTTTTTCGCACATTTTGAGAACATAATCCTCTAATGTTGCCGACAGCACCTCGACGGACTTGTTTCGCTCCACGCGTACCACGCCGGAGAGCGCGGCCAAATCTGCAATATTATCAGCTGTTGTGGTTGATCCTGATATAGTATATTTCTTCCCTCCGACCAGCGTTAGATATCTCGGAGGGGACGTCTCCGCCAAAATTGTGGAAATACTGGACATGCCGCTCGGAGACGCCAGTCCGGAGCTCTGAGATGAACTTTTCACTCTGATGGTGCCAGTATTGATCTTCGAAACACCTGGCGAGTCCGAGGCCTTTCGAGGTCGAGATCCAGGCCCACTATTCAAGAAATCTATCAACGTCATCCCACTGTCTCTTTTTTCGTCATCGGATTCAACATCGGACAGCGGGCTCGGTTTCCCTGTATATGACATTGAATTTATGGAGTCGGAACTAGTTGTCGTTGGTCCAAACGGAAAGCCGGCGCTCCAGCGTCTGGATGTATCTTTAACCGTACCCCGCAGATCTGGAACTGAGGAGGCAACAGTTACAGATGATGTGCTCAACCCGCTTTCGAGTGAGTCAGTGCGCGGAATGTCCCCTCTTGACTCTGTTATCGCTACAGATGCTGGCGGTGCTCCACTGTTTCTCTTTTGAGCTTTGAGTTGATCAAATAGGCTCGGAAATGTACCCGAAGGGGGAAAGGAAGTGTCGGCAGAAGTGGTCGTGAAAAACCCGCTATTAGATGGGACTGCGGATCGAGGTCTGGTTTTTCGTAACGAAGCATCCTGTCACTCCTCGTCAGGAAATCTTTCTACATCATCAACATATTACGGGCTTAACTGACCTTTTGTTGGCCGTCTGACTTTGGTGTGTCCATGTTTAACATCTCATGAAAGCTGATAGCCTCTTCCTCTTCAGCGGGTCCAGCCAGCGACGCGGCGGATGCAGCTTTACTACCACCAGCAAGGCCCCGCAAGGTTTTTCCCATTGAGGAATCCGACGTCCTCCTACTAAGTATGCGTGGAAGGGCAGAGTGCCTTCGTAGCTTTTTGTTGTCATCGCTGGATTCTAATCCTACCTTTGACTACGATATCGAATACATTAACGTTCCACAGCAGCATTGTGGTAGGTGGATGTCTGCCTACCTTTGCGGCCAGACGCTTCTCCGATTCCAAAGTTTCTGCGGTATAAATACCCCCTGCTTCCAATCTAGCAACCCCCATCTCATCCAATGCGGCAGAGGAGCCCGTTCTGTGGTTGAACAAAATCATCGCGTTTCCATATTTGGCTTTAACGGGTATAGCGGTTCCCGGTAGATACGGAACACCATGGAGAGTGCAATACATGGCCTGAAAGCTGATTGATTAATATTGGATAGGTATATGGCTATGGAAAATAAAAACTCGGCAGCTGGGGGCGAAACTGGCAGAGGTTGGATCGAAAGTTAACGTGAGTCACTCGGGCAGAGCCCGCCATTGAATCTATTTTTGGCCTTCGGCATTGTTGAATGACAACGGATCTGGACATTGGTGGGCGAGTAAGAATTCAAACTTAAATGAGGGTGAAGGGGTGAAGGAGCAAGGATGCAGGGTCGGACTTTCGCTTACGTCGCAGTTGCTAAGCCCCGTGTGGCGTGGTCGCAAGTCCAGCTGAAAGTGCTGGTTCGATGCTAATCGGGATGATGGCAGAGAAACACGAGAAAATGAACCGGGAAAGGCAATCGTACACTGATAGTGGATAGCCGTTGGTGGTCCCCGGAGCTCTTACCACCTTTAAATATGAGTTGGCCAAAGCCCAACTGGTTCGAGGCACGGCGAAACAGGAATCTGCAAAGCGTCACGGCCGACGTCGTGTGAGCAATGTTGTAGTCTTTGGGCTGTTACACGGTCCGCGCACACGTGATCGAAAGGCCATTACGCTTCTCAGCGCCCTTCCTTTCACGACATCTTGCATTTATCCAAGCTTTGTCGGCTTGCGTTTTTCGGTCTTCCGTCTTTTTTGTATTCGTTGGACTCAGGTTTTGCACCAATGTCTTCCGCATCTACCTACAAGTATCTCCAGGGCTTTGGAAACACTCATGCAACAGAGGCACTCGAGGGGGCACTTCCGGAAGGTAAGCAGGTGTCTTGTCGTGTTGTATGGAGCAGAAAATTGCCAGCCTCAAGTTTCTTAAATTGTATTCTCTGACGATGCTTAGGACAAAACTCTCCTCAAAGGGTCCCCTACGGCCTATACGCCGAACAGCTTTCTGGAACCGCATTCACAGCACCAAGGTCGGAAAACCAGCGCAGGTTAGTGTTATATTACGTATTATAATCAATTCATGTTATATCCTACTCATAATTAACTACAATCTGATAGCTGGCTCTATCGTATTCGCCCTTCCGTCTGTCACACCCCTTTCACACGCACTCCGTCACCCACTCTTGTCCGTTCGTTTGCCGTGGGGCATCAAGATTCTGAGTGTCAATCTACCCCCAATCAGCTAAGGTATTTATACATTTATCTAGCGCGAAATAATATTGACTGAACAGAGCGTATTCGCAGATGGTCTCCCTTTGAGCTGCCGAAGCATGGCGGTGTCGACTTTGTACACGGTCTTCACACTGTTTGTGGGTACCTGTGTTAACTATGCAGAGCAATCGTGTAAGAACTAGCTCATCATCTTCTTTGTCTTATATAGGTGGATCTGGTGATCCTTCGGTACGAAATGGAATTGCCATCCACGTATATCTTGCAAATGCAAGCATGGAGAACTCTGCCTTTTATAATGCGGACGGTGACTTACTAATTGGTAATCACTAACCGGTACATTGTGGCTATGGGAAGACGAGCTCAACTCACATCCAGTTCCTCTGCACAGTTCCTCAACAAGGGCGGTTGGATATTCAAACCGAACTTGGTTATCTTTATGTCGAGCCGAATGAAATAGTAGTTATTCCTCGAGGGTGAGTGTCTCTTTTCTTCTTCTACGCTCTCTCCATTAAAACGCAGTCCTGACTGTGAAGCGGTGACCTAGAATTCGCTATGCTGTGAGATTACCTGATGGACCCAGCCGAGGATATGTTCTTGAAGTATTTGACCGCCACTTTGAGCTACCGGATCTAGGGCCAATCGGTAGACGTGTGCTGTGAAGCACGTTTGGTCGACCTGCTCTCAATTACTGATCCTCGATCTCATTCCTAGGTGCCAATGGCCTTGCTAACCCACGCGATTTCTTGTATCCAACCGCGGCATATGAAGACAAGGAAAATATATCCTTCACTATAACAACAAAGTACCAGGGCCAACTGTACACCCTTCAGCAGGTTAGCGAATACACTTGGCATTATCAAAGGTTCACCTCTGAGTTGCGTACTATCTCTTCCCGTCTTAGACGCATTCGGCATTTGATGTGGTTGCTTGGTAATGTATTTAATTCATCGCTATATAAACGTTTGAGCATCATGATAACAACTAGCTTGACTGAAATCAGGCATGGCAACTATGCCCCGTACAAGTATGACTTGCGGAAATTCTGCACCGTTAACACGGTATCATTCGATCATCCGGTAACCAGCCCTTACACGATGGAGCTAGTTGAAGACAATGAGATGAAGCTTACTGATACAGCCTGTTGGTTTCCCATAGGATCCTTCGATCTTCACGGTGCTCACATCCAAATCGAACACACCTGGTGTTGCTGCAGCTGACTTTGTCATATTCCCACCGCGGTGGATGGTCGGAGAACATACATTCCGGTAAGTCAAATATCTTAGTCACAGTCTCCTGCTGTTTAATTATATCATCTGCCTCTCAGCCCGCCATATTACCACCGTAATTGGTAAGTATACGGATGGATTCCCCGTGCGGAGAGTCTGCGAACGTCAATATTCATATATGGATTATATTGTAGTATGGCCGAGTTTATGGGTTTGATCAGCGGAGGTTACGATGCCAAGGCCACAGGGTTTCTACCTGGTGGTGCATCTCTTCACAGGTAAGTGATCTACACCCACCAGCTTCAGTGTAGATGCTGAGAACCAGGGATCTCTTTCTAGCACAATGAGTGCACACGGACCCGATCAAGTGACCTTCGAAAAGGCGTCAACCGAAGAATTGCAACCCGTCAAGCTCCGCCCTGATGGTCTAGCGTTCATGTTTGAAACGTCCCATATGCTTTCCTTAACCAAATGGGCCGTGGAGAAAGAATATGCAGGTGGCAAAGTTTTGCAGGATGATTACTATGAATGCTGGCAAGGTTTGAAGAAGTACTTTGACCCTAAGAATAAGGAAGGCAAGTGGGGTCAGTGATATTATGCAGGGAGCGGTGCTATGTGGTACGATGGGCCGCAGTTATTCCAGCTTGCATTTTAGTGTAGTTGTATATAGGTTGTGGGCTATTAAAGGTATCCGTGGGGCTCGCGTTTAAAGGATGCATGTGTTGGCTAAAATGATCTGTTCTGTATACCGTGAATTCTGTGGTAATCAAAATGAATGTGTTTTCAAAAATGAGGGATTTTGCGGATCGTGACTCGAGAGATGTTCTGAGATGCAGTCCGTGCCTCACGGGCTCTCTGCACATTCTCCCACCATCGGATAGGAGAACTGCCACCATGCCCAGTTCAAAGAACAATGGCGCGGGAGAGATGGGAAATAGATTTGGGCGTCCAGATCTTGATCGGATCGGGATTTTCAGTGAAGTCCCATACATCTCAATTGGTGACAAGTACAATGAGAAAAAGAATGGTACCAAAATTTGGCAGATGCGTATATGGCTTTCGTACAGCGATTCATCTAAACAATCTCTTATATGTAGACGCTTTCTTGAGTTATCGAACGAACGGAAAACAGTTCATTACAAACCCTCCCAAGAAGGGACATGACACAAAAGATGTTTTCTTCGACAAAGAGTTCATTCGAGTGTTTGAGGTGAGCAAGCCATGTTTTTCACGAGGTGGAAAAGGTACTCCTGGGTTCAAATGACCTGACATCGGCGCAGAATGAGCCATATATTGATTTAGTAAAATTACGACGACGGTGGAGATTGCAAGCAAAGGAGAAGAATATCGTTCCAGCTCCGTTTAGACCGTCCAATGTTCCCCCAAAGCCGTAAGGATGAAAGTCCATTATATTTTAACTTCACAGCTTCCGAGTAAGCATTTTTCTTTTACTACTACACTAGATCCGGGAGTGGATCACCCTGGGGGACGTTCGAGCACCAATGGCCTCTTGAAAAGAACGAGAGCGAAGATCGCCCTTCCTTTACAAGCGAACGAGAACCACCTGAAAGGGAGGCGCTGGTGAACTTTCTGACGCGCCCACCCAAAAAGGGCGGTTTTGGTATGGCGATATGGTCGATATTAATGCAGATAACTTTCTTGCCAATACTACGTACCCTGTGCCGGCCCCATCTGTAGGTTATGCGAATGTTACCATCGGGAAACCGTATGAATATATTGGGGATCCATATGATGGGCCTGATATCGTTGCAAGGGTAACCGTTGCAAATACATGTTCCAAGGCGACACCTCTCTGACCCACGTTATTTGACGTACTTTAGAAAGACCGGCAGGAACATCAACGGAAGGTTGTGGGAGAACGGCCCTTCATTTCGAGCAGCTCGAAACTACAGTATTTTAGTCCGTTTGTATCTTTGTTGCAGGCGCAAGGTAACCTAAAGTGGCAAGTTCGATCATTTGTGAACAGCCTGGCCTAACTTCTTATCTTTTAGCGGGAGCGAAAGCTCGTTCCAGCAAAGGATTAAAGAAGAGCGGCAAGCTTCCAGTCATTCAAACTCCTTTCAAACCTTCCTCAGGTGTTGGATTTACGATTAACAAATATCCGAGTTATGAAGCCCCACAAGCTCCTAAAGGGAAGAAAGGTAAAGACGGCGAAGAGGAAACAGTGGTGCCGAGGGGTGCTGCAGCAAAGGCTCCGAAGGTCAACCTCATATTCCGACCTGGCGGAATACCAAAAAGCTATCCTGTTCGCAGCATCATTGACAGTAACACACCTTTGGCGCCCCCTCCTTGGATACAGGAAGCCCTTGTGAGCGCAAATGTGACTGTCGGTGGCTCCCTGGGATAGTTCGTGTGCTAGATAGAGCCATAGACTTCATGATGCGTCAAAATGCATTGCAAGGTTAGGATTAGAGCTAGGAGGGTAAAGTAACCATCGAACGTAGCCGCTTCGTTCCTATCTCGCATATTGCGATCTGAAATTGGCATCAAACTGACTAGAGTCGGTCCACAATCTTTTATCTTCTATGTTAAGCAAATAAGAAAAAGTCATCGCACAATGGCAGCTGTGTACATGTTTATATGTTGGAAAGCATGCAAGACATAACTCATGTTCATGGCCAACCAGCCCAAATTGCCAATTGGATGATCAAAAGACGGCGAATACTCATTCGGTTGTTCGCCACCAACTGCCATAAAACTGGATTCAGGCAATGTAAGGCCCTTTTGGAATGATGCCGCTGCAATGTCGTATGGGCACATGCTGTCATCATTGTAATATACTTGTACATTAAGAGCTTCCAAGTATATTTAATAGAAACTTTTTTTGCATAGGTGGGGGTTCAAAGGATTAAGTCTCTCCCAAGTCCTATCCCCGCATGCGGGGGTTTAGTTTACTTGGACATGGGACCTGCTTCAAACGGTTTTCATTTCGTAATGAGTAAGAAGGGTTAGCTGCGTCATTACTCACAGCCCTTCATACTCATCGCCAGTCAGCTCACGTACGTATCGATTTGTCGTATTCCAATAAAAAGGCCCTCGGAGACAGTGCCCCAGAAGAATAAAGCCTGAGACACTGCAATTAACCATGTCCATCGTTCGTCGTCTTCTTCCCAGTTTGACCAATGTATTTGAACATAACCCCCACGGCATTACCTCCCGTTTTCGACCCGGTTCAGCCCAAAGTGCTCTTGCGCCTATTGGCATCTCTGACGACGTTTTTAATCCACTAGCGGCACTGGCGAATATCCGTGCACCTGTGCCTGCTGTTGATGTGAAAGGTTTTTGGACAAGCAGCGGGATCGGTTATACACATATTGCTGACCCAATGACGTACTTTGTAGAGCGTCCGGATGCGTATATCATCGAGGCAGAAGTACCCGGCTTACCAAGGAGCAACATTGACTTGGAGGTCGTCGACGACCGTAAGTATACGCATCATCTGTCGTCCATCAACGGCGGACCAAGTCTGACCCTGCTCTTACGATAAAATTGGCAGACACTCTTGCACTTGAGGGACGATTTGAAGATGTGCGTGAAGTAAGCCCGCCCAATATTGAAGCTGCGGACACGGCCGGAACATCAGACAAGACGGATCTTGCGCAAGCTGACACAAGCACCAACATCGCTCCTGCCAACGAGAAGGTGTGGAGCCGAGAAAGGGTGATTGGGAGCTTCAGAAGGCTGTTCACTTTCCCAGACAAAATTGACGCTGAAAAGGTATGCCCAGCGTGTGTCTGATGTCCTGCCGACGTTACTTTTGACCCACCGATGCAGATTTCGGCGAAACTCAAAGACGGCGTGCTGCAGGTGGAGATCCCCAAGGAGGAAACCCAAGGGCGGAAAGTACGCATCGCTGAATAGTTACAGCAACGGTGTAACACCAGATGGCATTCTTGCTTCTATAGCCCTCAGTTGCGCGGGCTGTTCTGGAAATACATACTATCTTTGCGATGACATAGTACGGGATTCCAACCTTTAAATCAAGAGTCATATGGGCCAGAAATAAGCATGTATTTAATTCTGACTTAGACATGACTACACACAATTGCCTTCTCCGCACCCTCAGCAGAATATCAGGTAGGCAATGACATTCCCACACCCTCCAACTGCCTAAAATGCTTGTTCGACGTATTGTGATAGTTTTAATTGGTCGATGTGATCGTTTCCCCTGAGCTACTCGAGGTTCGCGTAGTCGGAGGCAGATCGAACGGGCGTTTACTAAAAAGAATAGTCCAACGAAACATAAGCGCTGGTGATCGCCTTGTAATGCATAATTCAAACGTACTTTGGACCTAGCCCTCATCTTTCTCCTCTTACGCTTGAGACGCCTCTGACGCTTCTTCCTCCACTTATCACGCATGTCTGGCAGAACCGAGTCAGCATCACAATTCGACATGTAGCGTCGCGACCATCCCGACCACCACCCTTCCAAGCAAATACAACACTATCATTGCTCTCGCAATACTGTAGCATTTGCCACAAAGGTCGGATGGATGGATGGATGGATCGATGGATGCACGATGAACCAATGCTCTTACCTGGTCGTAACAATGAGTGGACTGGGGGAAGGAGGAGCAAATCCTGCTGTGGTTCAATAAATATATGGGAGGGCGTCCGATCGACCGTCCACGTGATAAAGTGGCTTGGTGAACGAACCTGCTTGCTGATTAAGCAGCTGAGATTCTCCTTCCCCATTTGTCGCTCAGTCCATTTCTATAAGAAACATGGGCTACGTCACCGTCCTGGTCCAACATTCCTGGGCATTACAACCTTCTACTTCTCGAGCGTCAACACCACAGCAGCACCTGAACACGGGCTCTGAACAAGTGCCCGCTGGGTTGGGGAATATCCATGCATCTTCGACAGTTCGGCTGTCTATTCCGGAGACAGTGGCTGCTTTCGTCCGCGAGTGCAATGCATCCAGCACACCGTCTGACCAGCAGCGAAGGAGAAGACAGGCATTAGATATTTTTGATAAATTGAAGCATCTAGTTTTGGCAGGTTCAGTGGTTGATCCAGTATTGAAAGCCCCCACCTCAACGAAAACACCGGCCGCTCGTTTCCCTGGAAGTGAATCCTTAAAACTTCACCCACACCTTCGGCTTCTTCGCCAGCGGGTTGATGCCAACTTGGGAAGCACAGAGGAGCACGTGCATAGCAGCCCTGGGCGATCGTCGGCTTTACATGCACGTCGATCCGTCCTAGCATTTACGGAGTGCAGTTTACCCTCAATTCATGATAGAGCATTTGAAGTACTTTTCGAAGCTCTGGATGTCAATCAACTCCGTACCGACGACACTGAAGTGGAAAGCCTGTTGAAATTAATCAGCGACATGATTCAACGGATGTTGATTTTGATCCCTCTGAAAAACGCGGAGGATTGTGCAAGCACCGGAAAGAGCTGGGATGTGAAAAGAATTTCAATGGTAGGTGCGTAGGCGCATCCGAGCATGTAGCCACCATGTGCAAACTATTTCATCTCTTCCACCTAGTGCATGTGTTTGGCGATGCAACGGTTAGAATTTGCTCATGAGGTCCGTGGATACGTCATTCCCTCGGAGACCGAACAGATAATGCAGCAGTATCTCGATGAATGTCTGCCAAACATTCAAACTACCGATCCATACTTGATCCATTTACTGGCGGAGATGGAAGATTCGGTAGGTCAGGAGCACATGGGATTGGTGGCTGGTATCTTCCTAGTTCTCCCAATGGTTCTATATAGTGACATGAGTCACCATTACTGGATAGATTCGCTGGCTCCTTTCTACGACACAGGACAAGGAGCAACCCCCAGCAACGGCGACGGCGTTATCATTTCTTTCCCAGACGATGAGAGCTCTGCCAGGAGGGGATTCGAGCGATGTGATAGGGCCGTTCAACGCCATTTTGGAGGATTTACGAGGGAGAGGGGCACGGTACGTACAATGCGGCTATCTTACTCAAGCGTCGGAACCATCCGTAATTCTTCACGCTATAAAGACGCCTAGGACGCAACTATATCAGGTTCTTGGCTACGGCTGCTGCAATAAGCGAAGATGCGTGCCGAGTATTCCTTGGTGTGCTGAATAAACTGGATGCCCGCACAGATTGGCACTGGTTGTACCTGGGGATATTGTGTCTCGGTGCTATTATCATCAACGGCCATTCATCGGCTGTGGGTAAACTAGTCATGGAGTCCTTACTGACGTATTTGCAATATCGCGGAACACAACATCGAAGATTCGACCTCAGGGACCACGGGGCACATGAGCAAGACATAGATGAGATGATCCAAATTGGAGATGGCGGCAACGTCACGGTTGAGGTGCTACAACCCAAGATGGTAGACTGGCATCGGGACATTGTGACGGAGGAGAGCAATGCCTGGAAGATCCGGGCAGGGGCCGTCGTTGCGCTAGCGGAAATTCAGCGGCATTTCAGGTCGCAACCTTTCGGGATTCTGGCAAGGGAAGCAATGAGAGCGAGACGACAACATGAAACGCATCCTGGCCCCGGCACGTTGCTGGAGGCGGCTCTCGGCATCCCTTCACGGCCTGAAGCATCTAAACTTGCAAGAACTAACATAAGGCGAATTTCATATCTCTTCCGCTACACCTGTTTGGCTCTAGCAGAAGGATATGCGGAATCGCATAGTCGGATTGACTTCCTGAGGCATTACCTTCGTTCGGCCGCTGGTGTTAAAAGTTCCAAACAACAAAACGGCAAAGCACTTACGCAAATCGCCCCAGTGTACAGGGACTGTACGGCGAACGCAAGATTCTTTCGCCTGGAACCTCACATGCCTCTATCCACCGCACCATATCACCATAATCACAAGTGCTTCGTCGAGCTCCCAACAAATGCACACAAGCCGTTATATCTTGCCCCCTCTTTTCTAGCCACCACCGATCCATCCTTGCCTCACCCGTCGAATGGAACAGTTAACCGTCGGAAACTCTTCCACCCCAATGTCGCGCTTAAGCAGCCGTCTCAGGGAATTCAATATTTGCCATCAATAGCAAAAGGTACTCTTGATACATTACTGCATTTGAACCTAAAGGACGATAACATAGAGCCCATTTCAAAGGACCTCTCCACGTGGTAATGCCATCTGTAGCTCTGCATCATGATAGGTTACACTAGATTACTCGTACTTTAAGCAGACATATGAAAGAAGATTGCTTTTACGGGTTTAGGCAATATATTTAAAGTGCACAGGACCTAAGCGGTGGTGGCCTTGCGAGCCTTGGCACCACGCAGCTTCTTTGGCTTGTTGACCTTGCCAGGCTTTTGGCTTTCCAGGACACGAGAGAGACGAGCCAAGGCGGCCTTTTCTAAATCTGGGCGGTAGGTACGAATGATATTACGGACGGATTTTGCTCCGGCACGAGTCGACTTTTTGAGAGTGGTCTTGCTCACACTTTTGCTCGGCTTGGAGGCAGGAACAGAGGTCTTCTTGACGGAGACAACTGCACCGTTGGTGCCGGCCGTGGAGATATCAATGGTCTGAAAGACAAAACTGTAAGGATCCAGTTCCGCCAAGGTCACCTCATGGCTTCCCACCTTCTTCTGAGCCAATCCAGAGTACTTCAACGAGTTCCGGTTGAGTAGGTTACCCGGCTCCCTGCTCAATTGAACACCGTTGCGCTTCACGAGGAAGGCAGACTGATCGCGGGTCTATAACAAGGCGCATGAGATAAGACTTGGAAGCAGTATAGTCAAGATAGTGTCACCTACCAACAGCCAAATCAAGTCGGATGACATCTAGAAGCCGAGAATGAGATATTGTGCTGTTCTCCGTGACGTTACCATGTCCTCCTTACCTTGTGACCTTTGAACGAAAATGTGGAAGGTGGAACGGCTCATCCATCCAGTGCAGAGAACGACTCAAGCTGAAAAAACGAGTCATGTGAATGGCACAGCGCAAGTGGCTTAGTATCCACTTAGGTCGGGCCTTGCGGCGGCCATCAAACTGTCCGGCAGGTATGGTCGCTGTCACCGTACAGATCGTTTTCATAATATGACGCACTGGCATAGCTCAGCTGCATACAGATTTCCTGATGTCTTCTCTTTGTATGCAGGAATTTGAAGTGCGATAAAGGAGGAGCACCGCATCAATATGTCTTGTCCGGATGCTTGTCCGAATTGAATTGCGTCGACATAAATCACGTGATCACAGAAAACGTCGTTTGCGTCGTGTAAAACAGCACTTTGACGGGTTGCTCTGCCCAATTACGACCTGTGTGACTTCTCTCATCTACCTCGACAGAGCAATATTGTACATATACATTTATTTCCTGTCTTCTAGTTAGCTATAGCTCGGTCGGTACACATGACGATGAGTCTAGCACCGCTCTTGGAAGCTACGCTCTCACCGGGTAGGTTACCTTGTGATGACAAGGGTTTGGAAACTAATCCAACGGTGCTGAATATGACTCCCAATAGAGCATCGAGAGAATGCGGAAGCGCAACTCTCGGCCTACGCGGAGCAATCTTTCGTAAGTCGGCCGTATGGTGTTGTGCCACTGTTCTCGCTGCGGCAACTTACTCATGTGTGCGGGGCAGCCACAATATGCAGCCGCCCTTTGTCAAGAACTTACAAGTGAAGCCAATGCCTTGCATATTCGTCAAGCTGCCGGTCTTGCTTTAAAGAATACTTTAACTGCCAAGGTAGGGTCTATTGTCGGGCCTCCGACAGTGTACACGATACGTTACTTACTGAGTATGATAGGAAGCGCCCAGGAAGGAGGAGTTGGCCACGAGATGGATCCATACGGATGCGCAAACGCATTCGGGGATCAAGGCTGCGGTATGTACAAAAAGTTTTGGCAACCCGATGTGTTTCCAGTTTCAATTCATGCTTTCTTTTTTATCAAGGTATTGCATACCTTAGGTTCGGAAAACTCTCGAGTCGGATATGTGGCTGCACAGGTACTCCGGAATTTGCCCTCTCATCAGTACCTCCTTAATCTCGCTGTATGCCTGACTTGTTTAATTGATGCAGATCGTCCAAGCGATCGCAGCTATCGAGCTTCCACGAGGCGGCTGGCCGGAGTTGATTCCTGGCATGTTGGATAACGTCACCAAGACCGACAATGCGAAATTGAAGCAAGCATCACTCCAGGCACTGGGCTTGATTTGCGAAGTAGTGGTGCGTCGACAATTCCGAGGGCGGTGGATTCTCTCGAGCTTGTGCTAAGATCTCCGTATGCAGGATCCCAATGTTCTTCAACAACACGCAAACCACATCCTCACCGCGGTAGTGTCAGGGGCCAGAAAAGAAGAGCCAAGGTAGATGTTGCTGTTTGGACGATTAAGTTGGTCAATGGTATTGATCATCAAGTCCTGCTCAGTTCTGAGGTGCAAAAAGCCGCTCTGAGTGCCCTGTATAATTCTTTGGAGTTCGTTAAGCAAAATTTTGAAGCCGAGGTGCGTACCATGCGTTTTGGCCTCTCCATTGTACTGAATTGACGCAACGCGTGACCGGACAGGGCGAGCGGAACTATATAATGACGATTGTTTGCGAAGCTACTCGCAACGAGGTTCCGGAGGTCCAAGTAGCTGCATTTGAATGCTTGGTGAAGATCATGTCGCTTTACTACGACTTCATGAACGACTACATGCACAAGGCGTTGGGATCGGTAGGATCTTTGTGAGGTTTATGGATGAATATGCTAATAATCATACTCTTCTTCAGCTTACCCTATGGGGAATGAGACAAGAGAAGGAGGAGATCGTTCTGCAGGCTGTTGAATTTTGGTCAACTGTCTGTGAGGAAGAGATCGATATCGAAGCGGATCAAGACGCCGAGGAAGAGGTAAGGCCGTAGAATCATTCGTCGCTACAGATAGATTTTAATCCTTGTCTGGCTCAGGGGGACGCCAGCAGAACGAATCATCATTTCGCCAGAACGGCAGGGGCGGATTTGGTGGACGCTCTGTGGTGGCTGATGACTAAGAAGGAGGAGGACGATGATGAAGATGAATGGAATGTCTCTATGGCTGCAGCTACTTGCCTGTCTCTTCTGGCAGCCGCTGCCCGGGAGCAGATTGTCCCATCTGTACTGCAATTCGTTGAGGCTCATATCCAAAGCTCAGATTGGAGGTATAAAGATGCCTCCATCATGGCTTTCGGTAGGTTTTATGTCCATGTCGTGAACATATAGATCGTGGTTCTAACTGCTCGCAGGCTCTATTTTGGACGGCCCAAACCCGGATATTCTGGGTCCTCTGGTTGTGCAGGTATGTGCTTATTTTTGATAGTCCAGATATAGGCAGTTCAGTAATAGAGGCTGCATGCCTGATATAAGGCACTGCCATTGTTGATTGGCATGATGAAAGATCCCGTACTCCAAGTCAAAGATGCCACTGCTTGGACCCTAGGCCGAATCTGTGAGATTTTGCCGACTTACATCAAGCCAGATCTTCTTGAACCCTTCATTGTCGCGGTCCTGGGAGGATTGCAGGATCACCCGCGGGTAGCGTCCAATTGTGCTTGGGTAAGAACGTAGTTTACTGTCATTACTATCGTGGTGCATATCTAAAACAAGGAAAACATTTAGGCTCTGATGAGTTTAGGCGAAAACTTGGGAGTTTCGGAAGAAAACGCAGATATATATCCCTTATCCATGTACTTCGAGACGATCGTGCTAGCCTTGAACGCCGCTGGGGAAAGGCAAGCTCTCTGTCCTCCTGGCAACCGTGGTTAAAATGGAGTGTGCTCATGTGCATAGTACACACCATGCAGTCCGCAGCAAGACGCAAATTACAGAGCAAGTGTCTACGAGGCGATGGCTACTCTCGTGTCTCATTGCGCCAAGGTACGCCGTCATGTTCTTGCTGGCTGCATTGACTGGGTTGTGCTAATGTTTCCTGATATATTGTAGGACTGTTTGGCGACAGTAAATAAACTCGCCATTGTAATTTTGGACAGGCTGGAATACACGCTGGCTGCTCAGGTGCCTTCTCCCATGGATTTGCCTGGTCGCACCGTCGACTAACAAAGAACAATTATAGAACCAGCTTGTGAGTGCCGATGATAGGAGACTCCACTTTGAGCTGCAGTCAAACCTGTGTGGGGTGATGACGGTAAGCTGCTCCCCCCAATCGCCCGGTAATCCTATTGGCTAAGTATTGTTCTGGTTGCACCTAATAGGCAATTGTTCGGCGCTTGGGCAACCTTGTGGTTCCAATTGCGGACCGTACTATGCAGGCTCTACTGATGCTCATGTCGTCAGCATCAAGATCATCCACTGTGTTGGAGGACGCTTTTCTGACTGTCGGGGCGTTGACCGTTGGTAAGGCTCTTGATACTCCTTGCTACGAAGGGTGGGCACTTACGTTCGGTATGAGCAGCTTTGGAAGGCGATTTCAGTCGATATATGGAAGCCTTCACTCCCTTCCTGTTTCAGTGCCTTCAGAACCATGAAGAATACCAGGTCTATAATGAGTAAATTTACCGTCTTTTGATCAGAGTCTGAGGCTTCAATGTATTTTGTAGATGTGTTCCATTGCGGTCGGCCTGATCGGCGACATCTCTCGTGCGCTAAACGAGCGAATTCAACCGTTCTGCGATACTTTGATGAATCTGATGATGGCTAACTTGCAGGTACATAATAGTCTAGATATATGCTCAACCTACTATCGGATTGAGGAGCTAAACGTCTTGATATGTTTTGTACAGAATCCCGCGTTGAATAAAGCAGTGAAGCCCTCGATTTTATCAGCATTTGGTGATATTGCCCTGGCGATTGGCGGTAACTTTGAAATGTATTTGGATATTGTCATGGCCGTCTTGCAACAGGCCGGTGCAATGGCAAACCTGACTATGGTACATCGTGTGGTCTGATGTTGTATGAGCCGCGCCGTGGTGCTTAAAGGTCAACTCTTCTAGACAACGTCATACGATTTTGACTACGGCAACCAATTACGCGAAGGAATCATTGAAGCTTATGTAGGCATCGCACAAGGGCTGAAAACTGCAGGCAAAGGTGGGTTGTACCTTTCGGCTTCATGTCCTCTCTTAACCTTCCTAACTGGCACGGTTAGCAAACCTGCTCGGTAACTACGGGGCGCAAATGTTCGGTTTTGCTCAGGAGATCGCCACCTCCGAAGCACCCCGAAGCACACAGGTTACGTCAAGTCTTGTTGGCCTTATTGGGTAAGGGCGTGGAATATATCATATCTTTCGATGTTGTTGAGTAATGTTCTGTACAACGACAGAGATCTAGCCGACGCACTCCCACTGGGTCAGTTCAAGCCCCTTTTCTCCGCCGAGTGGATTTCAGTGTTGTTGAAATCTATTAAGACCGATCGCAACATGGACCAAGACGCGAAAGGAGTTGCCAAGTGGGCCAGGGAAATGGTTCGTCGCCAGGTCAATGCTTAGGATCGTAGTTAGTTGGATGCCTTTTATAGCCCTGCCCATTTCCCCTTGTTTTGTATACCATTCCCTTCGCCATCCCTATTTCCTTTTTTACACTTTCAGAATAGATGTTTTGCAATGACCAGAAAATATTCGATACGCAAAAAGCAGACAACTTGCCGGTCCTATAATTCAAGTGGGAGAGCGGACAGGACGTTTTCACCACTAATTGGCACAGTCGATATCTGAAAGATCAATGAATTGTAACAAAAAATTATATCGAGCAGAAATGTGATTAATTGTGATTGCAAAGATTTACACGCAAAGAGAGTCAACGTCGCTTCCACGACGTTTCATTATCATCATCGTCATCGTCCTCCTCCTCCCACGTCTTGGTGGCATCTAAACCCAATTCACTAGTCTCTCCACCCTTCGCCGCTGTGATTTCCCTATCAGCTATACCAATCTCTTCCTCAGAGCTATTTCCAATTGGGGTCGCCAAATGGCCAGTAAACCAGGAGAGTTTCGCCTTATCTGCGCCCACAAAAGTTAGAGGCTCAGACATCGCCTGGGGAAGGGCCCGTCAGTTAGTCATTCAAGGACGGACTAAAGCTCTCCGTGCACCACGGAAGGTGAACATGACTTGCCTTTTCTGCGTCCCTCCTTGATGCAAATTGGACGACGGCCATAGTATTGTCTTCAGAGAGTGTTAGTCCACTTACAGTTCCAAATCTCTGCGGAAGGGTAAGATTATCCAAATCTAATATGCTAGAGCGTCTATATAGTACTGACCTCAAAATGCGATCGCAACGCTAAGTGGGCCGGTGATATAAGGCCTTCGACGCGAATTTTGGTTGGCCGATTATCCAATGTATAGCGACTCCCTCCGCGGCCCACTCCCCAGGAACCGCGTCCCCGCCCTCTTGAGTAAGTTCCGCCGCCTCGAGGAATAGTAGCAGCAGCAATCACCGCGGCCGGATCAATTCCACGTTCCGCCGCCTGATCATGGGAAAGTTTTAGTGTTTGCAGTAATACGATTTCTTCGTTCGTTTGAGAGTACCTGTGCTTTCAAAGCTTCCAATTCGGCCACTAGAGCGGCATCCGGTGCGCGTCCCCCTTGTTCTGGATCAGCTGTGCTAATTTGGTTCAAGGCATCCAACTCTCTATCTAGTCTTTCTCGCTCTTTTTCCTCCATGATCGTCGTCCTTGAAACAGGCCCACCCTTGCCTTTCACAGCCGAAACTTGATTGGATGCTGAATCCATGACATCCTTTAGTGATTTAGAAAGAATCTCAAATTGGTCCAGAAGCGCTTTCTTTTCTTTAGGCGTCAGATTCTTCGACTGAAGCTTCTCCATAATATTTTTCTGCTCTTCAAGTTGCTTTGAAATGAGTGATTGCTGCATCTCAAGCATTTGTTTTGCTTTCTCTTTCTTCTCCTCCGCAGCCGCTACTTTTGCGGCGGTGGTTGCAGAGATATCATCAGGCCCTGATGAAATGGGATCCGGATGCACAACAGACGCGCGTTGCGGCACCGCAGGAGTCTGAACGTCCGCACCAGCTTTGAAATCAGCTGCCGACGCATCAGAATTGAACCAAAATACTCGAACGAAACGGTTGCCGAAGATGGGATCGGGTGATCTATACGCAGCCATAGCCTCCTGATGTCGAGAAAACTGGACTACCGCCTTAGACGACGGAACGTCCAACTTAATATTTGTAATTGTACCGAACTTTTTGAAAAATGCATTGATCTTGTCGATTGAACAGAACTCGGGAGGTATAGACTGAACGCACAGGGTGTCTCCGCGCTGTGATGAATGACCAAAGAAACCCCCCCGCCCGCCACCACGTCGGCTAAAACCACGAGGATTGCGAAAGCCGCCACGAGAAATGTCAGGAGACGTAGAAATAGGACCTCCATGACCCTGAGGCACATTGAACGGCGCTCCAGCCGCCGCTTGGTTATCGCCCTTGCCCAAGCCGCCGTTCTCGCCGCCTGCCCGCGCAGCTGAAGCAAAAGAAGCACGTTCGGGATCATACCCCTCGGACGCCAGAGATATTTGCATTCCAGGCTCTAAAACTGAAACATTACTATCCGTGTGGAAAATTACCATAGATAAGACCTACTGCTTACCATACGGCTCAATTTCATATTGTGTTCTACCACTAACACCCGCATTATAAGGCACGCTGAATGGCGCTCGCATACCCGTCATAGGTCCCAGAGGCGCCGGACCCATTAGATCAAAAGGAGGTCTTCCCCCAACCATTGGGATATCATCTACCACAATGCGATCAACCCCATGATCGTAAGGGCATGCATCTCCACGGAGACAATAACCCCTCTCTATGACCAGAAATTATGATAAGGGTGGTCCAAGTCAATAACTGCCAGGAGAAACAAGGCAACTCAGTCAGAACGGATACCTTCGTAGTCCCGACACGGACGACGCCCGCGACCGTTCATATATCCGCCTCGCGTTGGTCCCATTCCGCCTCGTCCTAGCCGGTCCGGCATTCTGCCACGATATCTCCCATTGTTTCTGTCAATGAAGCGCGCTTCCCGCTCCGCAAGGGGAGCTCCTGACGTTGGATGCGTGTTACTCCAGTCAGGTCCTCCATCCCACCGCCCTGGTGGCACACCTTGATTAGGAAGCATCTGAGGATATCGCTGATTAAGCGCCCGCATATCCCGATCTCTTCCATCACGTTCATATTCGGCCCGTCTTGTAGATCCGTTTCCATACCCAGTCGGAGCTGGGCCATTGTACCCGCGTGTCACTTTAGCGCGGTGCACATCTCCGTCGTCTGCGCCTTGCTCGTCTGAGCGCCGTCTCTTGTGCTCAGAAGTGTTGTGTACCTCATATTTAGCCTGCTTACTACTTGGATAACCAGCAGTCTGACTGCTGGGATCTAAAGCTTGTGGAGGATACATATTATCCTCGCCCCTTCCACGCTTTCTTCCTGCAGATTCATCTGCTCGCGGCCGGTCATTTTGAACGACACGCCGGTCTCCGAGGTCCGCTGCCGGAGATGCCTTGTCGCTCGATGATTCACGCCCTCCACGACGGGTATGCTTGAAATTCCGATCACCGTCTTCGTCCTCAGACGCATCCTCCTCGAAGACTTTTCTGGGGGTCGGTTGTAAAGGTTCCTCCAACCCAGTCGTTGGTGCACTTGTATGCAGGTGCTGATGACGTGGAAGGGCAGCTTGGTTACCGACAGCTTGGGGTTCATTCTCCAAGAATCCTAATGATGCCAGCGAGTCAAATAGCTGCAACACAAATGGCTGCGTTGCTGTTCATCCACCCATGTGAGTGAGTAACAAATCGCCATAAAACGGAAAGATGATCGTCAAGGGTACCTTCTTTGAGAAAGTCATCAAGTTGACTGATGCAGAGAGCTTTGAGATCTGCGATTGGCTTGTCGTGCTTGAGCAACGCTATAACGTAGTCTGCCAATACAATGGGATCGGCGTCACATCTGAGAAACTACGGGTTAGCCACATAACTATAACGAAAACCAGCTCAAGGGGACCTCACATGGGCTGCAGCTGTGAAGTCAGTAACTTCTTTAACACAGTACTGGATGCATCGTCTAGATGCATGCTGCAGACCAGCGTCCAAAGAATGGAATTTGGGTGGAGATTGTGAGTGTTGGAAAAATGTAGCCGTTGAGTGCACGCCAATGACAATTGCAAGATCTTTTCCCAGCAAGCTTCTATCCACTAACACCTCTCTTGATGGCACATAAAAGCGGTTGGAACCATTAACCTAATTTATACTGGACAGTACTGTACATTAAATGCATCGGTTCAATCCAAATACAAACAAAACAGTGGTCTGATCATTTGCACTATTAATCATACTGATTGGCGTAGAATCGATCCACATCATAGAAAGAAGCGCTAACCACCCTGCCACCAAAAAATCTGCCATTCAGGTCTGATTGTGCTTTGTAATGGCAGTAAGGTCAGTCAAGGTGGTTCCGTGCATCGCGCGACGCACTAATAAACTGTCCTCTGTCCGGCAGACAGAAAATCGCAGCATACCTCGTACTGCAGATCCAATATCAGAAAACTCTACGAAAATTCTCACAGCTTCTTCCTCAGGAACATGATAGGGGACCTAAATGGGTGGTAAGGTACACCCACCGTTTCCTTCCGTTGCAGCAAGCATTTCGTACCTCAAATACTGTACATCGCTCCACTTTGCCATACCTGCTACATTCTTCAGCAGTTTCCTGCTGCAAGCTTGCGTCCGCCTCCCCCGGACCCACCATGTTGATGAGGAGTACAACCCTGGACGGCTCCTGATGGACCGGTGATATCACTGGTGCATTCTGACCATTCAAACCAGTTCCAGCGCCAGTCAAACGAGCCCTCCTCATGTATGCCTCTTCGCCAGACATATCTAGCGGTGTCTGAAGTTGAACAGATCTATCTGGGAGCATTTTTATAGTCTCACTAGGCGGTGAGCTCGTTGTCCAATTGACAGTTTCTGTGAAGATTATATAACAATTAGGAAATGCGAAAAGAACTGAACATTGGTCGAACCTTGAGCTATTGGATCATTCCGTGAACCGGAAGAATTACGCCCTCTTTCCACATCCTTCCGTCGTTTAGCTTCCTTCTTAAAGGCGTAAAACTCATTTGGACTTGCGGGGTCTGCAGTTCCGCTAGTGTATGAGCGAAAATCACCAGTGAAGGCTCCCAGGCACATAGGATTTTAAACTGTTGGGACATTACCGTATATATCTGTCAGGGATTCAGATTGCTTCAGGTTGTGTGCTCTTTGTCTCTTCTGAATATCTATGATTTAGTGTCAACGGTATTGTCGCCGCACGCTCGCGCTCTACGAACCTTCTGCTCCGGGCTACCTCTCAACAGAAGCACTGGCTCTTGGACAGGAATGTCTTCGCGGGGTGAACCCACTGAATCTTCTGCCAGAGAAGCGGCTGCGTTGGCCCATTTGGTAGCATTTTTCAGCATGGATCGAGGGCGTGGACCATTGGACTGGGGTTTTCGCTTCACAGTCACTGGTTGGATAAACCGCGCCTGTGATGCCCAGCCCGCTGGAACTACGACCTTGTTTCCTCCGGGAGGTTGTCCAGGAGTGCTTTGTATGCCTTTTTCCTTGTCTGTTTGCTCAAGTGCACCATAAAGTGAAGCCATGGGGAGGGGTTCAGAGAGATCATGAAATGGCTTACCACTCGCTACACCGTTAACCAGTGGGCACCCCAAGATGTAGGTTGCAATGGATTCATTCAATAAAATGCGCACAGTCACTTCCCACATCAGTCACGTTAACTCCGTGGTTGCAATCTTAGTTGCAGTGTGCCAACATTCGTGCCCATTGGTTAACAGTGGTCGACTGGTAGTGGTGCACGCATTTTTAGAAGTGCTGGAGGGACATTCGCAGAAACATCACAAATCACGAGCCACCTCAGCTACTTGGAGCCAAGAGCTGCGTGGACATGTCGCTTAAGAAAGGACGAGATACCTTCTCTGACTCTCATCCTCCACAAACATCAGAAAATAGCGGGTGCACTTGGGCGAAGCTAGTTCAGTATAAGTGCAAACTCGGGAGTGGCCGAATTGTATGTAGACCTGTGGAGCGTTGGTTCAAGCGATGTGCGGGCCGGCCGAACATTGAAGAAGACCCACCAGCACAACCCTAAGATCATTCAAAGGCGAGAAGAGATTTAGCGGCTCACTATAGTATTACAATTATACGTGCTTACGCCGTCAAACCGCCAGTTTACCAGAACGCACACCAACCAATATAACACTAGAAAACAGCCCCGAATGAGGATTAGATGTAGAGGAACAGAAAGATCCACAGTCGAGCAACACCCACCTGACATAAGTTTTCTAGTGATGTGGCCTGTAAAATTAGTCGGTGCACTTGATTTCGTACATCCAACGTTTGATTTGGCTTGAAATCACGACCTGTTCGGAATAATTGCCATCAGCTACTGGAGCGCAGACAGGCAAAACCAATATCAGAAGCTTACCCGTCAGCTTATTCGAAACGCGATTGATGACTGTTAATGCCCGGGTGTTTAGCGCCTCAGGTTTTCCAATCTGATCCTCCTCTACAGGGCAAAAAAAAAAATAAATGAATTGTAAAGATTTTGAACACCATATATCAACAACCATTGGCGATAAGATCGTTCTCATTTCGCTGCAGCTTCCGACTGGCGGGAAAGTTTCGTGTTTGCACAGGTTCATCCAAAATATCTACAGATTTGCGATGTCACACTTCTGATCGATGCCACGGACGCCCATTACATTAGAGATCTCACCATTCTCCATTTTTGTCTGGCGCATGGGTTTGGCATCTGTCGAGAAAAAAACAAGGTAAGCATTCTTACTGGGTTAGTCAGAAATCAGCAAAAACAACAAGACCTGGCTTCGGACTAGCCGTCGACAGTAACCTCCAATTGATAAGGGGGTCATACACAAAAGCTTCAAGCACAGCCATCAGACTGTCCTTGTTGTCGCGCAGGACGCTCATTACGATCTCACAAGTGATGCGGAAATTCCCTTCGATTCCACTGACCTGAGGTTGACATGTCGTGTTAACAAGTTAATCGTAATTGTGAAAGCGTAAAATTCTCATAACGAGGTGATACGTACTTCCATGGCGTTAATCAACATCCTTGTTAGTCGGAATGGTATTTTCTCAGGGAACTTTTCTCGATGCATCGCAACCTATATGCTAACGTCAATAAACATGACACTGTACCAGTGATTCGCGTAGTATGATTTGAATCTACCTCAAAACAGTCGCCAAAGTCTATGTGGATGACTTTCCCAGTAAAACGGTCCAGCATGAGATTTGATGGATGTCGGTCCCCGAGTCCCAATATATAGCCGACCATAGACATCACTGCGAGCGATCGCGTATAGTTTGTTCGTCGATCCAGCCATACCTTCGTGTCCTTAAGTAAGCCAAAGTACAGGCACATGCCCTAATGATGCATAGAAAATATTACCTCTGAATTCTTGCTTTTCAACCAAAGTACTTTATATAAATCTTGTCCAGTGGTGTTCTCCAAAGCATATTCGAAGACCTCGACTTTCTGCAGCAACGTCAGGTTGTCGTAATCCGGAGCCATCTGAAGACAATGCTGGATTAGCACAGACGCTGGTCATCTTCATGGCAGCCGATAACTACCTGCAACATTAATCTGTGTTCAATGTTCAATAGGATCTTGCGGCTTTCTCTGTAATCCCTGATCAATGTGTGTAATGTATCACAGTGGGGCACCCATCCGATCAGACCAGAGTTTGGCGAAAGTGGAATCACTGGATAACGCTGGATGCTGAGATGCCTTTTGAACGTTTCCGCATCCGTTGCAAGTAATGTGTTGACAAGGCCGAACAATTGCATGACTCGCTCGTCTTGCCGAAGATCCTCATGACCTAATCACCAATGGTGTTAATTTATAGGCCGCCAGCGCGAAGTGTTTCCATTTTCTACCTTTAAGGAGGTATTGGTATTCTTTTCCATCGTTCCCTTTTATTGTTAAGCGGCGCGGCCTTTGCTTCGACGTCATTACGGTTAATGTAGGTACGAAAGACGCGATCTTAACCACAGGTTCGGAACTTCGGTATGTCCCTAATGTTAGAGGTCGGTGAGCTGGTAGAAGTCAATTTGGTCATGACCAATTTCACAATTATATACCCGGTACGGCAAGCTCAAGATCTCGCGCAGCCAATAGCTTTGGAGACACATATTGTAACTCCAGTGTTGTCAGCTGCGGCAGCTGCTTATTTATTCGCCGGAACACCTAAAGTCGTCATGATAAGTATACCTCAAAGAAGGACATATGGGTTTTGCGGGCTACCACCAGATAGTAGAGGTCCCACGCTTGATTAATATCATTGACGTTCTGAGTTCTTTTGAAGCGCTTACACCAATCCAAAGCTTCCTGAAGGTCGCGCCCGAATGCTTGGTTGAAAGAAATCTCGCGCAAGGTCTCAGGGCCCTTGAATCGAAGATTAGCATGTTACTAACAAACAAACGTTACTTGCAGAATGCTGACGTACTCGCTCCAGCATGTGATGCAAAGGCTCCAAAGTCGTAAACATGCCTTCCACATTATGATCCCCAAAGTAGAGCCTTGAAGCCTCCTCCAAACCTTCATGCCACATCTCGTGCCAAAGAATCGCTACACGAATCAACTCCTGACTGACGAGCAACGCCTAAGAGAGAAGAGGAAATTTCCATTCAGCCCGCGGTGGGGGCGCGAGCGTGACCTCCACGCGAAGTCTACCTGCTCAACCAAAACTGCACTATGCATTCGCATCTTCTCGATGATCGCCAAGGCAGATTTCTTCCTTGAGGTACTTTGAGACTTCGAGGCAACTGTCAATGAGTACACGAGTGCCTGAGGATGTTCTTTACCGACGTCGGACAGGAGCTGGTGGATTAGGCGGCGCACATGTGGACTAGGAGTGTGAATTCTTGCTATCAACTGCGAATGGAGGTGAGGGAATAGTGAGGTACAGTACAAAAAAGGAGGGGTCAGAAAAATGAGGGTATGGAATCCTCCACACAGGGACAAACCTGGGGTATTACTTGAAGCCACGTGTCGATGCTAACACTATTAAAGCCTTCGCCAATAGCTATATTTACATCCTGCTGGAATCCGTACTTGAACCAAAGGGTCAGTAACCTTAAGGTGTCCTGCAGTGAGTTCCCTTTCGACAGAGCAATAGACCGGAAGAAGCCTAGCCAAGAATGAATTTAGCTGAATAAGTACCGGGACCACTCAGAGTCGAATGTACCTTGCACTGAGGGAACTACGTGCGCAACTAATATTTGGGGCGGGATACTCTCATGAACTTTTTCATAATGAGATATCACTTCGAAATTCGCTAAGGCCCATGCATGCCATGCTTTATACCAATCCTTATCGCAGTGTGTTGCAGCCAAATACGAGCGAAGGATCTCTGGTATGACAGCCTATCAATAGATAAGAATAACTATACCGTAAGCATGAGTTTTGCGGTGCGCCCAGCAAAAACCTTGATACGTACGTCGTTGAGCTCTTCTTGAAGCGCACTCTGCCACTCGCCTAATTTCAAATAGCAACGCGCCAACAGTCGTACGGGTCCGAGTTTACTAGCATCTCCACTCTGGCCATCAACATGTGCGTGGATATCGTTCAGCGTCGTCAAACCTAATCTCTCAACTATACTCTTTGTGAACTCCTTCATCTGACCAAACGCCTGTTCCTTCATGCTTGACGCCCATAAATGCTTCAAGCAAGCGTAAACCACCTGTGGAGCGTCATCTCGAATGGCCTGTGAATCTGTTCAGTAAATCATCAGTGTCTCCTCGCCCCACTTGCCCAATTACTCACCAAGGTACTAAAATCTTTCGCTTCCACATTAAGCAGCCCAGAGAGTGTTTTATGCGATAAGCCTAACCTCCCACTTTTCCGGCACAGATTTGCGAATTTTATCCACATCTCCATGTCATCTTGCGGGGCTATCACCAGAGCTCTAACTTTAAGAATTCTCTGCCACACTTCCACGTTTCTCTGGCATCCTCGCAGCCTATTTAAAAGAAAATGTTTAGTTGTCACTCCCTGACAGTGCATTGATGAATGCATACCGCGACATCCACGTCCTTCGAATAGCGGCCTGGCGGTCCGGCTGTTCGTACAATTGTTTGTAGGTAATTATTTCCTCCAGCTCGGCCAACATTTGAATGCGCACCACCACGCTACAATTTTCAGCACACGATTAGACATGCTTCACTGACAATACCTTTCTATGGACGCTTACTTATAGGCACGACTGTAGCTTTCCCCCACTAAAGCCATGAGCTCCGTGTTCAACAAATCGCGAGTTTTATCAATAAAGCGGGCTGCCTGAGGGTACAGATTTCGATGCAACGCGAGAATGGCACGGAAAAAGGCACTGTCCGGAGATTCTTGCTTCATTACCGCAATATATTCATCCATGAGATCCCACTGACCGAGGCCCCAGGCCGCAGCAGCGGCGAGAGGTGCTATGGCCTTTTTAACATCGCTGTTTGCGTAAGCCCAGCGTTCCTGGGCAAGCTGCGATAAAGCTTCCCATTCCCCAAGATTATGCAAACACCGCATCCTTCCCAATGTGGCCTCTACTGACAGCGGATCCTCGGCTTGCTTTCTCTCGTAAGCGGCCAAGCCATCCTCCCATCGGTGTAGTTTTTCGTACCAAGATTCCTTTAGTTCAACATCATGGTTTTGTTGGGCATACGTAAGAATTCCAATAGCAGAATCTGGCTGTTGTAGCTGATTGTTGATGCTGATAAGCGCTTCGATGGTATTAGTGAGGGGTTCCGAAATGAATTCCAATTCCTTGTAGTGTAGAGCCTTTGCATATGCGTGACACTTGGCAGCATACAGCCCTAGAGTGCGGATGTCGATTGGCAAAGCCTTGTCGTCGTGCTCCATGAACTCAGCAAGATTCAAGAGAGTTTGTAGTATTTCCGGCGGTATATTTGGGGATGTAAGAGCAGTTTCGAGAGAACGTACAAGCTCATCTTGAAACTGATCGTACAGTTCGCTCCAACATGATACGAAGCTTGCATTGAACAGTTCGCGAGCTAAGGGGTAGTACACGCCGGCTAAGCTTGCACATGCTCGTAAGGCGTGCGAAGGGGACTCTTTTAGTAACTCCACGCTGAAGCGACGGATCCACTCCGCCCAATCATCTTTTGTTGAGCGTTGCGACGTTTCCCACGCTTTCTTGAGTTGCTGCTGATTGACTGGCAGCTTCTTCGTTGCCGCTTCTGCGGGTGAGTCATCGGCGAGGGTTTCGCTATATCTGCTTATCGATGGTAAGTATCGTAGAAACATCCTCGCATCAGTTCGGGTGTACCTTTCTTCACCATCACTACCCAATTCTTGGGGCAATGGTTCATTCTTTAGTAACTTCGAAACTAGCAGGTCATATTTCGGATGCTGTATGTGATGCCTAACCAACATCTGGTGATTCCATTTAGTTGAGTCTACGGTGAGGGATCGAATCAAAGAATGGACGCTACCTTGTTGATCATGGGGATAAAAATGGCAAAATCGGACACCAGCTGGTACACAAGGGCGCAAAGCGTGTCCATCGCCGCTGCACGCAGTTCCGGCTGCGGTATTGCCAGCACACGAACGAGCGGATGGATAATCCGCGAGGCTTGGTCGGCAAAATTAATTTTCTTGCAAAGCATGCCAATTGTTTGAATGGCATGCTTGCGCAGATGCACTGGAACGTCCGGTTTCTCGAAAAGCTTTACTACCACGGGTACCACCAAATGCAAATATTCCTCTAAGTTGGAACCGAATGTTATCATTGCATGCAGAACCTTCTGAGTTGGCTGACGTCTTTCGCTTGTATCGGCATCGAAGATTTGGAGCATTTGAGGAAGGAGGGTGGGTAGATAGACCTTGAATTCTCCGTCCAGCGCTATAGCAATCGCTTCCACCAGAGACAAAATAGTAATTTGAATGTTCGATGTCGGGCTCCAGTACTCTTGTATCAGCGAAAGTAGATCCGTTAGGTAGCTGCGGATGTGTTGCTTTACTATAGAGACCAGAAGTCCCAATTGCTGGAAGTGAAACTCCAGCATCCCAATTGGACACGTCCTCATCATGGTAAGAAATGGTGGCATAATCTTGTGAATTTAGTGAGTAAACCTATAGGGTGGTACAAGGCTTCTGGATTCCTCACCTGCGGCAGGAACGGGACACACTTAAGTCCTAGGGTTTTAAAGATGTACATCACAGCTTGGATGACGGCTGTATGGTGAATGCTCAAGGATGGGTCACGTAATATCTTCATCAACGCATTTATGGCAACCGTAGGATAATAATCTTCCGCTGATGGACTCATGGTTAAGGGCATTGCTTGAATTTCTGCAATAGCTCCACTAATGACGGTTTCAGGGTCTCGCGATGCAATCTAAAAAATTGCTTAATGGTGAAGACGAAGTATGAGAATCGCACCTTCACTACCTTATGCTTGTAAGGATCTAAGGCACCAATGATGCCCATAACTTTCACGGTTTCTCGGCGAATCCCAGGTGACTGTTCGGTCTTCAAAATATCAATTAACACTCCAAGGAGATTCGGGTATTTGAGGTAAGGTTCCACGACCCAGCCGGTATTACTCGACAGTTGGCCAAGCGTACGCAATGCTGATTCCCGCTTCGTGGAACTACTCTGGTCTTGCAGGGTCTCCATAATAATCGGCATCAAATCATCCAAAAAAGGAAGCAGCCCTTCACCACCAACTGGTGCGAGTTCCCCAATGGCAGTCAACACCCTCGACGCAACCCCAGAACTTGGATCTCTCGCTTTGGGAAGAAGCACTTTCAGAATAGGTTCAACATAGGGTTTAATAAGCCTTTGAGCGGCGGAGACGAGATGACTCAGAAGCCGAGCGCTTTCCTCTCGTTGACGACTAAGTGGATGTGATTAGGAACAACGTAGACTATGACAGACATCCTGATCATTGCGCTACCTTGCCCCCGAATACTCTAGTTCAGTTAGAAGCTGAATTAAGGTTTTGCGCAGTGACGGGAGAACATAGGCCGGATTCTGAACTGTCAAGCGACCGATGATCGTTATCGCCAGCTCACGTATCGTAAAAACTTCATCATTCAGTGCAATGAAGAGCGTGCGTATATGTTCGGCTTGGGCCAAGTGATAATCAAAGCGTTCGTCTAGAGAGGATAGAACCGCTTGCCGTATAACCGGATCTGCGAAGCGATTCTGCGTGAATGAGGGAATCATGCCAACCCCTTGAATGCACTGCTACCGGACCTGGGTCAGTTATTCCAACAGTTAGAAGCTTCTCTAATACTTCGCCCATGATTTGCATGGCATGATTGCTGGTCTATTTCAAGGGTCACACAATGTCTTGACGAAGCTGCGACAGTGAAAGATATTAACAGGTACCTGGTAGCACACAGGATCTCGCGCAAGCAGGTGGCAACAGGTCAGAGCAGCCGCTTTTCTAACTTCCGTGTTATCGTCGTCCAAATATGAAACAGCACATTCGCGAATGAGTTCGTGCAGCATGTACCCTAAGGACATTTAGATGAGCTTAGATGTGGCTACAGGTACCGAGAGCAATCACATTAGAACCTGCAAAGTCAAAGCCTCCTAGTGTAGTCAAGGCGAGTATTATGGTTTCGACATCATGGACTTCGGTTTGGGTCTGGTCAAATAATTGATTAAGCAGAAGATACGGTGGACCCACAGTCATTCCGTCGCACCTGAAAATCTCGCATAGTGCCCGTGAGAGGTGTTTGCGTGGTACGCGCTGGTGAGCCCGGGTGGCGATATGGTTGACCACAAAGGATCATGGAAAGCAAGTTCAATAATCTCTCTTTAACATAAATCAGGTCATTAGATTGATGGGTAGCCTAGCACCTAATAACAGTAGGGATATAGGACTGCAATACCTTGGATGATACTTAAGAGTGGTGGGATGTACACCGAGAGGTCAACCAGAGCCTGGCGCAATGGCTCAGAAAGTCCACCGGAAAACATCTGCTCAAGTAGATCGTGCATGTATTTGGTAAGAGCTGGACCGACCGCTTGAGCAAGCATGCTGATGCACTGGAAAATAGGTGCTTCATGGGTAACTCTGCCCCTCCTGTAAGGTCAACGTATGAGACGGTTTAAGCTAGCTTGAAAATAACATTTAAAGAGTGTAACGACCCTTTAATGTTCAAGCCATCTTTGATATTCTGAAGCGTTCCATCCAGATATGGTCCTATGCTGCTTCCAACAGCAATGGCAACTTTACCGATTGCGATAAAGGCTGTAAGAAGACGGTATGTGTTGAGTACATATCGGAAATTTCTCAAATGCAGTTCATCAGCTCACCCGCTGAGCGGTCACGGTCCTTCTTCAGCTGCGAGAGTAAATATGCCATACACCCATTCAAATAGGCAGCGACAAAATCCGCAGCGTCGAATTGTGCTAGGGATGGAATCATCAAGATAACGGTACGACGAACTAGGCCATCTCGATGATCCTTGTACTTCAACACCGATTCACATAGACCTTTGTACTTTTCTTGGGGATACTAGCTTCCAGAGTTGAAAATCGTGTCGCAAACTGTAGCGATGATATTTAGTCTTACCATCCCTTTCTGACTTATCAGCTCTCTTAACGTTAAAAGCGATCCGTGGATGGCATCTGCATTGCCGGTTTTGAAGCCTCTTTGAGTTTCTTCTAAGATCTTCTGATACCACTGTTTCCTTTGTCTATTCTCTCGGACTTGAACGAGGGCCAACGTCGCGTTAAGTGCATCCGCCGCCCCTTCTCGTATCACTACCTGCCAATTGATGAGATAGTCTGATATTCAGTGGTACTCTATCGCATACCTACCCTATTATCTCTCAGCGCCGCCCAAATCAGGTCAAGGATTTGCCCAACGTAGGCGTATATCAACGTCGGGGGCACTCACGGCCAATTCACGTAGTACAAGCACTGCGGCATAGCGCCTGGCCTCATGTCGATCTCCTATAGGCATTTGGTCTTAAGAATACAGGACAGTATCTAAGCTCGCTTCACCTTACCTTGCAACCATTCGAGAGCGCGCTTTACTTCAAACTCCACAAACTCCGCGGTGAGTGTACCACCTGAAAGCGCCAAGCGTCCTGCAAAAGATAGGTAAATAATTTATCGGCATCACTTGGCAGGCTTCCGCTTACCCAATGCCTTCGCTGCCAGGATTGTAATTTGTGGATCACTCCCCGGCAAAACAATTCGGAGATAATTTGCGAATCGTGTAATTTTGGTGGTATTTTCTTCGCCATCGAAATCGATCAGCTTGTCTGAAGATGACACCTATCAACCATCCTGGCAAGCGTTCATGTCGCAGTTTCTACACTGAAATACCAATGGCTAAAATTCCACCAATCTTGTCATTGTTGTCGTTGCTGTGAATAAGTTCAAATATTCGGCGATTCACATCATTCACGAATTTGGTGAATGCCTCCCCTGAAATCTCGCGCGAAACAGCTATAACCTATTCTAGATGTCAACGATGTGTGACTCCAACCAGACAGGTGCGGAAATACTTTACGTGGTCTCTCAATTCATTTGCGGCTCTCAGACGAGCATCGTCATTCCTGTTCAAATACAAGGAAAGGACGACGGATAAGACCTCCAAGTTGGTACCATAGCTCGACCACAAAGAACGTACCGGGACCGCAATTCAGCCAGAATTCTGGAGAGCGGCTCCAAAGCGGACGCTGCGCTCATACTGATGCACGTCTCTCTAGAGTGCGCAACGCTGGTGTCGATTCTCCACCCTGTAGCATGCTACACTGCGGAGATCTCGAGCTGCTGGTGACATATAGGTGCCACATATCACATGAGCTGGGGTATCATGTGAGATCGATCGATCATACATTGCATGGGGTCTAAGCATTATTTGGGACCCGCTTGGATGTTGCCACGCATATAGACCTTAAATACAAGTCTTTCCATATGTGTCTCTACCTGGAATATAAACAGGGCATATGTTTCGTTGTTTAGAATTAAGTGAATTCATTCATCAACCTGCATGCAGGTCCGTGACAGAAATTGAATAACAAACTCGGCAAGTCCTGAACCTATTGACTCAAACCAAAGCATATCTGGAAAGCCCTACAGTGCAGCTATATTCTTGTCAAATCATTTTCTGACATTGCTAGTCAAAGGCAAGTTAGTATGATGGGACAGGGTACTGTGTGATTGCACATGATCTGATGATGATGATAGGAAGGTAAGGAGGCAGGTAGGTAGGCAGGTAGGATGTCAAATAGACAGGTAGGTAGGTGTGGAGATCAAAATCTAGTTTTTTGAAGTTGTGAAGTCAGTTATGCCTATTCAGGGCTCATAACCTATTGAAAATTGTGCTAGGAAACTGATTCAAACAACAAGAAAAGAGTTCTGATTGTTAGCTAGTGAGGGTATATTCCTATAGGGAATGTATTAGTGATAGAGAGTAGGAACAGAGTGAACTATACTCTTGTATAGATGTAAGTCTATTGTATGTTAAGAAGTCACCATTGAATATACTACTAGCGATGCAAGAGAAATCTAATGACGCGCATGGCACATGTGGCGCGTGGCACAGTGAAGATGCGCCTGCGTGGCGTAGCGGTTAAGTGGCTTAGAGGTCTGCTACCTGTGATCGCTAACACCCCCACTCAGACCTGTCAAAAGTCTGAACTGCTATTTTCTTTACAAGACAAGAACCCATTGCCCACTGACTTTCTACACTTTCACACATACTTCTATCAACTGTAAGACCTGCTGTGACAGCATTGCAGACTTGCAGAGCTCATTTGGCTAGCTGCTAATGGTGTTTCCAGTTTTTTTTTTTTTTTTTTTTTTGTAGTATGGCCCCCAAGGAAGAGAAGGGAAAAGGCAAAGTTCCCAGTGAAACTTTGCATACCTTGTTCTCGTGGCAGTTGTGTGAGATGACAGCGGAGAGCTCCACAGCCAGTTCTGATGTCCCTTTGGTCCCTATGGAGCAACCAGGGCTTTTCCCAGCCCCTCCTCCTTCAGAGGCCGAGACCACCACTCCAAGTGTGGTGTTGGGTGTGGGACCGTCTGGCATAGGGAGGGAGACTTCCATTTTGGAGGAGAGACCCAGGAGGAGGGTTTTTGAGGCTGTGGTTTTAGGGGCTAAGAGGAAGGGTAGCCAGTGTGGTGGGGAAGATGCCGGAGCCTGCACACAGACTGAGCACACTTGAAAGCGAGTTTGTGGAGGCAGCACGGCATTGGGCCTTTTTGCAACATCGGAAGGACCAAGAGGAGGTGTTGTGAAGGCATTTGGGTTTGGCCAAGACTGAGAGGGATGTTATGCGGTTGTTGCCTGTACAGAGTCCCATCCATTTGCAAGCACTTGGCACATACCATGGTCTCCAGGACCTTAGTTTGAACAGAGGGTACAAGACTGGAGGCTCATGGCCACCTAGTGAGCTCCAGAAGGAGAAAGCCCAGCATGCGAAGAAGAAGGCTGCAGTTGCAGTATGTGACAAGATCACGAAGCTCACCAGACTCTTGGAAGAGGTGGTGATGGATGAAGGGGAGGAGTTTGCGGAGGTGGTGAGAAGGGGTGAGGAAGAGGGGGAGGAGGAGACTGAGGAGGAGTTGGAGGGCGAGGATTTGGAGGGTTTTGAGGGTCTGTTTGGTCCTTTTGGTGGTTTTGGTGGTGTGGGCAGTGCAGGCGGACTGGGTGGTTTGGGTGGTTTGGGTATTGCTGTGTAGATAATATTATTCATATTCATTTTTCACATTCCACCATTATCATCCAGTTGCACTTCCACAAAGTTTGCTGCCACATACATGGGTCATGTGTGCATTTGAATATTATCCAGTCCACTCATGATTCGCTGTCTCAATCGATTATGATCCTCCTGGGTTAATGGCTTGGTGAAGTAATCAGCCATCTGCTCCTTCATATCCATGTCCAGAATCGTGATTTGTTTATCTGCAATGCCTCCACCTATACAGCAGGGACAAGAAGACAACAGAAAACTAGGGAAGACTTGGTTACTACTTGTTATTTTTCCTTTGAGGGGCCTCAGAGAGGTCCTCTTTTTATAGACAAAGGGGCTGACAAATGCTATATCCTAACTACCCAATCAGATCTCACCCACATCATCCTAAACTATTTGTCAGCCTATTGCACCATTTATAGCCAATCACAAGTGAGACAAGTCATCCTAAATACACTGTGCCACTTGATTGAAAGGGGCAGATGCCAGTGTGTCAGGATACTCATCTAATTTAGCCAGAAATGGCTAAATCTGCTTATTTATCTAATTCTGGTCAAATGAATGCTGACACCATCAGCAAAGTCATGTGACCACTAGTTTGGAACCACATCTAACCAGTATAACCATAGCACTGACAGAAGAATTCTGTCACACTCCCCCACTTTAAGATTAAGCTCCCTTCTGGGCTAGGAACTCCTTCAAGATTTCTCTGCCATGGGGTAGGAGGTATTCTTCTGGTTCCCAGGTGTTCTGAGAGGAGGGATAGCCTTTCCACTTGATGAGGTAGAGATTCTTCTTCCTTCTGGTCTTGTGGTCAAGAATCTTCTCAACTTCCCAAAACTCTTCTCCTTGCTGGTAATTGGCTCAGGCTCAGGGGGTACTGGTCTGGTAGGGAACTCCTCTGTGGGGTCCAGGTAAGGCTTGAGGAGTCTCACATGGAACACTGGATGAATCTTCATGGTGCTGGGGAGCTCCAGGGTGTAATTCTGAAATTCATCCTTGGCCTTGATTCTGTAAGGTCCAAGCCAGGGGTGAAGAAGTTTCTGGGCTGGCCTCTGGGCTTCTTCTTCTGGGGTGATACCTTCTCTAGACAGCCAAACTTTGGAGCCTAGGGGGTAGCTTTGCTGAGAGACTTGTTGGCTTGCTGAACTTGTCTTTCTTGGGCCAGTATCATGTTATCCTTGGCTACTTGAAGCAGTTGCTGAATATACTGGTGGAAGTCTGTTGCTTCAAGATCATTGCTTTCTCCTGGTGGTGTTGCTGGGGTCCTGGGATGCTGGCCATTCTCCAAGTAGAATGGGGTAAAGCCTGTGGTTTCTGAGATACTGTTGTTGTAGGCAAACTCAGCAAAGGGGAGAAGATCTTCCCAATTCTTCATGTTGTACTGCAGGAAAGCTCTGAGGTAAATCGTCAAAGTCTTGATGGTTCTCTCTGCCTGTCCATTGGTCTGCTGGTGCCTTGCAGTGGCTAGGAGGGTGTTGCAGCCTAAGAGTTGCATCAAGTTGGACCAGAATGAACTGGTGAACTTGGTGTCTCTGTCTGATACAATCACTTCTGGGAGGCCATGGTGCTTGAAGATGTGCTTCAAGAAGAGCAGGGCCAGGTCCTTGGCTGAGGCTCTGGTGGTGGTAGGGATGAAGTGGCCTCTCTTTGACAATCTGTCAACAATGACAAAGATGGCATTGTGATCAGAGGAAGTCACAGGTAGGTCAGGGATCAGGTCAATGGAAATCTGGCTCCATCTGGTCTTAGGTACTGGGAGGGGCTGCAGCAAGCCTGCTGGTGGTTGCTGACTAGGTTTGCTTCTCTGGCAGGAATCACAAGACTTGACATACTTCTTAATGTCCTTGTACATCCTTGGCCAGTAGTAATGCCTTGCTAGGGCATCATGGGTCTTGGTGATGCCAAAGTGTCCAGCATACTGAGTGTCATGGGTTTCTTGGAGTAGGCTCAACCTTAGGTCTGGGTCACTAGGAACAAAGATCCTGCCCTGGAAATAGAGTAACCCATCTTGATGGCTGAGGTACTTGAGCCTTTGTTGCTGGTCTTCTGGTCTCCTGGGGTCATCCAAAGCTTGGATGAGCTCTTGAAGTTCTGGGTCTTCTGTGGTACTGGTCTTCAATCTCTCTTGAAGGGTGCTGGTGGTGTGGGTCACAGCATTCAACTCTGCTGTCACCAAGGCCTTGCACTTGATGCATCTTAGGGCCAGGTCTGGTCTTCTAGACAGGATGTCTGCCACTGTGTGGAGTCTTCCTGGGCCATAGCCAATCTCAAAGTCAAAAGATTGGAAGTTCATGACCCATCTGGCTTGTCTTCTGGTCAAGAAGGGCTGGTTCTGTAGCCACTTGAGGGACTGGTGGTCTGAGATAACTTTGAAGGGGGTTCCTTCCAAGTAGGGCCTCCAAACTCTGAGGGCATCATGGATGGCTAACAGCTCTTGTTCTCTGGTGTCATATCTGGTCTCTGCTGGGGCCATCTTCCTGGAGTGGTAGGCAACTGGTCTCATGCCTTTCCCATCATCCTGTCCAAGCCATGCTCCAACTGCATAGCCTGAGGCATCAGGGAAGACAGTGGTAGGCAAGGCTGGGTCAAAGGGTCTGAGTACAGGAGCTTTGGTAACCATATCCTTCAGCTGCTGAAAAGCTTTCTCCTGAGGTTCAGACCAGGTCCAGGGCTTGTCATTCCTCAACAGGTCTGTCAATGGTGCAGCTTGCTCTGCCAGGTCCTCCAGAAAGCTATGGAAGTAGTTCACCAGGCCCATGAACTGTCTGACTTCAGTGACACTCTGAGGGGTGGGCCATTCTTGAACAGTCTGCACTTTCTTGGGGTCAAGCTTGACTCCTTCATGTGAGACTACATGGCCAAGAAACTCTACTTCTTGCTTGAAGAACTGGCACTTGCTGGGGTTGGCATACAGCTTGTTCTGCCTGAGGGCTTGCAGAACCTGCTTGAGGTGGTCCAGGTGATCTTCTGGGGTCTTGGAGTCATGCTGGATGTCATTAGACACAC